GTTCTGCAAACCCGAATATAATAAGCAGAGCAAGCTCTGCTAATAAGGCTAGCTACAACTTTTTATTAATAATTACACTTTAAAACACGCTTTAATAGCTGCGCATTGCTTAGATAGACAATATATTAAGCTTAATAATATACAATTGCTTCTGCTGCAGTACAGTTATCCTACTACAGGTACTGCAGCTACCCCTCCAGCTAGAACTAGACCTCTTAGGCCTATACAATTGTACGCAGGAGGCTAGCTAGATATAGGATATAATAAGCCTTAGTAACTTTCTTAATCTAATTAATAAGGACACTAATATTAGGGAGGAAGATTAAATGCTTAAGAATATAGTTATAAAGCATAACAATAGTGTTAATACTAAGGAGGCTTAAGCTAAAAATAAAAGTAAGATTATACTTTTACCTATAACTTATTAAGTAATTTAGGCTATTTAGTTACTCCTACAATACTAACAACACTAAGAGACAGCAATTAATACAGACATCCGCCAACTTAAGCGCCTAGAGAGGCAATATTAAGCCTATAAGGCTTAACATTAGCGCTAACAAACACTAGATAGTTAGCTTATATAATTAAATTATTGCTAAGACACATCTTGGCAACCCTAGTGAGCCGATACCCTCAGTAAGGCGATTGAATTGACGTGGCTGGATTCCTATCGGCTTGGCGGGGTTTGACTGTACTCCGCTCATGAGAGCCCCCTGTACACTGCAATATCTAGCGCTGGAGAGACATTGGGACGCAGCCGGTGGCTTGACTGCTTAGCCAATAACAATGTTAGAATGTCAGTCACAGGAGCGCTTGTTGACCAGAATGGGTAAACACTGCAATTTCTAGCGCTGGAGAGACGTTGGGACGCAGCCGGTGGCTTGACTGCTTAGCCAATAACAATGTTAGAATGTCAGTCAGAGCGAGGAAGCGAAGCACTTAGCTCAGCACTGCAACTTCTAGCGCAGGAGAGACGTAGGAAGGTGATCGATGGCTTGACTGCCTCGCTAATAATATGCGAATGTGGATGAGAAACTGCCTGCCTTGCGGACAGGCCCAAGCCGAAAACGAGCAGAGAGCAGGGACCAACACACACTGCAATTTCTTGCCTTCACGAAGAGTCCCAATCTCCAAGGCCTCTCCAAGGCCTCTGGCGCGAGATCGCTCAAGGTTCGGTCAGAAATTTCAAGATCTGGTCTGGCTTGGTCCAAACATCTCTAGCTTCAATGAAGGGTCCCTATCTGCAAGGCTTCACAAAATTCCGCATGTAGGAGGCTGCAATTCGTAACGTCAGCCCCCACGAAGGGTCAGCTGTAACCTCCCTTGTCAGCCCTATGCGGAGGGCTAACAACCGGTGAACTTTCTCGAGGCTGGGTCCGATTCCTTAGCCTGGCCGCGCAGTGTTTTCACGGGTAGTCCCGGTAAGCCACAACAGGCCTGGTTCGAGATGCGAGCCAAAGGAAAATAATTCCGGTGAGGGACTCGGTCTTGCCGGCGCAAATATCACACGAATGGACGCCCTTTCCAAAAAAAAAACTGTTATGCAGTATTGGCAAAAGTGCAACCTCCTGCGGCATTACCGTGGAAGAAGTTATTGAAATATGTCGTGATACGAACAACAAAAATCGGCTCACTATTCAGCACATTCTGGATTAACTCATGGGTAATAGTACACACTACGTGCGAGACGGACCCATGTTGCATGCACCGCAGTGGGGTACGAATTAATTTCACTCAAGGAACATTGAGCATGCTTGAGCCATCATCTAGGAGTGCTGGTCGTGCGGAGTTGCTGCTAACCAACAATGGCATAATCTTCTCGAAGTTTCATCAAGCTCAATTGAGACGTTAAACGGATGCGTCCTAGAAATAGTACTGGTGGTACTGAATCTGGTGTGTTGGCACTCTGTTGCATCAGCACATATTGCTTCTTTCTTCTAATGATGATTTCCCCCTACGGCAGGTCTCCTTGAAGTCTTAAAACTGCCCGCCAACTACCAAGTTCGGTATTTCATGAACTTAGGGAGAGTCTATCTATTCATCTCAGACACGGTGAGTGTCTTGAAGTAGCAGGTCTTCTACTTAGAGCATCTGCACTGCGAACAAAACTGCGAATAGCTATGTCCGGTGGGACATTTATGTTTGAGAACTTGAGGGCAGAGCCCGATTGAGTTAATGTTCGAGGGCACTTTGTTGAGTGGCGTTTAGAAGATCCAGAGGTAGGCTTGGGAATCCATATGCGTATTTGCCCATTAAATAACAGTGGTAGTTCCATAGCCTCCGCTTGAACTGCCTCCACTTCCATCTATGTCACCCAAACTCCTCACTCCCCAGTATTCGTCTCCATTTTGCTTTCCACCGGACTATTTCCCTCGTCCGCTTGTGCTGTGTCTCGAGAGAACGTTAGACGACTTCTAGAACGCCTTTCAAGAACCTTCTAGTCTCGTAGATGGTCATGCCAAGATGCTCGTACATAAGGCTCATTCATGGTATTTACGACGTATGCTTGGATAGTTTCGAGACGCCATTCGCCGATCGTAATAGCGGCGTTGAGGCCGACGATCTTGTCCCGGCAGCGGGAAGCTTCGAGCGCGAGGTTTGAGGTTGAGTGGGTGGTAGCATTTGATGAATAGTCACGGTTGATACCCAGAAGCTGGGAGACCGCAGTGAAAGGCGTCGGGCTTATAAAATATTGCCTGTGTTCATATTTATGCTCAAAGCACCTGTGAGGCCTAGTTATGATGATAGATATAACACGTAGTAGTCGATTATTGAAGGCAGTGCCGTTAGTGGACAAACGACATAAATTAAAAGCATGAGTGGGTGTAAAGAAGAGAGAAGAGAAGAAGGCAGTTTAGAAATGTTAATTTGAACAACGTTGTAATTGTGTGTTGGGGTTGTGTTCCGAGGTTCACGATACAAAAACTAAGCTGCAGGAAAGTGTATCGGATTAATTGATACTTCACCCACTTCAATTACGGCTTCGACCCCATGTTGTCAACCAACCCAGAGCTACTATTACCGCCTGAGTGACTTGTTAAGAATTTGGGTTGGAGAACCGGAAGTCGATATAGCCTCGGCTACAGCTTTTATGGTCGATGATGAGGAAGCAGCAGATGCTACTACCAGCATGCTAGACATTAGATTGTGCATGTTTACCCTCTCCTCCACCCTCCGTAATCCTGTTCCAATTTCCGCCTGCTTCACGCTCTTTATCAATTTTGCTACCAGCTCCTTGCATCCCACCTACCAGCTTTTAAATCTACTATTTCGCTCTTCATACTGTACCATTCTCTCATATAGATCCGGGAAGACATGTCTCAATATGTCTTGAAGATATACTGCTCAGCCATCTCCTTGTTTGACAGATTCCAGCCCAGGAGTTGTGCTGCATCTCGGCTGAAAATTAACCACCCACTGCAGCCTCAGAGACGGGGTCTCTTCCGAGGTCTTCTTGTTCGACACTAGGGATGGTCTCCACACACGCTTTATAAATCCTTCTTCCATGCTATGGCATCGATTATAACCAGACCATAGCACTATTGACTAGTGCTTACCTCTCATCTAAGATGACTGCCCTAGAGGCTCCATACAAGTACAACATTCTTCAGCTGCATCACCACCAAGCTTACACTGATTCCTGGAATTAGGGTATTCTGTCCAGCAGTAGGGGACGAGACTGTAACCAAGGCACTGGCGAAGATATTATTTTAAAAGCTACACAATTGTTTCCTCTAAAGGCACAACATGCCGTAACTTGAGCATTTCAACCAGCATCCACTCGCAAAGAATCCCCAGAAGCAGCAAGTCAGGAACCGGAAGCCGGCGGATGCAACCCTCACGTGACGCACTAATAAAAAGTGGGTCCATGCGCAGGAACACACCTCAACCCAGACCACCTTCCGCATTGATTCCGAAGATTCCGATAGAAGCCTTCAATTAATAGTCAAGCAACCAGCACACGCAGCTGGTACATGTCACATAAGATGACTGACAATCAGTTCATTGAACTACCTTCCCAGCCAAGGGCGGGACCTTGCCCATGTGGAATCATCAAACAGGCCATACATGACAGAATCAGACCACCCTACCCCTATACCGTACAATTCAGTTCCCGTTATCCCACGGAACATCAACACAACATCAATGGCGTGTGTGCCATAGGCTCTATGTATACCCCGACGCCTACTTGCTTGCTCTCAAAACGCAGATTAAAATAAGTACAGAACGGAGGACGATGCCAGATTACGACAACCTCGCTCCATCCAAAATTATGCATAAGAATAGAAGACGAAACGAGGCGTTTGGAAGAGATATGCATGCAGCAGCATCGATGGGCTTGGAAGCGACCGTGAAACCTGGACACACGCCGGTGAAATGCAACAATGGTATTACAAAATAACGAGTCGCTCATTAAAATCAGAAAGTATGCCGAATAATGAAGGCTTTTAGACTTCGTGTCGATCGTCGAGTTCAATGTCTTTTTGGCTTATTCGGCGGTAGAAGGGGATCCGCGAGTACGAGAACCGGCCCTTGGTATCGGCTTGTCGTCGACGGACGCAGAACGAGTAGATGCAGAATAGAAGCGAAAATCCAATGGCAAACCCAAGGAAGGTGAGCAGTAGCCAGTGTTGTCCCATCTGCACAAGTTAGCGCTGAGGGTACGGTAATTTCCGGACGCGGAAGCTTACCCAGAATATTAGCTTAACGTCACTGCTGTGCCAACTATTTCCAAGATGGTGAGTGAAGAAGCTCCAGGAATGGTTGTTGTATTCATCAGGGAATAAGATGCGCACAGTATCATCTCGTCCAGGGTTTCCATTCATATAGTGCCTCCAGATAATGCTCAGGTACAGAGGTCCGGTGGTACCCATAACGGTAATGTACGGGAGAATCCATCGGCGATTGTACTTGGGCAGTGAGTCAATCGTCTTAAGGAAAAAGGGGTGGCGAGGAATAGCGCCCATAGCATCGTTGGAAATACCGGTTGGAGTTGTGAGGCGAAGCCAGGCAGGGTATGCGAGGAGCGGGTCGAGGCTGCGATTGCATCCCTGTCCATGAGGTCAGCACGCCACGTCTGCGGCGAAGGTACAAACATACGTCGTCTAGATCGATATAGATGCCGCCAAAGTGGTGCAACACAAAGTATCTTATCGAATCGGCACGCTGAATGGGGTATGGGTAGCCGTCAAAATTCTCGAGGAACCAGGGGTATCTGAGGGCAATTAGCTCTCCTCGCTAGAACGCTCTGTGGTGGTTGCATACTCAGCAGCGATAAATTCCCGAGCCTTCTTATCAGTCCAGAGCTAGACATGCTGATCAGCCTTTGTTCTCCACGGCCACGTCGAGCGACGCCGGGCCACGAACCTTGTACTCATAATCGGGGTGAAGGTCGATGCAGCTCTTCTGCGGGCCCTTCCAATGCGCCGGTATGCTATCATTGACATAGGTCTGGTGGATGATCTTGGGGATCAATTGCGGTCGGTCGTTGATGGCGTTGGACTTGGGGGCAGGGAGGTCGGCGCGCGAGATGGCATACTGGGAATAGTCGGTGATGAGGAGACTGAGCAGAATCCACACGTGCTGGACCGCGAGGCCAAGGACGACAATGGTGATGAGAATAAAGGCGACGAGGCTTTTCCGCATTGTGAATCTGCGGCCTCCTTTTCGCGCGTGCTGCAGCTTGGGGGAGGGGAGCCACGAGATAGGGGTATTAGATGTTACAGAGGGCGGAAGAGAGGCGGTAGAAATAGCGGCGGCGAGCAGGTCAAGATGGCATGAGGCGCGTTCGCTCCGAGTCGCGGGGGTTATTGGCAAAAAAAGACGGGGAAAGAGGGCAGGAAGAAGAAAGCAGCGTGCGCAGGTGGTGTTGAGGCTGGCGCTGGCTGGCTGTGCGCTGCACTTTCCAAGCCCTGGAACCAGGGCTAAGTACAAACGGAAATTTGGGAACGCTTGGGCCGCCACCTCGCTTCAGGCCCCCTGGCCTTCTCCCCCCAGTCGGCCTCGTCGGCGCCATTCGCGGGGTGCCACCGCACTCAACGCGACCTTTGCTCTCGCAAGCTCCTCCGCAAACGACGACTGCTGGAGGTGGCACAACCTCAGCACACCGCGGCACCACCCCATCTGACGACGACGAGCTTTTTTCGCCCGTCACTGCGAGCACACACTCATCTTCTATCTTCTGCTTCACTCGTCCAGCACAGTAATCTCTTACTCTTCTTTCTATCTTTGGGGCATGACGAGAGCTGAGGGCTGTGCTGCTGCAGCGCTGCTCCGCTTGGCCGCGTCTGCGAATGACGATACCGTGCATGCCGCGATCCGCGCGACTCTTTCTCTGCCCGCTTTCTTTTTCTTGTCATCCGCAATTTGCTCAGCCGAGCACAGAGCGTTGCCGGGCTTCTCCCAACAGAGAGGAGCGTCATTCAAAGTGCACATCCCTCGTGTCTTCCGCCGTCGCGTGACTGCGAGGTCTGAATCTTTCATCGTTCGAATGTTCTCTCCAGATAAAGAAGTCCCTTTTCGCTCATGTGGCGATTCTGGCCCCGGCTAGACTTTCTCACTCACCATTCATCGTGCAACCTACCTCCCGCTGATCTAGGTCGTGTCGCTTGCCACCCATCTCGTCACATTTGAGTCCATACTAGGCCATCTTGCGTTCACTTTTCAACATCACATGCGGGATATTCCAACTGTCGGCAGTTCCACCCTCGCACTCCCCTCCGTGCCACTGTTGATTTAGAAATGCGCTGTCGAGATGAGAAGCAGCCGAGATTTCAACATTCTCTCAACTGCGATCGATGGCGCCAAGGAATTTCCAAGTTCACTTGTCTGCACGTCACCAGATCAAGACTCCTCTACACACGAATGCGGGCCAACACCCTAGTGAGATAACGAATCTAAGGTCTCCAGCCTCCAATGTCTCAGAGGCATGCATTTGTGCAACTGATGAAGGCCTGCGTACAGGGCTTGTTGTGCGTTAGATTCGATGGCCTTAATCTTCTCCCGGCAGCCAAAGGCTTCATGAAAACCGCATTAGACGACACACATGTCGACTTATAGCCCCTTTGAGACTGGAGACACCCTTGAGAGGATCTTAGGATGCTTGTTTATCGTATTAGACGACACACATGCCGACTTGTGGTCCCTTTGAGACCGTAAGGCGCCCTTGAGAAATCTTGGGATGCTTGTTTATCGTATTAGACGACACATATGGTAACTTGTGGTCCCTTTGAGACCGTAGCGGCGCCCTTGAGAAGATCTTGGGATGCTTGTTTATTGTATTAGAAGCCACAATGTTTTGTTATTCGGCCATCCAAGGAGTACTCACTATCCACTAACAGTCAAGCTAGCCACTGCTTAGCACTTAATGAATTCATAGTCTCTGAGCCAAGCGAAAATGCCCTCTTCAGAAGCCGATCACCGGCTCTATACCAAGTCACTAGGTACGGCTCCGACCTTGCAGTAACTGACCTTAGAGGATCCCCCTCCGTTTTCATTGCTGGACTCGCCATCTCAAGGCCGCTTGTGGCTTCCACTCTCTGATATCTCTCCTTCAGCTTGGCTTCAATAATCGCCACGTGGCTGTGATGGTGGTTTCACAGCATGCTTCGTGGAGCTGGCAGCACTATCTCTACAGCCATTCCGCTTCTCAATCACATTCTAAACGTCCAATGACGATCGCAATCCACCGCATTTTCATTTTCTTGTCAGTCCCTCAACGCCCCTTGGCTGTCCTGTAGAACAGATCCTTTCCTCACCTGGCACAATTCTTTCACAGACCCAATTTGCGCAACAAATCTATTCTGTTGAATTCTGTGGCTAGGAGAATCAACCCAGTCGCTTTTCTCGAACGATTCACTTCCTGGCGACTTGGGCTTCCAGCCCCCCTCGTGCAATTGGAGCAATGAATACCTTCGCAACCGCGATCGCGGGTTGTTCCCTAGGTCTGATTTTGATTTCGATGTCGTTCCTTCCCTATCTAGAGTGGATGGGCCGTCAAATGCGAAGGGACCCTTCAAAGTTGGACGCTGTGACCTAGCACCGGCTCGAGACTCCGCAACCTTGCCTAGAGTTCGGCCGACTCTATGCATATCCTCAACTTAACTTCATTCCTACTATCCCTATGACATGTTGCTCGACATTGGCTTGGTCTCTAGATTCTCCGTGATGGGGTGGTTTTGGGCACCACTCGCCCTCGCCAGTGCAGTCGGAAAAAGGCAGTTCCACAACTCCACTCAAAATCAGAAACCGACAAACGCCTTACCCATCGTGTGTGGTGAGTCTCAGGCCTCTCGAGTCGTTTACACGTTGGCTCCTTTGTTTTGCATGCTAGTCCTGGCGGCAATGTTTGGTAGGTATTCTCTCTCTGTGTGAAGTGCATCCTGACAGTTAGTCCAGGGTACCGCGCTAAACAACTCGAATGGAAAAAACTGAAAACGTTAAATTTAACACGCACCTTCGTCCTCATTCTCTATCTTCTAGCCATCACCTTTGTCTTCACAGCAGCGGTCTTGGAGAATGGTCTTCAATTGTCCTCAGCACCCGCTTGCAGTTCCGCCATTATCATTTGCCTGATCTTCTACGTTAGCAGCAAAGGAACAATGTAAGCTCCAAATGGTCCTTCTTTTTCTACAGCCGAAAAAGATACTGCATCATTCTACCTGACGGAACATATGACAAGGTTAAATTAAAACAATGATTACCATCCTGTTAATGCTGTCTCCAATTCCAACAAGAGTTTTAACAAATAAACTTTACCTTGGTTATGTTCTAAGTTAAGTGAGAAGATATAGTAGAAGTCACGTCGTTCCTACTCAACCATCCCTCAAAGCTGATCCAATTCTTTCTAGGTATGTGTTCTTGGTCGAACGGGCACACGTCATGCGAGCACCGTACGTGCGGCGAGTTCAGGATTGGATCTGGCTCGGAGGAATTCTCATGATCACGATGGGGTTTGGAAGTATTGCAATATGCGCTTTCACATGGCCGATCGCAGAGTTGTCCCCCGACGATGGCCGGTGCCGGATTGGACTTCCTCTGAAAGTGGCAATACCACTTCTCTCCTTTGATGTCATCATCAACTTAGCTCTTACTGGCATCTTCATCTATCTCATGAGGTCTTTGCTACAATTCAGCGGCATGCCTAACTCTACCGCCACTTTAAACTCGACTACACGAGGGCTCCGCCGTATTCTACATAGCGCAGGGCGGCAAACAAGCCCCAGTACGCGTCCAAGGTACCGGAACTCTCTGAAACCCATCGAGGCTCTACTGCGCAGGACATTAATCGGATCGGTTCTGGTCACGCTCTCAACGATTGGGAACCACGCTTTGCTGTATACCCTGAAAGGGCGAGAGTTGGCTTGGTTGTGCTTGACGATGTGTATTTTTGATGGTAAGATTTCTCACCTTTCCTCCTCCATTGATTGGTTTTCACTCTAACGGTATCCTGCTTAAAAAAAAGAGACTGACTGAAAAAGTGACGTGGGGGGTATGCATCATACACTGGCTCACGAATGGGTCCACTGGGGCTGATGACAGTGCTTTGACAATGTTAGTTGAGCCGGACTCTGCCAGCACCAGCTCTTCCAGGCCCACGATCTCATTATGATGATGTTGACTCTTGTTTCAAGACTAATGCGCAACCTCTTCCGCCCCCGTGGACAGCCATCGCTTCATCTTCGGACCCATCCACATAACTCCTCTTCTGGACAGGCATCGGCGACAACACATTCCACCCCCCAAGTAAGTCCGGTACCTCCACCAGATGAGTTCGTGTGCGACGGTCCTCCCGGCGAATATCCACGGTGTTTCATCCGGACCAAGGACTCCCAGTGGGACACGACACACGCCTCTTAAAAGTCCGAATCTTCTTCCTCGACAATGGTCTGAGATGCAAGTCCTCGCTGGCTGTACGGAGGCCCACCTCTCATGGCCATGGGTGGAGTTGACGGATGATCTAATGCTTCAAACTTCCTTCTACGTCTTGCTGCCCTGTATTCAGCCGCACTTCTTCCCTTAAGACGTGGTTTTGCGCCCGCAGCGGCATCGATGCAGAGCGTCGAGGAGAGGAAGTTGAAGCTCAGATGGAGGATCGCGCCAGTGATGCAGCCAATCAGACCGGCAATGCCGAGGTAAATGTAGATAGTCTGGGATGCAGCATTTTAGCATAATACCCCTTGCATTGTGAGGAGTCTGGATGTGCTCGTGTGAAAATATGTACCTCGACTCGTTCCAGCAACTGTAACCGGAATGGAAATAGTACGATGTTGAGCAGGATGTGGACGAGATGGGTGAAGGGTAGCAGCACGAATTGAGCAATGGCCCAAAAGGGCGATAGGATGTATGAGATGCCGTGAACGAGTTTGATGAAGGGCCAGCAGACATAGTAGAGGACGGTTAGAGCAGTTTGTAGTGTCTCCGCCATTGTGGGAGGGTGGCTGAGGAGGGGGTGGTGGCGATCCAGCTCCTGCTACGAGGTCATGCTGCGGAGACTGCGACAACTCCAATAGCAAAGCAAGGTCTCTTCCACCGCCGCTATCGTTGCTGGTCTGATGCTGGGGAGCTATGGATGAAGCTCACGTTGGTGGCGAAAGGGGAGGTCGTGTTTAGACAGACACTCCACCACAAGTCCCGCGAGAAATGCAGGTGTACAGACAAGGTACGTATCGCTGGCCTGTGCTCCGGCGGTGGCCTGCAAGGGACTTTGAAAATCTGGGGCGGCGGCGCAAGTGGTTTTCCTCCCGCATCCGAGACCAAGACATCGTGGGAGCCTTGGATCACTCGCTCGCCCTGATCTCTGGATGGAACGTGTTGTGTTCGCCTTCAGCCCTACGCATCCGCCGCCTTTTCCTTTTCGAGTCCGCCGATGGGGAACCAGAGCTCATCATCCCGCTCCACCACGCCCACGTCGAATCCGCAGTCGCCCAGCGTGACCACATCACATGGCTCCGCGAGGAATGCCATTCTCCCTCACCCCCGCGAGCTGACGCCGGCGTACCCAGCCCAGGCGAGGAGGCGCGAGTCCATCCAGGCCCTGAGCTTCCACAACAAGGCCCACGCTGCCCCTCCGAGTGCCTCTTTTGAAAGTGCCCCGGCTTCGCGAGACCGCACCCGCGCACACACCATCGCTGCTGCTGTCTCCAGCACCACCGCCCAAGTCGCCCACCAGCTGCGCGCTGCGACCGAGAGCCTCCAGGAGAAGTCAGAGAGGCCCGCCCCGGACGACAGAATGGGCAACGAGCAGTCCCGCCAGAAGGGCCAGGTGCAGGGCCAGGTGCAGGGCCAGGGACACGCCCGCGAGCTCACACCGCCGAAGCCCGCCAAAGCAGCACCACCGCACCTCGCGCCCTCTCCGCAGACAAAGCCCGTCGACGTGCCTACTCTCCCCAAGGACGAGAGCCATGCCAGTCGGACTGTTGAGAACGAACCGGTGTCCTCGATTGACCCTGCTGACGCCTCGCAAGACTACTTCATCCCGCCCTCCCAGTATAGCCGCCCGCCCCGCCTGCCGCTGCCCATTGAGGAAGAACCTCACACCCCTGGCTCTCCCATTATCTCCCCGCACGACCTGGTCAGTCCCATCAACCCGGACGACATCGACGGCGAGCTGCCGCGGAAGGGCTCGGTGCTAAGTAGCACAACGGCAGAGGACGATGACCTGGGAGACGAGTACCGGGCTGCTACTGGCGATATGCCTTCCGTCCCAACGCTGATTGAGTGGGAAGGTCCCGGCGAGCGCGTCTACGTCACAGGCACATTTGCTGGATGGAACAGGAAGTACAAGCTCCATCGAAAGTAAGTTGGGCGTTGTGTTTGCTACATGTTTATGAGCTCCAAATCCTCAGGCCTTGGCCCGGTCGATCATGCAACTGCCCTTCCCAGGATTGTTGCCTGCATCTACTCGTGTGGGTGTTTTCATTGAGTCATTCATTGAGACATGCATTGAGACATTCGGGCCTGAGGCCCGTTAACCAGCCTCACTCTTTTCCTCTAGCCTTGCGTTTCACACGTTCTCTTCTGCTTCGCCTGACCTCGAGGTTACACTGCGCCCTTCACCGCACACTTACTGACATGCATTTTCTACAGCGGTCCGAGCCCGAAGAAAGATGTCCTCTCTGCCATGGTCAATATCGTGCCAGGCACCCACCATCTCAAATTCATCGTGGATGGTGACATGAAAACTTCGGATAAACTCCCAACTGCGGTCGATTACACCAACATCCTGATGAACTACCTTGAGATCTCGGTGGACGATGTCCCGCAACCACCCACGGCCACGTCGGAAGAAGCCAAGAAACCGGAGCCCGTTCCCGTGCAAGAACTACAACCTCCGCCGGGTATATTTCCTCCGCAGACGCTGCCACCAACCCCAGAAATACTCCCCGTCACGCAGAAACCCCCAGGGGCGGCACCCCCGAAGCCGAAAGTGCCTACGCAAGTCGCATCCCCGAAGAGATATCATCAATCTATACCACGCTATCTCCTGGATCTCGATGCCCCAGAAGAGTCTTCGAGGCTAGCACGCGCCAATGCTGTGGCAAGCAATTTGCCTACTCCGCCTACGCTGCCTATGTTCTTGAGTAAGAGCATTTTGAACGGAACAACCCCGATGAAGGATGATAGTAGTGTGCTGATTATGCCAAACCATACCGTGCTGAATCATTTAGCGACATCGAGTATTAAGGACAATATTTTGGCGACTAGCGCGACGACGAGGTATAAGCACAAGGTAAGCTACATTCTGTCGTATTCAGCAATTGGAGAAACGGGATGCTAAGGAGTGGTGTAGTTCCTCACGACGATTATGTACAAACCCAAGAACGAAGACCCAGATCGCTTCGACTAGCATCCAATCTAAAAGCTCCATCAACATGATATACGCTTCAAGGTAGACGTACGATATATGCGTGAGCGTATACGGGCATCTGGCACAGCGAAGCAAGCAAAAGCAGGAGAATAATGAAATGAATACGACGATATGAACGATCATGATGGGAGGGACAGGGCATCCTTGGCTGGGCTGGCATTTGCACAGGTATCATTTGTGGCAGGCAGACATAGTAATACCGGCATCCCGTTTTGGGAGTGTCGGGATGGAATGAATGGATGATTCTTCCTGTGGTGACGATAACGATGACAATATCGGATCATGCATGGATGGGAAGGTATTACTAGGATGAGTTGGTTTGGGCGGGCTATATAGATTTCCCGCGCTTTTGTCTTGGTAGTCCACTTTGAATGATTCTTGCTTTGATATGTGCGGGAAGGTGGTTTTGGCTACCCTCCTTTTTAATGGGAAGAATTTGGCTGGGCGTACTTGTTAAAAGCTCTGGCTCTGGCTATGTTCCTGAGCTGCTGCAAAATTAATGGACCAGCGACCGTTCTATTTGTTGCTTTGTTTCTGCTTGTTGCGGATGAGAGTTCGGTAAGCTAGATATAGTCTCCAATGGGGTAGTAGTTCCAACGGAGCTAATTGCGGGTATATCATGCTTCGCCTCTTAGGCTTTCCTTAAGCAGCATCCTCCTAACTATGCGTTGTTGAAGTAAAGGCGATCCCTCAACCAGCCAGGAGCGGCAATAGATAAAGTGTCCGGAGTGTCCGTATAGCGCTGTTCCCTCTGTTTTGGTGAAATTGCCGTCTCTGATCTCATTCCCTCCATCCCACATACACTTCATCCGTCCGAAACCGCTGCGTACACGAAGTATCCTCAAACTTCGTCACAACTCCCGTTTCATACTCCAACAGCCCGGCATGCGCAATCATAATCCCGTTATCGATGCAAAACCTCTCGTCAGTTGCAAACACACTGCCACCCCTATCCCGCGCCATAATCCCCATCATCTGCTGCAATCGCTCGTTCGACCCCACACCACCGACTACTAGAACTTGCGTAGATCCTACGTGCGCCATCGCGCGCTCTGTAATTTCAACGAGCATCGCAAACACCGTTTCCTGCAGCGAAAAGCATAAATCCTCCCTCGTCACCAGGTCCCCCTCCTCCGTCCTTAACCTCTTACCCTCATCCAAATCTTCCCCAATGCCTGCAGCAAGCACGTCCGCAGCCGCCAAAATCCCAGAGAAACTCGCATCCATGCCCTTAACCGTGTACGGCAGATCGACCAAATTCCTCCCGTGTTTGGCGAGCTGCTCAACATTGTAGCCGGGGAACGGGTCATTTGGGATGAGTAGTGTGCGTGCGAAGCGGTCGATGCAGTTGCCGATGGCAATGTCGAGGGTTTCGCCGAAGATGCGGTAGCGTTGAGACGAATAGGCTATTACTTGGGTGTTGCCGCCGGAGACGTAGAGGACGACGGGGTTGAGGGCACGGGTTATGGAGCGGCCCATTTCGATGTCTGGGGGAGGAGTTAGGTAGTGCTTTCTGTGAGTTTAATTGTGTTGGAAAGGAGAAGGGGAAGGGGAAGGGGAAGAGGAGGCATACGTCCAACACAATGATTAACCCCCACCATCGGCTTCCCCCAAAGCAGCGCCAGTGTCCTTGCAGCAAGCGCAACACTCTGCAATGGCGCGCCCATCCCCGGTCCTTTGGTGTAACATATCACATCTATATCCTCCACCCGCACTCCTGCTTGTCGGACTGCTTGTTTTATGAGTCTGACGACCCATGCTCGGTGGTGAAGAGCCGTGTCTTTTGGCAGGAAGCCTTCGCCTGGAGGAGAAACGTAGGTGTGGCGGAGGTTGGCGAGAATTATGGGGGGTTTGGAGGGGGTGGAGGGGTGAGATATTAGTCCGATGCCGATTTTGTTGGCGCTGCCTTCGAGGCCGAGGGCTATCATTCTGGGAAGGTTCTAGGGAGGTCGTGGAGTGGGGTGGCTGGGATAGTGGGGTCCAAAGGAGTCAACGTGTAGCACTGAAATTCAATCGCAAGGAGGTGGAATTTTAGTGGTGAGAAGCAGGAGTAGCAAACGCCGAAATTAAGTAAAGGGCAACGGCAGCAACGAGAGACGATGTTATAGATATGCCAAGTCCATCAGTTATCGATAGCAATCTTCAGGTCCATCCCATAGGGCTGAACTGAAGGATGAGACTAAATTTCCTCAACAAACGCGGCTCTTTCACCGACAATCCAAAACCCCTAGACGAACATCTATTGCATTCACGAAAGGTAAACAATCTACCGCTTTCCCCAGCGTGATCAGTACACACCGTGAAGGATTGGCAGTTGTTGCAGGAACCAGCCAATCACAGCGCCTCTCGGTTCGGATCAGCCTGGAGAATCCCGCTAAAACTCCACGACTATTATTGCTCAGGTGCCATCCTTTCTCCGCCGCTCCCTCCACTAACCTTCAAAAATTTCAAGATGTTGGAGTCCGACGCCCTCAGCTGGAGCTTCATGGCCTGGCTGGCTAGTTCCGGAGCCGAGATCAGTGCGAAAATTCAGCTTGCTGATTTGAAGGAGAAGCATGCGGGACGGGGAGTGGGTACATGGATGTTTCTTTTCTGCTGCGCACTTGGCGGTCTTTCTCATCCCTAAATGCCAAGGTCTGTATTTTTGGAGAGTGTAGGCTAATGGAGATTAAGTTGCTCTGCAAGACGTCCAAGAAGAAGAATTCCTCTTCCGCATCCCCCGCTCCCTCATCCTCTCCGTCGAAAACTCCGACCTCCCTTCCAAAATCCCGTCCGCCTTTGCCGACCTCGATCCCTGGCTCTCCCTCATCCTCGTCATGCTCTACGAGCTCGAAAAGGGGAAGGAGTCAAAATGGCATGCGTATTTCGACATCCTGCCCAAAGAATTCAATACTCTGATGTTCTGGGAGCCAGATGAGCTGGCGCAGCTGCAGGCAAGTGCTGTGGTTGGAAAGATCGGGAAGGAAGAGGCGGATAAGGGGTTTGAGGAGAGACTTCTGCCGATTATCGCGGAATATAAAGAAGTTTTGGGTATCGACTTTCCGGACAACGAAGCTAATAAGGCGGTCATGCTGAAGCAAATGCACAAGCTAGCTTCCACCATCATGGCATACGCTTTCGACATCGAACCCACCGACGCTAGAAAGGAAGTCGATGAAGAGGGCTACATGTCTGAGGAGGAAGATGAAGCTTTACCGAAGGGCATGGTGCCATTGGCTGATATGCTCAATGCCGACGCAGACAGGAATAATGTGCGACCTTCCCCCAACTCCCTCCACCACGAAACAGCTTATGCTGACGAAGACAGGCCCGCCTCTTTTATGAAGAAAATTCACTCTCCATGAAAGCCCTCAAATCCATTAAAGCTGGCGAAGAAATCTTCAACGACTACGGCCCGCTCCCCCGATCCGACCTCCTCCGCCGCTATGGCTATATCACTGACAACTACGCTAAATACGATGTCGCTGAAATCCCATTTTACACCGCCTCCGCCGTCATGGAGAAAGCCGGTGTTCTGGCCGAAGATCTGAAATCCAAAGTACGCACCCTCTCCCCAGCTACCACCTATTTGTAAATCTAACATCTATAGTTTGAATATCTCGAATCTCAAGGCGTTGTCGAAGACGGCTACACAATATCCACCAGCTCGCCCTTTGACATCCAGGAAAGCATCGCTCCAGAGCTCATCATCATGATCGAAGCTCTACTCCTACCAGACCATGAATTCGACCGTATAGCGGATCGAGAAAAGCTTCCGAAACCCGATAAGATCTCGATCAAAGGCGCACAGCTACTTATAGAGATAATAACCACTCACATGAAAGACTATACGACCACGCTTGAAGAAGACATTGCTGAGAAGACGGTCGTGCCTTTGACAAGCTCTGATGTGTCCCGCGAAAGACGTTATATGATGGCCAAGTTGGTCCGGATTGGCGAAAAGAAGATATTGAGAGATGCTGTGGAGGCGTTGGATCGTCTAATCGAACATCTAGTTGTGCAAAATAAGGTGGGGAAAAAGCCGGGTCATGATTCAGCGGGTCCACCAAAAAAGAGGCAGAGGGTCGAGTGAGTGAACCGAGGAAGCTAAGCGAAACATCTTAAAACCCTACGACAGGGCTGAGCAAAATACACAAGAGGCAAATTAGTCGAGTTAACTGGTATGTTTTCAACTTTTTCAACTTTTTTATTTTGTTGATCGTTTCAGCAACTAATCTACCTAATCCAGCGCCCTAGGAATATCCAACAGTTTTTATGTGTCGGTATCCAGGCATGCACGTCCTTCCATCCCTTCCACCGTCAATATCTTCCTATTCGTCTTCGAAAATGTCCCTTTGAGGACCCGTGCACATAGACCAGGCTATTGGCTGGTTTATGCATATGCCCTAGCTCGAGAATCCGGAATCCAACATCGTGCATCATTCCTTGCTCGATGAAAACGTACGCATGGGTATAAGTAGTTCATCCTCATGAAGCCAACACTTCTTCCCATCGAATGTAAAAGTTAAAGGTCCGTACTGCAATCCGTTCCCTGCTCCTTTCAAGTTTCTCAGCCGGCAGCTGATGGAGGTAACAAATGTCCAGAGGCAGATCGGTTATGGTTCTCAATGGCCCTTCGGCTCTGTGCTACGGCCTGAGCATGCTGTTTTTCGCCCTGTCGCTCGATCATGATTCGGTATCGGATATGAAGATTATCGGTCCAATCCACTGGATAGATCTGCTCGTCCTCACTACTATCACCCGAGTACTTGAATCGATCTGCGACTCTCTCGGCGACGGCATCCAACTTAGCACGTTTCACACCTCGACGATCAATCATCACACGTCCTCCACGGCCCATACGACGGCGGTACCGACGCTGGTCGTCTTCATCTGGCGGCGTGCCGTATCGGATTCGAGCGCTTCCTCGTGTTTCTACCACCTTGTTCGTTTGATCAACGTCCATGGCGTCTCCAACGGGGTCAGATGATTCAGATGCCGGCGGTGTCGGCAGCTGGGAACTGGTGAAGACAGGCCGGAAATCTGGTTTGGCTGCTTGTTCCAAAGGAGGTGTAATTGGACGCCATGTCGCATCAACCCACCCAACGTTCCATTTCTGGTGTTTCATCAGATTCTCCTCGATGAAACCTTCAATCGCCTCTGCACGTTTGGCCTGCTGTTCTTCAAGGTAATGGAGATCAGAATCGAAAAGACGACCATCTGGACGAGCAAGCTGATGAGTCTTAGGCAAACCGGGAATACCCCTTTGTGGCACGCCAGGAACATCGACCTTCTTTGGCTTGGGAGCGGGCTGTAGTCGAGTGAGTAAGCCGAAAGGATAACTTTTTGATGTCTTACTGACCTTTTGATTGATGAGGAGCTCTTCATCGTCTCCTTTGATGCCAAGCTTCCTCTTAATCTCCTTGACCGCAGTCCGCTGCTCGAAGATCTGCCTGTCCATGGCAAGTTGCTGGCGTGTGACAATTTCTCTTTTCTTTACTTCTGCCATCAAAAATCGTGCAGACTCCAAATCGGTCCTCAGCTTCTTGATCTTCTCCGTCACCTGCGCATCTCTTCCACGAGTCTTCCGGACCTGCCGTACCTCGCGACGTCGGAAGCACACGTATGGATCTGATTCATCGGTTTCTAGATTTGTCTCGAATTTCAAATTCGGGATCAAGGCACGGTTTCCTTGCAGTAAACGTTGGTTCTTCCAGTGGTTGTATATGTCTTTTGCAAATCGCCGCGCAGGCTCACTGATTGTCTCATCGAATTCAGCTTCGAGGTCTTCAAATGGCAAGACTGGTGGATTGTCCACGGAGGCATAGGGCTGCTTTTGTTGAGATTGCTCCTCGAAAAAGTTCATCACCTCCTCGAACTCATCTTCGGAGCAATGCACGCCTTTACCTTTCTTTTGGTTGAAGGACTTCAGATAAGTGACATCCTCATCATTCATACAATACGGACATCCTATCATGTCTTCGACGGTGGACGAAAACCGGATGTAGGTTGCAGGCTGCGTGAAGTGTCTTGGATAGACATCTTCATATTGCAGCTTGCTTGCGACGGCATCAGGTGTTGGAATGTACAGTTGTGCTACACCGCTGCCAGATGCAGCTGCTTGTGCTGCAGATATTACGGCTTGCAGATGGTGCTCCTATTAACATTGTTATCAGGATGCAAGAGTATGGCATTAGCAAAAGGTAGGTTTGAGATTTATGATATTTCGCTAGGACAGGGACTTTTGCCGTATCCTGTCCTGGTGAAATGCCGTTTATGGCTGCGCCACCTCGTATGCGTGGATGTGAAGGGAAATGAAGCAACGACAAAAGTGGCTTAGCGCAGTGGAAGGGGCGACTTACGATTTCCTCTCCTTTTTCCACGCCAGTTTCGACTTTAGGAATGTGCCGCGTCGCATCGTCGTCGGGAAGCTTCTCGACCTCATGTTCGCGTAACACAGGTAAGTTCTGCTTCGTAGATAGCTTGCGCTGGCGAAAGCGTTGGCCGGTGACTCGTTGCGTCATGATGCGCTATCGTGATGGTGTTGTTTGTCGTGAGAAAAAATGTCGCTAGGGCAGGCAGCAGCAGTGACGGCGGGTAGATGTGGGAATGGGCAGCGTAAGGCGTGGTACGTGGCCCGGGGGCCCTTTCGCCGCGGCCCAGTGCGACAGCGAACGGCGAACCTTCGCAGCGGCGTTTTCGACGCAAAATTCGTCGCAATATTCGTGAATAGGGTATCAAAAGATAGCGCTTTGATGGAGCATCGAGAAAATCGCCTCGCCGATGATTTTCTGATGGTTGTGGTGGAGTTTTCTGATGGAAAAGGTTGCTGGGGCGAGGAGCGACTTGTTGGGGTGTGAAGGGAACCTTGGAAGAGGGCGCGCTGCGTTGTAGGCCCGCACTTTTTCCTCGGGCAGCCCGGTCCGGTGATTGGCCACCTTGGACCCCAGCTGGATAAGGGAAATCAAGGAATGCACAATTCTTGTGGATGATAATGGTGAAAAGAGTGAGATGGAAGTGAATATGCAGGCATCGCTGTATCGCAAGGTAATTTTCTTATTGTCGCGGAGCAGAGTAGATAGCAGAGGAAGCCCTGTTTGCTCTTCCCATCGTCATTCATTGTGCTGATGCCTCAGAACGCTTCTATTTGTGCAAAGTGAAAGGTATTGGTTGGCGGAGGGACAAATAATGTTCGTGAATTAGCCGTCGCACAGCGAATGAGACGTGAGGATTTTTGACGACAATCCAATTACATGCCGCACCGGTCATGTTTTTGGTTTCAAGAAAGCGGCGAAGGATTCGTACCACGAACTTGCAGTTGCGATTTGTTTTCCTGCACCTTCATGACAACATCGATGTGACGCGTCAGAATCACATCGCGAAAGGCATCCGTATGAGAACAAGTAAGCCCCTTTCAATGGGTTCGGTGACTTGTGCCAGCCCTCACCTTAATGTCTCCGAGTTACTTCACGCCTGTGTTCGACTTCTTTATCGCTACTACCGTTCTTTTCCAAAAAAAAAAAAAAAGTGTTCAGTTCTCGCGGAGTGTAGATGTTCCCACCTCCGCCTTCTGAGGTCCTTTTTTTTTATAGATTTGCTTTGTAATTAATACCCACGGCAGTTATGTCTTAGACAACCTTGCACGCCTTATATGCAGCAAGGAGTCCTCACCGATAATTTCTTCATGTCGACATGTCACACTTGGCTCTCCATACATATCCTTGGTGCCAAGGATATCAATCTGTGGTTGTTTGGCTGCAAGCAACCGGCGAAAGGAATATCTTCCGTTTCACAGTAGTGCTCACCATGGCATAGTGACATGCCTCGAATGGTAACCTAACGCGCTTGGTGTTATGGATTACCTCGATACTGCACCACGCCGATTGCGCCTCCACCACCTCCATGCCCTCCACCAAGGTGCAGAAGGCTTGAGACAATTGTCGCATCTTTCGCGTCCACTGCTGCGCTCATCACCTTTTTCTCGATGTCTCTCGGTCCTGTGGTTCGCAGAAGATCCACGGATTTAAGAAACACAGCGGGCCGGGAGCTTCGCTTGAGTCGAGGATTAATAATGCGCACCGATGCAGCAAGTAGATCTCAAACTCAGAAAGGAGAGCGTGGATCTCCAAACGTCCAGGTTTATCGACAACTCATGATCGCTTCTGTGCGCCGCATCTGTGCCAAATATTAGACTTCACATCTGACTGGTGGATGCGTGTGGCCTAGCCCACATCCTAGCCTCTCATGGGACATAGAGCTAGTCCCAATCTCAGCCCTACGGATGACTACTTACATAAGGCTAGTAGGTTTCCTCATCTTCAACCTCAATTCTCATCGTCGCGCATCTTCCCCTCGTGAGTGCGGTCGGCCGATGTTGGGGTCTCACCCACGTTAGCGGGCCTAAAGTTTTCTGACCAGTACTTTGTTACCATGCTCCCTCAACTCTAGCTTAGGGTCAGCAATTTAAAACGTTTCTTTCGCCCCGTGTAGGATCTCCCGTGTCAATAAATCGTCGGCAGGGCTATGTCGTCTGAATCCAAAGGTATCTCACCCTTCTCGCTGTTTGCTTGGCCCCGAGCTGACGTTGGACAGTGTACAAGAAGCGGCCGCACCGGAAGGTGAAGAGCGGGTGTGCTACCTGCAAGCGTCGGAAGATAAAAGTAGGCTCCGATCATCTGTTCCCTGACATGAAGGCAGGCTTAAAGAGTCGAGTCTGACGCTCCTGCAGTGTGACGAGGAGAAGCCACAGTGTTCAAATTGTGTTCGATACTCAGCCGATTGTGTCTACCCCTCACCCCCCTCGTCAGATTACATTCGAGATCAGGCTTCAACTTCAACATCAAACACACCTCCTCTAGTCCAAACACCTGAGAGTTTAGTTGAAGAGCCTCCTGTGCCTCAGTGTCCTCCTGGGTCTCACGACTTACCCCTCCGCGATTTGTCTCTACTTCACCAGTGGACCATCTCGACCTGCTATGGCTTTGGTGACAACTTTCCAGGAGATGCGGAGCCCTGGCAAGTCGATGTGCCTAAGCTTGGGCAGCAGTTCTCTTTCCTCATGAGAGGGATCCTTGCGGTGTCGGCCCTCCACTTAGCTCGGCTATCGACAGACCACACGGTGAAAATGAGATACATCCAGCTAGCAGCCTATCATCAAGATCTTGCGCTCCCCGAGTATAGGAATGCGATTACGAACGTTTCTGAAAAGAATGTCCACGCTATCCTCGCCTTCTCCGCATTAACAACTGTCTACTCATTCGCAGCCCCGAAGGATGCCGGCTCCCTTTTCGCTGACGGGGCTCCGGAGTGGGTCTTCCTACATCGAGGCGTTGGCGACATACCTCCTTCATGGCAGGGTTGGATCGATAATGGACCGATGGATCAACAAATGCACCGTCGCAGAGTTCAACCTGTCGAATACACTTTAAACCCGGAAGACTATCGACTCGTCGGTCTTCACGGGTTCCTCACCAACCTCCCTGCAGAAGAGCAAATCGAAGGGGTTCACTACGATAATGCACTTCATTGGCTTCGGCAGGCCTTTGCTCTCACATATTCTCCTGAAAGTAGGATAGGTCCGAAGTATGGGGTTCTCTTCTGGGTCGAGAAGGTGGACCAAGGATACCTCGAGCTATTGGGATTGCAGAGACCTCGCGCTCTTATCCTGCTAGCACACTGCTGCGTCTTGTTGAAGAGGGCATCCGGCTTTTGGTACTTAGACGGGTTTGCGGAACATGTCCTTAAAGAGATGAAGCCGTGTCTGGCGGACGAATTCCTCCCTTGGATTGAGTGGCCTTTACAGGCCTGTGGTTTGTCCTGAAAATTCGGCGGCATCTGCATTCTTATTCGCCAGTCGATGAATCCGGTCTCCAGGACTAGAGATGGCTCACTCCGTCGAAGGATCTCGTTATTGGGAGTGCATACCAGTATTGACGGAATCTCGCGGATTCCTTCGAGGCCCCGACAGGTGGGAAGTGTATATCGGTGTTCCGATGCCGACCGAATTACAAGCACTGAATACGACACTTGCGCTCGAAGGAAAAGTTCAGGCCAATACGATCCGCCTGGCGCAACGTGGCGACAGCAAGCCACAAAATCTGTTGGCATCAGCACCGGACTGAGAGTAGAAACGACATACCTTTGAAAGCAAGCTCAGTACTGGTTGCTCATCGATTACCCCGCAATGTTTAGATTTGTAAGTAGGAATGATGAGTTCTTATTGCGCATGGTTAGACTGAAGGTAATGCTTCTGGGGGTCACAATGTTTAGTAGGAGGAAGCGGAAGGTTTACTGCTTACGTTAGGCTGCTGCAACGGCCATGGGCTGGAGCATTTTTACCTGCATCCACGCTCTCTGCGAACATATGTAACTACATCCATTGGGAAGGATATGCATCATGTGCCACTCCTTCGCGCAACAAACGAACCGCTCGGACGGACTCTCAAGTGAGCCTTCCCGGATGCGGCCGGACGGCCCGAGCCGCGTCCAATGGACTTCCAGCTCACCCTCGGTATCTGAACAACTTCTGTTTTACCCACTGCTCAAGGGTTATCAACTTTCTAGTTCCATAACCTCAACTCACGGAAAAGTGAGGGATATAGCAATCAGCTTCGCTTACGGAGCTTCCATTGCAAGGGCGTCTTTGCCCTAATGTTAGATCTCCAAGCGCCGTGAAAGGTACAGGCTTCACCTCGAGGCAGCCATAGGCCCGTTTACTCTGTCATGCAGTGATCTGAGCAGATCCATGCACTATCTTGAAGGAGGTGCGAGTGCATGTGTCTCGCAGTTGTTTGACACGAGAACCGCCCTACCAGAAACATTCAGAGCTTCGAAACAGACCCCGGAACCAGTAACGGCGATACCGGACACCACATGCAACTAGGGCTGTTTAGCGATGTGGCGTCGACGTTTTGCGACTCGCAACCGTGCAGACCGGGTCCGAAAGGCGGAAATTTATTGGAGTTAATGCAGGTCATTTCATGCTAATTAGCCAGCAGGTGGGGAGAGACGACACGGCCGGCGGTGGCAACCAACACGTATCTCCCACCACGGCTTTCATAAACCCAAACGCCATACTGAATGCTCACCTTTGCTGCAAATACTCAGCACGGGCAACCATGTCATTGATCGAGGTCGATTTCGGCTTAGTCAGGTATTCGCCGATTGAAGGGACGCATTATTTTTACGATTCTGCTTTTCCGACGACGATCCAATTCCTGCTCAATGGTGCTTGGGAATCTTGGGATGTCGGCTGGGTTCGGCAGCAAGTCCACCTTGTGCGCGCCCCTAAACCGACCTAAGCTAACGATAGCCTAGAAAGGCGCAAGATCCAGAGGTGAGAAGAATCGCAAAGGATGCAGAGGCACGGTTAGTCCACGAGAATGCCTCTGGCTACAGAGCATGGCCGCCGTTGTCGCCCGGTCATTCTAGTCCAATCCTCAACGGCCATGTACCATCTCGCCCCACTAGGGACGCTATTCACCCTCCATCGAGGAATGGAGAGATAGACGCTTCTGTTTCACGAGAATTTTCAAATAGTCATTCTCAAAGCCCCAGCCCAGCCTCTTCACAAACGTACGGACCCGTGACATCTACTCAGATACATACACCACCTCTCGCTTCTCCATACTCATCCCGACCAACTCTCTCGGCTTTTCATCCCATAGATCCCCGAGTCGTTCCGGCGCTTCCACCTGAAGGGGCACTGCCACCCATCGGCCATGAATTTCAGCAGCCCTACCCGGCCCTGGTGACTGAGTCCTCGCACACCCCAATCTCACCAATATCAGTGCCTCACGTTATGATCAGAGAAACGAAAATTCTGCTCTCGCTCGACGGTGACGGCGTTCGCGGACTCTCAGCAGTCCTCCTCGTGGAGTCTCTCGTGAACGCAATCTGCACTAAGATAGGGCGTCGAGTCGATCCGTACCAAATCTTCGATCTTATCGGCGGCACGAGTACAGGAGGTTTACTTGCCATCATGCTCGGACGACTCCGCATGCGGCCTCATAGAGCGAGGGACGCTTATGTAAACCTCCTGCAGTCTATGTACGCGGACAAGTTTAAATTTTTCATGTCACTTGATCCTCACGCATCATCGACCCCGAGCGATGGACTAGCTCTGGAGAACAAAGCCAAGGACCTAGTGAGGAGTGAGGTTGGGGATCAAGACGAGATTTTCTTTGATCAGAGGCGAGACTCTACAAATGTGTAAGTGGTGTTAGTGTTCCTGTCCGGTGAAGTGACTCACATTGCATTGCTACAGTTTCGTAATCTCAACTCAAGTCGAAATCGGTGTCAACCGCCCTGCACTAATACGATCCTATCTAACTCGCCGTATGGCTGGCCCTGAACTTGCGCCGAACCTCACAATATGGGAGGCTCTACGCGCAACATCTGCAGCGCCACGCTACATCGATCTTCAGGGCGGCTCGGATCGTAGAGCCGTCATCGAGCCGGGGTTGATAGATTATGGCACAGCGAAAAATAACCCTATACGCGACTTATTTTATGAAACACGAAAACTTTATAGCTACGCCAACGACACGATGATTGTTGTCAGCGTCGGTACCGGAACCGGCTTAGACAGAATGCAGGAAAGCAACGAGATGGCCAATAGCGTGGATGACAGATCTGCCGAAGCTAAGACGGCTGGGGATAAATTCGAAGTGGATATGCAAGATCTCATTGGCAGGGGATGGCTGAAGTACTTCAGGTTCAATGTCCCGGATCTGGATGACGTTCCTTTGGAGGAATGGAACCAGGTGGACATTCTCAAAGCAAAAACAAGTGCTTACCTCGGCAAGACTGATGTCAGGCAGCGGTTCTATGGGTGTGTGGATGCGGTTGCTGAGCTCCTAATGGCTGAGCAGGCTGCGTGGGAGCGCGCTCAAGAAAAAGAGGAAAAGGCAATGCCTCACTTCGAATTTCCACCCCGGGCAGTCGGCCGATAAAAATGGGGCTGGTGTGGTACGTTGGCATTTTGATTGAATCGGGAACTTCTCGTTATTGTGTACAATGGAGTAGGTGGCAGTTGTTCTTCAAAGCGGGGATCATTTTGGATCTTTCGACACCTTCACGCCTCACGAATTAGGTACGATGAAACGAGATGTACAATATCAACAATAAGAAAGTTGAAATCGCAGGCTATTTCTGAATTCTATGGATGAAGAGCCAACCCAAATGGGTTTGACAGATTCAGCAAGTGAGGCTTACCAATTGACCCAACTGTGGTGAAGACCACCAGGCAATCCACCCACAACACATAACATCATATACCCCGACACCCCAGACTCACAAATCAGATACGACCCAAATTACGAGAACTACATACAGCCACGGCGATTTTCGCGTACGCTCCAAAAAAAACCACATGCGAAGATCATGACGGAAACTGATCCTCACCACCTAGGGAAATGAATCCCATCATCAGTCGTTGATAGGAAAATTAAACCATCCCACGTGTCTCACGAACCCCTTAGCTGAATTCGTGTGACGCCTTGACTTGTTGGATATGTTGCTTCGAAGAAGATTTGGCAGGGAGAAGCTCGCGAAGAACAAAGACACCATGGCAGGACTGCCGGGTAAGGAAGTCCAACAAGTGATAGTAAAATATCCCGGGGCGAAGGGGGCAAATATAAGTTATATCCCTTTGTAGGAAGAACCCCTACTTCTCATTTCTGTCATCCTTCTTCCCAATTTGTCGTTGACATTTTTACTCTACCCAAAATGGCGACTTCAGTGCCAGAAACCAAGCGCGACCCAACCCACAGCGAGGGTGCCCAGCTCAAACAAGAACATATAGACTCCATTATCTCAGACGACAAGATCAAGTTCCAAGACTGATGCCTGGGAAAAGCTTGGATATAACTCTCCTACTTGGCGCAAATGGCAGATTCTAAGTGTTGGCTTCCTCATCCAAATCTTTATGAGCATAATGTGATTACGTACACGAATGCCGTCAGTGCTATCTCTGACCATCTGACCATTCGTCGTCAGTAAGCAAGCCACTCGCATCCCCCAAATGGCTTACCTCGTTGCCTTTGCTTTTGGAAGCGAATTCGGGCACCTTAGAGCGAGGAATATGGCAGGGGGCCAATCCTGCGGCTCAGTATTTCTAGTAAATATCTAGCAATTGTATTGCGCTCTTTTGAAGCACCACGGCACATGCGTTATCGTGCGTTTTCTGGGTGGTATATCCACCGCTGGTGAATCAGTCACAAATCGGAGTTCTTGCGAATATGTGGGAGTCAGATGAGCAAAAGTACGCTGTTACATCCCTTGTCCTATCCTCTGTTGGTGGGGTAGCCATTGGACCCATTTTCGGCGATTCGTAGAAGGTTACCCTCAAGCTTCCGTGGTTCTTTTTGGTTCAGTTAATTGAAGACAGGGCAATCCAGCTCATCCACTTCTTCTGCATGCCAGAGGCTCGAGTTACAATCCTACTTGATAACGCAGCTCAGTATCGGTGCAAGACTAGCAAAAGCATTAACATTTACGGTCCAAACGAGATCAGGACCTCAGCGACGCCCTGACCTTCACATTCCTCCAATTATTCCAGTCGGTATACGAACAATAGGGCTTTGGCCTTGCCACTATTAGTGTGAATTTAGCATGCGTGCCTATATGTTCTACCTCTTATACTTCTCCTCAACCCACTAATTTCGTGGCATACGCCGTCGTGACCCTGGAAAGTTGCAGCCCAGGGTACGATCCCGGTGGCTCCTCTTCCTCGCACCCCTCGAGATAATTGGTCCCTTCGGCTTCACCCGGGCGACTTTTGGTGTCCCATGAATCGCTACTATGATCTTTGCATGCATGCTCGGCATAGCAAATAGAAGACTCCATCTTTCAGAAACGCCAGCTCTCCCACCTCCCAATCTATTATTATTTTTAAGAAGGGTTATCCAATCGTTCAACTTGCCCTAAACGCCAGACTTACACAGAGACTGCCCTCTTCTAAAATTTCCGATAATCATGGTAGTAGTCCCCTAGATGCGGCATAGCAATGTCTACACGGGGTGGTAACGTCAAGGTCGATATGTTAAATTTACTTGAGTTGCACAAGGAATAGTTGTTCAAACTTTAACTCCAGCCTGGCAAGTAAGGGGAGGACATTAATTCGTTAGAAATTGGCCTCATATCCGTATTCTTTTCCAGGAACCAGATGGGTTGGATGGTTAAAAAGGGGTTAGGCATCACCTAGGCGTCCATTCGTAGGGACCGGTTCGTAGAGGTAAAGGTAGTGTAGGACAGAGATCTGCATTCTGTCGACATTCTCCCTAAATCTAGGAAAAGATTTTACGAATTAAATCTGTTCTGCTACTGTAGAGCGGTTAGTGTGAATATGCTGCTGAAACAATCTTCTAGCTAGGGATTAGAGATTCCACCAGGTTTCTTTGAGCTGATGACTTGTAGAAAATTTCTCTCCAACAGATAAAATACTTCATGTGATCATGTACACTCCTTGTGAGGCTAGTGATTTATAATAGGACTTAGCCACCATTGGATTCATTGTTGTTCGATGGAGGTGCATGGACGATGGGGGCTGGGGGTGATTATATTTTCTCATTTTCTAATCTCCTTGGTTTCTTTGCGCGGAATTAGTCTCAGGGATTTGGGTGTGCATCTGATCAACGATACTTTCTAGTCCCAGTCTAAAGGGTTCCTCCAGAAATACTAGATCCTAGGGTTCTGAGGCTTCTCCTTGGGAATGAGAATTATCATTCCCCGGTTCTTCAATATCTCATTGCATCAAAGTTGAATCCTGAGAGTTGTGGATGTTCTTATTGTCCTTAGAGCTGTGCGTGATGGAGGCTTGTTATCCATTGCCGCTGTTGTTGTTGTTGTTGTAGCCGTCTGGTCTGGACCAAATTCTTGAATAATTCCTTGAGGGGTCCTAAGGTAGGGTTGGCGTTAGTCGGCTACTAGGGGCCCTAGTTTTATAATCAGAATAGGTTGTCTCAGATAGGACAAGCCTGCTAGATTTCTTTTCTCTAGAACTACTTGGTTTACAGAGTTCTTGGTCGTATCTTCAACACCATTATTATTACGTTTTAGATTAAACCCAGACTATATTTCCATTGCAGTACTAAGAGACAGTTGGGTTAATTAATATTTTGAATTGATGGAATTGCGTAGTCGTAACAGTAGCTGGTAACGGAACAAGGTATCGTTAAGGGGCTTAGCAACGGCAGTGCGTGTAAGTCAATATTTAGCGTTTGGAGTTTCTGTAAATAGAATATGTAGTGTTAGAGGGAAGCCCTTGGCAAGCGTCCTTGTTGTTGCGAGACAATTAAATCAGAGGGGCCTACGATTGTACCCGGTCTGGTAGCATGTCCCATTAGACATCGTACCGGACCGGGTGAGGATTGTGGTATGAGGAAGCTGTATTGAGCGAGGGGGGAAACGCGGTGGAGTGTCGGCAACGATCGAGTCGATTAGACAAACACTATGAAGGCTAAGCGTTTAAAAACAAGCGAAAGTATTAAAACTAGACTGTAACCACAAGGTGTAGGGAACGCGATAACGAGCACACGATCCCTAGGCTTTAGAAGTGCCACACGCTTCGTTTACCAACTCCACAGCTTTCTGCGTGAGCAGCTCTGCGTCAGGCGGAAATCGAGCCGACAAGTAATTGTACGTTAGGTCGTGAACGACAAACCTATCATGGCAAGTCAGCCAACCTCCAAGCCCTAAATAGACAACTAACGTACGTGGAAGTAGGATTATAACTATTCTTGAACTGCGAGTTCTCGTCAAGACTTTCCCTCACAATCTTTTCGACCGAGTCCGTCCCAGCACCATATGTCTTATAATAGTCTCCCAAAAAATGGTCGTGTTATAGCCGTAATACTCTCTTCTAGGAACGCAGGCAGCGCTGTAGTCTGCACATCGTGTATAATGCTCCGGCCGTCGGGCAGTGATGACGAAGCAAGAACTTGGACGCCGTGGCAGATCGCAGCTACGCACTTACTGGAGGGTTTTCTTGTCTTCGGGAAGTAGCTTGCAACATGGTGGTGGACATTCCTTGAATCAATAACCAGCTGAACTGCCTTGTCATGGCCGCCAGGCAGAAAGACCAAATCGTAAGAATCTAGATTAAATGCTGGCTCCGTCCAAGCGCGCGGATTTCTGAAATTTTCGTTGCAGGACAAGGTCTGATAAGCAGATTTGGCAGCTTTTGATGCCCCAAGGAGAGCGCCTGTCCAGCCAGATAACATCTTCTCGTCGCAAACGGGAGGCTTGCCAGACTCTGTTGCGAAGTGGATTTCAAAGTCGGCTTCATGAAAGATTACCCAGGGGATTGCAGTCTCTGGATGCTCGAAGTAATATGCGCTCTCGAGGAAGCTATGGCAACGCGCGAACCTGTCGGGCCATGACTGTAGTCTGCCATTAAGAAAATAATCTTAGATACCATTGCGGCGAAGAGTGAGCCTGGGATAATATCTCGAATAGGAATTAAGCAATGTTTGGTTCGTAAGCTGTAGAGGGGAAACTGTGCTCAGGGTGATGGCGCTGACATCATAATACATGCCTTAAGGAAAGAAATTCAGAATGGATCTGAAAGGACCTCTGAGCTCCGCTCCTTCTGTGTCGTCAGGTCTTTTCCTAATCTTTATTTTCCCCTGATATGTGGTCACCCATCCGTTCGCTCGTTGAAGGGAGCAGAATGGAACGAGTTGGCGAAGGCCTCGGAACAGTACGAACAGGTGGTGAGATGGATGTGTTACGAGTGGGGACGTCCGTGTTCCGCACGTAGGGACAGGGCGAAACGAACAGATGGTGAGGATGTATGCGTAACAGGTGGGGATGTTCGTGTTCCGCACGTAAGAGCAGGGCAGAGCTGACGATGATGTGCCAAAACGGGTAGACAAATTAAGTTTAGAGAAACAGTAATAGCGGTGTGGGTCTTGTTTAAAATATAGATTATTTATTGAGGGGGGTTGGTTTCGTACCGTAAGCCTTGCGAGAATATTCTTCGTTGGTGGAAGCTTGTGACTTAGGGAAGAGGTGGTGAGCGAGGGCAGAAGCATGAGGAGCGATCGAAGTTGATTGGAGGCTTGCGTGCTCATCACGTGACAAGCCAATCAGCGTGGTTGAGGCCGTGTGTTTCCATCCATCCTGACTCATGAGCATCTCTTCTTAAGAAGGTAGGATTAAGATCAACGAGAGATCAAATGCACCATCATTGGTCGCTGCTGCTACGAAACCGACCGAGCGTAGGTATCTTTCATCCCGGTGTCTCTCATCTTGGTGTCTCATTAAAACCAACGCTAAGGTTGTAACAACAAAAAAATGAGAACGGACTCGGCGAACTGTACATTAGTTTGCACTACAACTTCTAGCAAGAAAAGGAGTCGTCGCGTTCAATATGGTACAACAAGAGTTGCCTGCATGAAGGATTGGAGAAGATATCTGGTCCGTTCCCGGTGACTGGATCACCAATTCTCGGCCTCCTTGTGTGTGGGAAAGCCCTTCGCCAGAAACCCTGCTTGACGACAGGTACCTCAACTTCGCAGCGACTTTATCTCACCCACACATTTTGATACTTCTTCATAAATTGGCAACGCTATTCACAGCAAGTAAATAACGTATCCCAGGGGGTTAACTTGAAAATTAATTGGGTTTGGCTGGTCTGAAAGCTGTTTTGGCACTCCACGTACTTCAGCCCTCGAAACATCATCACCACAACAACGCCGGCTCGCCTTCCCGCTGGCTAAAACAAGGCGCAATTCACTCTTCACGGATTGCAAATCGCACTGGTAGTGTTTCTAAAGCTATAATATAATGTGGGTGGAGTATAAAGTGTATATCGGCTATAGCGAGTGGTGCATGCGGTAAGCTGCAAGGCTATAGTTAGTTAAGTGGTCATGGTGGTATTATTATGTAATACCGAGCTCTGCAGCAATGTGTACTTTTCGAGCTTTATTTACTTCGTAACTATAACTCTTGCAGAGTTGGCATGAGTTTTGCGTGGTTGCAGGTTAGACCTAGCTCCGATCATTAAGCCCCTGCAAACGACGGAAACGGTCTAAACTGTTGATTCCGATATACCTATTCGGCTCGGCGTACGGCGGGCTCCAACCAGTGTCATGTAATGCTTTCAGGGATAAGGCATGACACCTTCACGTCTCTCAGCGACTAGATGCAATCCTCAACTCCTATGCGACCGTCCCTACAGAAACATCTGTCAACCCTATCTTCAGTTAGTTGCATTTCTGGCTTATATCCGCGGATGGTTGTTTCATTCTCCGTTGGCGTAATCACGTGAGTATGCTACATGGGTTGTGATTCTGTACGTCTCCTGACAAGGGCGAGAAGGACAGCGACATATTCGCGCTCATCTTAATATACCTAAAAATACGCATATAAACGTCATAGCAAGTCCTGCAGAACGATTTATTGTAGGTAAATGCCAGCCTTTCACCTGACGGGTTTTGGAGGATGTATAGGGCATGAGACGCAACACGGTAATGGCTAGTATTCATATCATGCGACATCTATTTGACTCTTAGAAAGCTCACACGACCAGATGAATGCCCTAGACAAACTATGTCCCCGCGTACCGCTGTACAGGTTGGTCGGTATTCGAATGGAAGCCACAGAAAGAGTTCGTTGTTGCGCAGAATCCATTGATCCTGCACTAGGATGTGAGACGGCAGTTTGTCTTGCGAATATGACGTTCTGGCAGAGTGTGAAGACAGGGGAATATCGCCTACATTGGTGTGAAGTGCTCGGCCATCCAGCGAGACAGCGAGATGCTGAATATACTGAGATCGAACCTCCAGCACGCTGCGACATGTCCCTGTCGCCGCTTCCCACACCCGTACTGTGTTGTTGTAAGATGCCAAAACAACCAGCTGCCCGTCTGGCGAGAAGGCCACCGCTATGGCTGAGGCGGAATGACTCTCTAGCACGCGGCGACATGTCCCTGACACCACCTCCCACAACCGAACTGTCTCGTCACTAGATGCCGACGCGACTAGCTTCCCATCTGGTGAGAAGGCCACCGCCGTGACCCGGTCGGAATGACCCTGTAGCACGCTGTGACATGTCCCTGTTGCTACACCCCACAGCCGTATTGTCTTGTCGAAAGATGCCGATGCGACTAGCTGCCTGTCTGGCGAAAATGCCACCGCCATGACCCAGGCGGAATGGCCCTCTAGCACGCTGCGACATGTCCCTGTTGCTGCCTCCCACAGCCGAACTGTGATGTCGATAGATGCCGACGCAATTAGCTGCCCGTCTGGCGAGAAGGCCGCCGCCATAATTGTGTCGGAATGGCCCTCCAACACGCAATGACACGCTCCTGTATCCGGTTCCCAGAGCCGTAATGTATTGTCGTTAGATGCTGATGCAACTAGCTGCCCGTCTGGCGAGAAGGTTACTGCCATAATTGTGTCGGAATGGCCCTCTAGCACGCTGCCACACGTCCTTGTCGCCGCCTCCCACAGCCGTATTGTCCTGTCGTTAGATGCCGACGCAATTAGCTGCCCGTCTGGCGAGAAGGCCGCCGCCATAATTATGTCAGAATGGCCCTCCAGCACGCTACGACATGTTCCTGTGGCTGCTTCCCACAGCCGTACTGTCTTGTCGTTAGATGCTGACGCGACCAGCTGCCCGTCTGGCGAGAAGGCTACCGTCCTGACCCAACCGAAATGACCTTCCAGCACGCTGCGACATGTCCCTGTCGTCGCCTCCCACAGCCGTACTGTCTTGTCGTCAGATGCTGAAGCAACTAGCCGCCCGTCTGGAGAGAAAGCTACCGCCATAATTGTGTCAGAATGGCCCTCCAACACGCTACGACACGTTCCTGTAGCTGCTTCCCACAGCCGTACTGTCTCGTCAGATGCTGACGCGACCAGCTGCCCGTCTGGCGAGAATGCTACTGCCATGACCCAACCAAAATGACCCTCCAACACGCTGCAACATGTCCCCGTCGCTGCCTCCCACAGCCGTACTGTCTTGTCATCGGATGCCGACGCAACCAGCTGCCCGTCTGGGGATAAGGTTACCTCTGTAATCGTGTCGGAGTGGCCCTCCAGTACGTTACAACATGCCCCTGTCGCCACATCCCACAGCCGTACTGTCTTGTCGTAAGATGCCGATGCGACCAGCTGCCCGTCTGGCGAGAAGGCTACCGCCGTGACCCAACGGGAATGACCCTCCAACACGCTGCGACATGCCCCTGTTACTGCCTCCCACAGCCGCACTGTGTCGTCGTTAGATGCCGATGCCACTAGTTGCCCGTCTGGCGAGAATGCCACCGCCTCGACTGAGGCAGAATGGCCCTCTAGCACGCTGCGGCACGTCCCTGTAGCCGCCTCCCACAGCCGTACTGTGTAGTCGTCAGATGCCGATGCGACTAGTTGGCTATCTAGTGAGAAGGCCATCGCCATGACTGAGGAGGAATGGCCGTTGAGCGTGCTGCGGCAGGCGTCCCAATCTGTTTCCCTCTTTGATAGCATCTCAACCCACTGCGGGACTTGCTCTGCGAAAGTTTTCCGTATCGCGCTCGTCTCTGGCGCAAAAACAAGTGCCGAAGAGTAGATCTGCAGAGGAGCATCTGCGAGTACCGAATAAAATCGCAATAGGAATCGATGGGCGTCGCGAAGGAAGCCTGAGCAGGTGCTTGTGGATGACTACTTTACGAGTTAGCAGAATGTGAGCAAGGATATTCTGTAAGAACCCTTACAGCCACCAGCGCCTGCAGTCTCCCAACCAAGTGCACACATTGATTTGTCTCCTTAATGAGGCTCATGGCTTCGAACCAATGGAGAAGATGCTTTTGTAGAAAACAATGCGTCGTGTCTCCATCGGTAATGTTCTGCTGGCTGCACTCTAGATGGTCTACCCAGTAGCGGCATGCGTACTGCAGTTCAGGGGGCAGACTGCTGGTAATTATTCCTTCGTCCATCTCGCTCCTTAGTGCCCCAGGGTTCAAGAGGCTGCATACGTCCTGCCGGAGGCCGCTAGGTGCGGACATGAGCTCAAGGCAGCGAGACGCCAGCTTCGTGTGCGTGCTTCTCTCGTCTACCCAGAACGGGCTCTTCCCTTGTTTTCGAGGGTCGACAAGAAACTCGCGAAATGACAAGTGCAGGAGTCTAACAGGAACGTCTTTGCTTTCAGGGATGCTAAGAACAGAGTGCAAAGAGTCTAGCCTGTAGGCAATCTGCTTCTGTGGGACCTGGAGAAGGCGCGCAAGTGAGGCGACTGAGAGGGGACTGCGGAGAACAACAATACTGCCCACTAGTTCTTGGAACGCGTGCAGCCACGTTTCCTTGTCCTCTTCTTCCTGCTCGGCGAATAATTGATCTAGCACGGGGAGATAGGTTCGATCAAGCTGTGAGAATGTTAACTTCCTGTACTGGAGAACCTTGTCTAAGTATTCCTCTGGATCACCTCCTTTAGTACTAACGTATCGGCACACTGTGGCAGCAAAGATGAACAGTGGCACAGCTAGCTCAACCAAGGCCTGAACCTGATCTGTTGTTGGCCAATCTGAAGACAGCATGCGCGCTTGCTGTATGTTTCCCAGCTCATGCTCGAAGAAGAGACGTATGTCGTTCTCGATGGTCCCCTTGGGAACCTCATGAAGAATCAGATCCTGGTGCATTCCGTTTGACATCTGCTTGAAGCCAAAGCGAATTGGAAGCTCCGGTCTGCTTGTTACCAAGACACGCAACGATATAGGCCGGATGTCTTTCGTCCGAGCAAGAAGCTGAAGTATCGCCTGAATGTCTTCTTCTCGCTCACATTCGTCCAGTGCATCTATAACAACAACGCGCGCCAATGCTTGCGTGCGAGCCTGCTGTATCCCTAAGAGCGGATGTAGGATTAGCTTCTCAAATTGGTCTTTCAGAGCCCTCTCCGACAAAGCTGAGTCTTCGTCGAGTGCCTGCTTTACACCAGGTAGCATGCCGGGCTCGCAGGCAACCAAGTCAATGGCGATTGTGCTGAAGAACCGTGAGGCATTGCCGCACTCGCCCTCGCCTTTCTTGAAGAAAAAGCTTGCTCCTAGCTGTCCTACTTCACTAAAAGATTGCGCAACAGTCCGTGCGATCGTCGACTTTCCCGTACCAGCCATGCCGCTTAGCCAGAATATGGGTTTGCTGTCTTCGCTCCTGGCCCATTCTGCGATATCACGCAGCAGCGTGATACGGGTGTTTGGTAGGCATCGTGCATTGTGTTCCTCATTGTGGGAGTTGAAGGAGGCACCTTTAGCGGTAGGTAACTTGGCCAAGTCTAGCTTCTGACTTAGATCCAATATGAGACCTCTCCACAGTCAGTTAGACGCTGTATCATCTCACAACAGATTCTAGGAAATGAAAGCTTACGTCTGATCGACTTGGAGCGCCAAGGTGAAGGTTTGCTCGTATCCTTCTAAGCTGGAAACAATTCTTCCTACTTCCTTACTTGTGAATGGCCATTTGAGAGCACGCATTCCAATCCGGCTCATGGTCTTGCGAGTCTTCCCCGGCTCTAGCTTCGCCTTGATGTCCGTCAACTCTCGAAGGCATTGGCTGCACGAGGTGAATAAGCCATGAGTAGTAGAAAGCGGCGCTTTGTCTTGTCTGCTGAGGAGCTGTACGATCTTTTCCAGGACGCGGGTGATGTCATCAAGTTTTCTCCGTACGCGCTCGATGTCATCTTTTGCGTACTTGACGGCAACGGAATACTGGAAGCAGAGCGAGGTGATCTTGGCAGATATGTCGATTACAGCGATGACGCTTGCAGCCCCCGAAAGGCCGTCCATTATACGAAATGTGGAAGAAGGGCCAGGCGTGAGGAGAGGTTAGCAACTGCTTCCTCGTACATCAGTTGAACAGCAAGACCGCGCATGAATTGTAGGAAGTATTGCAATCCATCATCCGCCTAGCGAGGCCGAGAAGGCAGGGACAGCCAAGCGCCGCCGTACCGCGGGAGCGGGTCTACCATGTTATCAGGCAAAAGTAAGGCGATTGGTCCGCGCACTGCAAGGGTGACCACTAACTACTTTTCAATGACATAAGCTTGGCGTTGTTATTGATTATATATTGTAAGCTGGACTCTACGATGAGTTGCCCAATCAACTTTGGGGTTGGCGTCTCATCATTCTATATAGTTCCTCGGAGCCTCAGTCCACAATACATGACCTCTTTCATAACTCATGCCCACTGCAAGGCTACAAATACAGTTTTCAAAGCTGTGTGTGACCACCCTTAGCATCAATCTCGCTAGCATACTATCAATAAGCTCCCTAGGGATATCAATACCTATATCTATGAACTATATTCTAGGCTTCCTATACTATCTTAGGTAGTTGATCGTATGTACGCTGCCCCCTAGATAGATCTAGGCAGTTAACCTCTATATTTTCTTTCCTCTTATCCTATCCTGCCTTACTTGGATTGAGGTCTGGTAGTAAGCTAGTCAAGATATAGGAAATTTCCCACTCTAATTAAGTTCTTCCTTAGTAGAAGCCGCGAAGTATCCGGGTGCTCCACCCTGCATAAACTAAGCTAAGGATTAACATGTAGCCACCTATAAACAGTTAGTACTATCCGATCACAGTGGCTCTCCTTGTTGATAAAATTCTACTCCTTCTAGCATAGACAGGGTCCTTTCAAGATACTAGAGAAGCAAGCCTAGAACATCAATCCACGCTTCTTACGAGCCTTACCTACTATGCAGGGATGATCTAACTCCTCACTAGGCCTTCTTGTAACCCACTTCTTTCAGTGCTGACCACCCTTTACCCATATTTCGTCGCTTCAGAGGATCCTCCACTACGGTCACAGTTCCCAGTTAATGTGAGCTTCTGCCTTTCCAAGCTGTATCTGTTAAATAGCCTTAAGAAGAGGAAGTTTGGCATAGGCTTCGGGGTGTATACATCTCGATTCCTTAAAGTGTTCGTATTATGTATTAGCCAACTCCCCAGGCCTCAAAAAGGCCTCCTTCCAGCCGTTAGAAGCTCATCAGCTGGGTATCACGCAAGGATCGTACAAAATCTTCAAATTCGTCAATTTAGGCATCAGTAAGCTTCGGTGGGATAATGTTGATGGAGGAGGCATTCCGGCGGTGACGCGTTCATACTGGCTACGATAGAGGTACTTTTTTCTGTTCACTTCTATCGCTGTAGCTTGTCGCACGTACCAACCTCCATAGCGGACAGACATTCCATCCAACATCTACGGCTAGTGACACCCCAAGAGCGGAGTAATAAGTGTCGCATGCTCCAAAGCATTGGTTCTCTCAATTTCAAGTCTGTAATCGAATGGGGTGGTGTCAGTGTGTCTAGCTGTTAGTACGCCCAATAGTATAGTACTGCAGTACACTGATTTTGCCTACGTACGTACATACAGGGCATCCACTTAGTATCCTGTACCGTACATGATGCTGCTGTGCTAACTGTTTACAGTAGTTGTATCGGATCTTAGGAGATTTAAGGTGCTAATCGCTGTTGCTGGTGATTGGGGTCTTGTGCTTAGAGACTAATATCGAGAATGCTGTTTTGTTAGTAATCTCCTAATAAATTTAGCAACTATGCTATCTACCTTATTCTTTTGCCTGTTATGATATCCCAATTCCTGTCTTAATTAAGGGTGCGGTCATCTTAGCGTGTTACCACTTTACAGGCTCCATCCTCACAGGCCTCATCTAGCTGTTCTGCTACCTAGGTATATCATGCTGTCTCATCTTGACACTAGAAAGGGCCCAAACGGCCACATATGACCTATATACAGTGTCCTTGCACAAGGCAACTCCTTCGCCTCCTCTAGTTCAAAGACTACTAGAAACACCACCAACCCTAGTACAAGCACGTGGAGTTGTGCATCTAGAAGATCTATACATGCTATTTAGAGGGCTTTAATGAGGAGGCAGCGTCGCTAGAGATATCACAGAGGAAACTCCTAGTAGCTAATAGCAACCCACACGACAAGCGCCTTAAAAAGTCCCTCTTAGTTAATCTTACTATCCTCCACAACAAGGCTGTGGCTTAAAGAAGGGGCAGAAGGCTAACAAGTTAGACTTCTACCTTAACTCTCTAGTAGAGGATAAGTACGCTAGAGATTAGCTGCTTACTTAGCTGCTTAAGTAGTAGTAGCAGGAAGGTTAGCTCTACTACCCTATCCTCTATAAGATTACCTTTAACTTCCTATTAATCCTAGCGACCATTTATAAGTGCGAGATGTGCTTTGTACAAGCTGGAGAGGATATCATAATAAGGAGGAGTTAACTTGAGAAGAATTAGCTCCGTAACAACACTGTTACTGGTAAACTACCTAAGCTTGTAGAGTATATTAATACAATAAGATTAACAACTGTAGATCTTACTAAGGCTATCATGGCTCCCTAATTAGGTTATGTCTCTAGCGTTAGCTTAAATGCTTTACTACATTTTGGTTACTGTATACAAACTGTACACCTACATCAGCTCCTCCGTAACTGTACCATACAGCCTCCAAAACACTCCGTAATCAACGGTTGGACACACTAGGTGGAGTTGAGGTGTGTCACGGGGCTGCAGCACATCAGTTGCAAAATAGTCGGTAAGACCACGATACTTTTTATTTTGACTGTGCGCTGCGACGTGGCATGGGTATTACGTCAATATTAACCAACGAGATTTTGCAGGATTTAATGGAGCGTCTGATTTGAAGTTGCGAAAAAGTCAATATATCTCTCGTTTTGTTTGGGACGCAGAGATTTTTCGCGACGCAGGCTGGGGAAGTTAGTTACAGTGCTAGTCTACTAGACAAAATGACGGCTTAAGCTAAAACAGTGAAATGAAAGAACGTCTGAGTGTGAACACAATGTCGACACAAGCGAGTTTATCTGCCCACTTCATGTGATTTAAATGCAGATAAATTTACACATCCTGGTAGCCGTCTCGAACGTAACGATATGACATATGAGTCTATGTGACTGTATTTGGTATTAGGATATATATTAGACTAGAGGACAAGGCGAAGTAACTTTACCCCTTGCGATTCTTTACACTCATATCGGAATCGTCGCCAAAAGGAAATAAAAGAAGTAATTTTCACAACAGTTAGGTGTCGTTACAAATCACTACATAAGGAGGTATTCCTCCACAGTCTACCTCATACTCCCTAGTTTGAAACAAGACTTACTTAGCAGCAAATCTTGACCTAGCCCTTAACCTACTTCCATAGAAAAAGAGGACGTAGACACCAATTGAACATCCACAGGTCAATCCGGCCAGGAGCGTGACGCCACGATCGACACCAAGATTTCCAAACAATGGACGCGAAAAGTGAATAGCCCCAGCTGCTACAGATGATCGCAAGAAATCGTTTCCAGCGAATAAGGAGGCGGCGAATTGAGGATAAACTAGAGGTAGATAAAGGAAGATACACTGGATGATTAGGAAGATACCGACGGTCGTGATAGCTATTCCGATGCATGGAACGATCCAATGTATATTCGGCCGAGACGTCCAAGCAAAGATGAAAAGGCCGATGGGAACAAGGAACGTGACTATAAGAGCGGGAATGAGGCGCCTTTCCGGAGACCCAAGGCCGTTCTGGATAATATCAGGCTCTACCACATAGCGGATGTAAGCCCAATAAAAGGCAATAGACAGAATGACCGCGACGGTGATGGACAAGAAAGTGAGACCCATCTGCCCGAGGTTGAATCCGTACATGACATTGAAGACCAGTGGAAAGGCCTCGAAGAAGGAATAGAAGATGCCATAGATCAGACTGGTGTAGACGGCTGTAAATGCAATCGCGGGGTCGAAGAGCATTAATTGGATTGGACGCACAAGCGCTTCGACAGCGACATCTTTGGGGTTCATCTGCGCCTGATCAATCTCGGATTGAGCCTTGAGACGGTTGTCGCCGGTTAGCTTTCGGAGGCGTTGAGCTCTGCGGAGAAGGAGATTGGCCGAACCAGTCTCAGGCAAAAAGAAGAAAAGTAACAGGAAAATTGGGCCGTTAAGCCAAAGCATTTCCCAAAGCGACCATCTCCAGTTTTCTGCTTGGACGCTGAATCCGGATATGATAGGCCCGAGAGCAGGGCCACACGTAGCCGCAAATGCCCAGATAGAAAGAACGTAGGGTAGCTTGATGATACTATACATGTCCCTGCCAAAAAGAGTTAGAATTCAGACAGTCTATACCACTGAGATGTGGAGAAAACTTACTGGAGAGTTGCGCCGCCAGTTGCAAGACAAGGTGAACCGAAAAACCCCTGGAGAAATCGGAGGACAACAAGTCCTGCAAAATTATCCACGAGCGCAGTTGGGACGAGGAGAATTACAAATATCGCATATGAGACCATATATGGAGGATTGCGGCCAATGACCGGTATCTCGCTCAGTGGGCTCCAAAGTAGAGGGCCAATCCCGTAAGCGAGAACGTACATAGAGAGACCTAAAGACGCAGCCTGGACAGACACGTTAAATCGTTCCATAACCCCTTCCTCGCTGGGAGCGTATATTGCGGAGCCCATGTAGACACTCAAGGTGTAGAGATCTATAAGCGCCATGACAAAGAGCTTCTTGCCGAAGCTCCAGTTCTGGGGGTTCTCTGGGTCATCGCTCGTGTACCAATCTACTAGAATCGTGCCATCTGGTAACTTTTCTGGCTCAATGGGTCGCGTAGGCCCTTTCTCGATCGTCGCTAAAGTAAATTGTTGTTCAAGGTCTGCTCTAGTAATTGATTTCTGCAGTGCTGTTCTTGTCCCCACTCGTGATAACTGGGTACGGGCGGTATGTGATGTTCGGGCAGTCTGTGCGGTTCTGATTTTCTCTAGCTCCAATTCTTCGCCTTCCTCGTCTTCAATATCGGATTTCTGCTCTAGAATCGTCTCCGGGTCGGGATATACAGCCTCTTCAACAGGCGGACTCTCTGGCACTGCTGGTGGTGCTTCTTCTTTGGTGGGATAATGTTCCAGCCTTTCATCGGGATGTGAGTAGCAATTTGGGCATTGGAAGTTAGGCCGTTCCTCGGGATATTGGAGGATGCGATTGCGAGTGGCCCACCGGATTAGTTGGCCAACAGGCGCATCTCGAATCAAGGCCGACATGCTAAAATGGTACTCTAGCGGTTGAAGTATTTGGAAGTGTCGACGCTTAAATTAAGAAAGGGAAGACGAATTGGAGATCTAGACGAGGGGTCAACAGTTCATATTTATCTAATGCACCTCCCCTCCTGCACAACAGCAGCTAATGAAGCCATTGATAACGAGCCTGTGTGACAGTCAGCAGGAGCTCACAAAGCACGACACATTCTATTGAGGTTACTAATAGCTCCACTACCAAGGATGTAGCTAGATTGGCTGCTTTTCCCTCCGAAGCCTTGGCATCGAAACCATGGACATGACGTGGAGCGCCGTGATTATTGGAGGACGAGAGAAAAGCGGCGGAGAAAGCGTCGAAGTTTGATGCATAAGCAACCTGAGTAATCATCTTTTCTGGGTCGGCCAATGAGCGCTCCAGGTCTGAACTCCATTCTGCCAAGATGGCTTGAAACACTTCATTCTCCTTTCAGCTTAGCTCGCCATCTGATTTTTAATGCCGTTCAAATATCCGCGAAATGACGTCGTCCGCTAAAGGAATCTCACCATTTCACCAGGTGTTGCACTTTTCGTCCGTTCCTGGAATCATCGAATTGTGGAGACGGGGACGGATATTAGAGGGCTAGCAAATTCGCTTTATAAATACCATCTCTTACTTCCGAGTCTAGTGGAAGGTTCGATGCAGGGACAAACAGCCCCAAGGTTCTGCTGGGCGGACTTATCGACTTGACATCACTTGGTTGTTTGTTAACTTGAGTTATTAAACTATTAATGCCGGTGAGAAGATATTTTAGGCTTGTTAATGTAAGTAGTTCGACTGCTAGAAACATGCAGGAAAAAAATAATTGTGTTTGGAGTATATTTCTTCGACTGCACAGTTAAATTTTTCGAGGCCTGCATATCCTAGCTGGTGTTTTGCAATAGCAAAAATTATATCTCGATGACGTTATAATACAACTAGAATCAAAGGTGGGGCGTCCACAAAGGCCTAGGTGAGGCAGTCACAGTCCTGCTCCCAATCACGTCCTGAGCTTGACGGTTTTCGGGGAAAAGATCGTAGCTGGAAGGTGATTTCAAACCTCCTACACATTGGTGAGCCTGCCGAAGAGTGGAAGAGATAAGATTCTTATTGTAGAGATCATCTTATGGAGCTTGTCAGGACAGTCAGTTTTCTAGAACTGCTAAGGATCTCTTCAGCGCTAATCCAAAGTGGACATGTCTGCTTATGAAATGTCTCTGCATTGTTCCCAGCCGTGTTAAGAAAACACAAGCCAAATTCGTTTTGGATATGCTGAGGGGTGTTTTCGGTCATAGAATACACGAAAATGGTGAGGTTAGAGTTGCTCTATACTCTCTATTCTACGTTACACTGCCCTATACCCTACGCTCTCAATTACCTCTCAGAACCCCACGCTATTGACCACGATCTTTCTCCGCACCGCCACAAACCTCAGTATCTAGAAACTGGCCCATCGATGTCTCTAGAAGGTCACCCTCCAACCCAATACATATTTGCCGCCAAGCCCATTTGATAAGCTCAACCTCGCCCTACTCTAGCGGATTCCCGATCTCTTATTTGAGCGTCACGCTTCTTTACCTTTCATTCAAGTCTACTCAACTAGACCATTTCAACTTCATAAATAAGCACTTCGAACGCCTAGTCCTCCGATTACAATATTGTTGAACTCAGATCGCGTACTCGATCCTCCATAGGGACATTCCTCAATTAACACGGCGAGGAAGTTAGGATCACCATGATGAATAAGACAGACCTCAACACGAATAGCCGTCTCGTTACAGCCACATCCATGGCGGAGATCACTATCCCTTGCACACAACTGATTGCCGCTGCCGATCCTCACACAAACTCCAAGCGTTCGGAGCTAGTGACGAAGTTGTGGATTAGCAGGAGAAGTGTGAGAAGGCGGAAAATGGAAAGACGATTTTCATGGGTCTTAGGGGGGCCGAGCAGAAGTTTGAAGAAAAGAAGGGCCCCTCAGGCTCCGGCAGACAACTATGATAAGGTGTTATAAAGTCTAATAGGCAATTTAATTCGGAAGCGGAGTATTCCCTCCTAGCGTGACACAATGTACACACTCACGCGTAGAATTTGGAAAGTAGCTAGGTATAGTGGGCAGGCTCCAAAGACAATCTAGAGGACACTGATAAGGATGAATACAACAACCCATTGATAGCAAATCACACAGTTAGCCATTCAAATTATCATAGATCATATGCATCGTTCGCCAAATTTGCTGTGCCGCTTCCGTGGTGCAGTGATTTATGATATCTCCCTATGCTTTCATGTACATTCAAGGGTGAGTTGATCATCCCGTGTAGCCTGGTCCTTCACTTTCATCACCCCATAACGCGCCAGTGGCCCGTGCACATTACATTTACTCAGCTCAGCGCTGCGTTGCAATATATAAGCGAGAGTGTTTCCCTATCCTCCTCCTACTCTTCCCACGGACATGTCTCTTTCAACGAGAGCAATCTCCAACAATGGGCTGCTCGCTGCTGGACACCAGCACTCCTTCTACACCTATAGATCCTCCCATGACTAGCGCTACATCTGCAGACAAGCCATAGTAAACCGCGTGTCGTCCCTATCTTGTCATCTCGAGTTCAAACAGATTCGGAATTGCGATCAAGAAGAGAGCCTGTACAATTTAGTTGTGCTACAGCGTGATTGCGCAGTTCACGTCTATGGGTACAAAGATGAGATCCACAAAACTAGGCACGCTACTATACCATCGTCCCTCAACTCGTAGCCGACGGAATTGTAACAATGCATCAATTCAATCCCATGGCGGTACTGTGCTGTGCAATGTCCTGCATACCCTCCATGCTCAAGGAAGCCTAGCTGTCTTGCCCTGGTTCGAAGATCCCTGCTCCTCCTTATCTAAAATGGTCAACGGCATGCGTTTAATTAACGCCGACACCATGCGGGCACCGTTCTTCAACTAGAATATCCGCCAGTATCTGCAGGGCGGAGTTATGTGAAGTCAGACGGTGTTTGCTATGTGCTTTCTAGAGAGTATAGAAGTACCACGGTATCTCTGCTACGTAGTCTTCGCTTTTTCAGGCCCTGGATGTTTTCCTTGGAACAGGTAATGAGATCTTTGCAGCGTGTTTTCTTGAACATACATGGTAGTGCATGTAGAGCGGTCACAGAGCGGTCTTCCAGCTTCTTGAAGAGACCAAAAGTACCAGTGAGTACTCCCTCAACTTTTCGCAGCATCTATCCGAAATTAGTAGTCACCTACGCCGTCAAAGAAGCAGCTCGGGAAAACCATAAAACCGTTTGGTCTTGCGAGACAGTAGGGAGAGGATGGAAGATTATGTGGGGCCAACGGCGAATATAGGGGTAGAGGGTATAAGAAATTGTGTTTAAGAGGTTGTTGGGGCCTTTCTCTCTTGTGTTCTGCTAAGAAGTTATTGTGTATTGCTTTTTAGTTGCATAAGAGGGCCAAGCAATTCTATGTTATATTCTTCCTCTAGAGGAAACGGTGGAAGAAGTAGAGTATTGAATAGGCCAGGTCGATGATGACCGCAATGCCGGTAAATTTATAATCTTGGACACAGAAGGTAATGCGGGTGTAATTTCTCGATAGAACCCAAAGCACGCTTTGATGGACGAGCACTCTGGATCTTGGATCTGTCCAAGCAGACGTTCTCCAAATACTTGGAGAAATAGCCCAATGTGACGCTTATTCTATGAGAAGGTTATGAAGAGGTAAGGCTGACACAGAATTCCAATTAATCGCCTAGATTCTAGGAAGGATGCTGGAAGTGTGCCGTTCCTCGGGCAGTTCACGTAGAAGGAGCCGCCAAAGAGTTCATGGTTCCCTATCCATCGTGGTGCAGTAGGAGAGAATTATTGTGAGAGATGATGAAAAGTTAGAATACTGAGTGGACATTATTAGGAATTCCAAAATTTACTAGCACAAGCCCTGGTATTTCTAGAGAGGTTAAGTAGATACCAAGACGTATTGCTAGTATTCCGGGACCGGGGAATTGCATATAGACTTGCGGTAAGATTAGAAGCATATAGCATGTTACATAGATTAGTAGATCAAACATATCTAATTACCATAAAAACAACGGAGATCGGCATGGAAACCGTTCCAGCTACTAGCTTCTAAAAAAAACACCAGCTGTATTAGCCATCTGCCAGTTAGCGGAAAGAGAAATGCGAATGCGATCAAAGAAGCCTCCTCTGCTTCATGGAGCCCGAGCCACCTCCTTGAGATGACCCCTCGTAAGTGTCATAAGTTGGAGAACGCTGATGACGCTTTAAGTTTGAACATGGAGTCTCCTGTACGATACTGGAGTCTGGATCTTGTTCCGGGGTGTGAGGATGCAAGTTCAATGCTAGATGTTCATCTGAATAGACAAGCCCAGGGCTTTCTTGATCAAAATTTCCACTCGATTTTATAGGGTCCTCGTCGGCATCTGCATATCGAAACGCCCCCGAGGGAGCATTTATTTGATCCAGAGAATTATCGATTGTATCTTGGTACGATTGGCGAACAAGGAAATCGTCCACGCCGGAATGATTGTAGTAAGATTGGGGCTGAGGCTCCGAGTCTTCAAACTGGGAATCTTCGTACTCCTCAGCAATAGCCGGCAGAAGCGTGTTTGTTCTCCAGTTCTGAGATGCCGCGAGAGTTTTGTGGATATCGTGAGTCGGAGTATTCCCCAGTGGTGGAGCGAAGAGGCGAGATACGACATCCTGACTTAATAAATCCCCTGAGACTCCATTCGCTGGCAAGTCTGCCGTAATCTTCGAGATAGATTCAACCAACCTGAACACTCTACGGCGAGGCTGCCAGTCTCGGATTGCTCTCTCATAAAGAGCATCAAATTCTGCAGCGTGGTATTGGTTCGAAAACCATGGATGAGCTAAGGCTTCAGTAGCTGACATGCGATCTTCTTCCTGAAGGATAAGAAGACTCTTGATGAAGTCCTTCGGCCGTGACCCTACCTTACTCCATATTTGATCATATTGATCGTCAAGAATACGGAGATCGCACTTGGAGGCAAGAGAGAGAATGACCTTGCCTGGGTTTCGTTCATACGCAGGATGAGCTCGATTGGTGAACAGAACATCACCTGAAAGGAGGGCCACGGTAATAGATCCGACTGACCACATATCCACGGCCTTAGAGTACCCATGTTCAGCAGGGATAGTCTTGTTGGCCTTGTGAATTTCGCTAAGATCAACAATATCAGCATCAGGCATCAGGCAGTGAAACGGGACGTTATGAACTTACGGTGCGGTGAACTCATACGTCCCAGCAAGAGAGTACATCCGTTGTTTCTGGGATGCTTTAAAGGATGTCGTATTTGACTCCCTTGGAAGAAACCTGGCATTCCCAAAATCAGTGATAACAACCCGAGCTCCGTCGTCGAGGGAAGTCATCAATATATTGTCCGGCTTGAGGTCTCGGTGGACGATGTCATGCTCGTGGAGATACTCAACGCCCTTCAAGATTTGCCTTACGATGACGGCAGCCTCAACATCGCAAAGACGGCCTCCTTTGTACTCGATGTAGGAGAAGAGATCGCCACCGGTGACAAGTTCCTGGAATATATAGCTATTTTGTTTATGAGAAGGCGGCACAGGAATTGGTTGAATTGACTTACATGCTGTTGGAACTCCAGAACACTTTCTCAAGACTGATGATATTTGCCTACAGCCTCTTAGGGTCTGGTCAGGGGGTTTCAATTGGATTCTTACATGGTTTAGATCCTTTAGAATGTCAAACTCTCGAAAGCACTTGTTCACCCTCGTTGGCCATCTCTTTCGCCTCTCGGAGTTTGATGTCGGCAACTTTGAACTGGAAAGCGGAAGACGTGAATATAGATGACGGAGATCAATGACTTTGCAAGCAAGCTGGCGCTGTGTCTTCTGTTTAATAGCCACCATGACTTTCCCATACCCGCCTATGCCGAGAACGCGACCAGTTATCAGATATCGAGGCGCAAAAAGCTGGTCGGCATTAGTGAACGCTCCACATACGTCGAACGCAGGTTTGTGTATTTACCTTCTTTTCTCGCTGTTGCACTGGGCTCAGTTCAGTTTCTTTCACAGGAACGAGTGAGCAATAGATCAGCGTCACGAAGTCTGAGATCTGTAGCTCATCTCCATCATCCAGGAGAAAGGAGCCATTCTTTCGACCCATCTGAATCCATGGGCCTTGAGAGCTCGCACATTCAGTATTGCTTTTCTTTAAGTAAGTGCCATTGGTCGAGACATCAGTAGCGTAGACGAAAGGCGGAATACCGGCTACAGGGTCTTGTTCGTATAAGACGCAGTGTATTCGAAGGTGTCGATTTGAGATGCATCTATCCAGCCAGTGATGTCGGCTACAATCGTTAGACGATCAAGCCATCAATGGGGCGACCGAAGCAATTACCAGAGTGCAGGATTTCTTCCGAGATAGAATTCCTCGTTTCCTCGAACTTCAATATGGGATTGAGTTTCTGCAGAAGCCGTTAGCTGCAACCGCAGTGCCAAGAAACGGGGCCCTCACCACCTGGATCGCCACCGTTGAGTCGAACCTCTAGGAGGGCTACCACTTCCCCCGACATTCTTCCACACTCCCCACTCTTCAACCCCTAACCAACAGCTTTGACTTTGCTCGGGTGGGAGAGGAGGTTCCGGGTTGAGGCTGGCGACTGATGTCGTCGGCTGGAGTTATCCACATTGAGACTAGCGCACAGACTAAGCGAAACTCCGCACATAGGCCTTTGTCTGCTCACCCTTCACCTTCTCTTCTACAACCAACGACACTCATCTCGAAAGCGACGTAAGTTTACCAATTATCCCCTTCAATCAGTCCAAAAGTATCAATTGAGCATGCCTATACTGTTTTCTTCCCGTCTACGCCCATTTCCCTCAAATTTTTGAGCTCCAAAAATTCCCTGCTAACCTTTCTCGCTCAGTCAGCCAGCCGACAAGATGAGAGCCAAATGGAGGAAGAAGCGAGTTCGTCGTCTCAAGCGTAAGAGGAGAAAGACTAGGGCCCGCTCGTAAGCTCTTCTCGTCCTCTTCTCCATTAGTAACACCTCTGACAGCCCCGCAGCAAGTAATCCACTCGATCCTCAATCTCAGCTCCCACGACCATAACTCACCAAACAATCAACACACAACGCATAACCAACCACAAAAATATTTCCAACTAACGGCTATTGGCAACTCTACTTTCTACTGCCAATGTCAATCCGGTTATCGGTCTTCCTCACGCGATAGATCATATGAACTACCACAAGGCCGGTATGGATGGGAAAATTACTGGATGAAATTGAGTGGGGGGAAATCATGGGAAGCTGGTCAATGCTTCATTGAGGACATTTCGGGAGTTCACTTGAACACGTTACTATCTCAGATGTGCAGGTTCTAACACCGGCGAGCTCTTCTTCGAGCTCGCCTTTGGACAGGTGCGTTTGTGCCATGTGGATTTGCTACTTCGGAAATCAATGCACTTTCCACGACAAACTGTTGTTCTTTACACTCGTGATATTTAAGTGAGATGTAAAATGCTCCTGCTCCTTTGGTGAGCGCAACCCAGCCTTCTCTCGTGACCTGAAGATATGCTTCGTCTTCAGAATCTGCGCTCTCGATTAGATGTCTAAACAATCTTCCCAACGTCAAAAACCATTTCAGCAATTGACTACAGCGATTTGGACCCAGATACCGTAAAGACCTCACACCATCCCCGACGGAAGGTCACGGTACAAGTCTAACAGTTACAGTGAAATGTGTCCATGTTAAAGTGTTTCAACGTCCACTCAAACAATCACTAACACGATCAAGCAACACAACTCCCAAGAATTGTTCCATTAAAGAGAGGAAGAAGTAAAGTTATGATCCACATCCCGTTCGTATCCACCAAACCCAAAAATATACATCCACCAGAAGATTATTTTTTTCGTACACGAAACCGACAAAGCCTACTCTCAGGCAACATACACACCCTAACTGAACCTACAGATCTACATCTGACAAACCCTTAAGAGAAAAGAAAGAGAAATACGACGTCAACGCATTATTCGCCATCCTGTCCTGGGGATATCAAATTGAAATGTATGTCCTCGTTCTGCCCTGTTCTGACCCCATGTTTATTCCTTGTCGCCCTTTATTCCATATGTTCCGCGCCACTATACTAGGAACTCTGGACTCTGTTCCTTGTTCGGACTTGTGTGTGCTTCGTTGTTCTGCCGGACTTCTCGGATGACATATACACCGTTGCTAGCGGGAAACCTGGAGGCTTGCCGGCTGTTGGAGGCCCAGGCATAGGTGTATACGCCGGGGAAGTTGGTGCTAGCAGATATCATCTCGCTCTCCACCAGGTCGGCGGTTTTGTGGTGGGAGGATGGGAGGACAGTTGGTAGGTTACCGGTACGGCCGCGCGTTAATAGACGGCGAAAGAATAATGGTTTCTGTGACACTAGTGCTGCAATGCATGCACTACGTGGGAGAGCTGGATTCACGGTCGAAGCTTGGTGGAAGTTTTGAAAGCGGGGAGTGGTCGGTGAAGACACCGATATAGAGCTATTCATAGTGTTCGACGATAACGTCTCGATGCCAGATTCGTTTTTTGAGGAAAAGCTCTTCGCCTTACTTCTAATTGAGAACCACGACTTCCTCGCAAACGAAGAACTGGTTGGAGTCGATGCCCCACTCACAGACTCCTTGTGTAGGCTGGGGAAGATCTTGCCCAAGCCCATGGCACACAGCATCCTCTTGTATGTGTTATTTGCATCCGTTCCGGTACCAAAGACGAAGAAAGTGAGGTAGCCGCCAGCGATCTGACCCCATTTGTCTACTCGGATTTGGCCTGCCACGGGGGCTTTTATAATGCTGTTCCAATCTGGTCCATGAACTCTGCTCCAGACAAAAGGCCCTTGGGTTTGTGAAGCGTTGAGGTAGAAGATCCAGATTGAATAGGGGAGGAAGATGACGATGATTATCATGGACATGACGAAGAGGCGCATGAAGCGTGACTTAGTAGTATTTCGAGCGGCGATTAGGCGGTGGAAGTCTTTGCGGTATCGGTAGAGCCGCCATACCAGAATGCCTGAGCACAGAGTGAGATTTCGGGTTGGTGGATGTGAAGCAGAAAGGTGTGAGACTTACCTGCATAATACGAACCGATGAGCACTGTGATAGGGGTCCACATGTGGATTAACACAATACTTAGCCAACTCTCATCCAAGGCAACGACGCAGCCGGAAATACCGAAAATCCAGTATCGAATCGGTTGGACGATGTAGTATATGAGGGCCATCAGCAGCGGGTAGCCCCAGCACCACAAGCCATCCAAGGCCTTTTCCCTTACTCTCTGGCTTTGAGTCGGAGCCACTGTAATGTTTCGAGTATCCATGACCTTGGCGAGCTTCCTCATGACCATCATCACGGCTGCTGGGAGACCAATACCGAAGCTTAGAAAGACTCGTACTTCGACATCGCAGAGGCCGTTGCCATCCCACCAGTGATCAATATCGTCCGTTGGCCATATGAGAGGATTGGTGAAGTTAAAGAAGTTGGCGAGAATGATCCAGAGAATGAGAGACCAAGCTGCTATATTGTGCTGGGACATGTGCCATACCAATGGTGGGATGTCCAAGAGTACAGCAAGCAGAGCTAGGACTGGGAGAATGACAGCGTTAGGGTAGAGGTAGTTTCCAAACGTCAACATTGTGCAGTTGGTAGGAAATGAGGAGCTCCGGTGTGGATTTGGAAGGTGCAGGCCAAAGGGTTGGCAAAGTTTGAGTTTCCTTTACGCTCAGGGAGAAGAGCTAGATCATTCAAAACTATCTTAAGTGGGCAAGTGTCAGTCTGGTTGCAGCGGTAGCGTTTTTGTTAGGTCGGGCGTAGAGAAGGGAGGACCTCCTAGGCGGTAGAGTTCGTCAGGCTGAGGATATGAAGGAAAAGACCAAAGGAATGGGTTGAAGGAGTAAAATATGAAGAGACGTGTAGAGAGAAAAGGTGGTGAGCTTACACCTGCTCGTTATCTATTCTGCGACACTGAACAGGACTTTTTCGACTCAATAAGACTCTATAAGAGACCATGTTCCACTTGATGACGAAAATCCTCAGTGACACTGGGACATTCCTCGTCCCCGGGCTCATTAGTTGCATCAAGAAACGAAGCCATTGAGCGCTTCACTCAATAGAGATGAATTAAAATGTCCCTTGGGCCGGCCGTGTCCAAGGTGGTCATGGTGCCTCTGAAACCTCATGACTTGCCGCATTTGGTTCTGAATAAAAACTACAACCGGCTAGTAACTTCTCAATAGAAAACGCGCTCAGGGGACGTCAGACACTCATTTAATAAAGAGACATTCAGCTCAAATTATTTTAATCGCCTTTTTCGCCTTGGAAGGAAAGTTCTGTGGCTTAGCCCCAAAATGCGCGCACGATATTGGCTTTTCTTAGAGAGTCGAGCCGCAGCTGAGAGGGACGCCCAACGCCCGGTACAAGTACAATACCTGAGACAGTTGGCAAGAGAGACAGAATTTATGCAATGGCTCGAGAAGACGATTGTGACCTAAAATGTTACGCATATTGAAGATAGACGGATTCTACAATATCGTGAGCGTTACCTCGATATCTCGCTTACAGGTAGGACTAAAAGAAGTTCTGAAGGTTTAAAGTATGATATTTATTTGATTCCTTTAACTAAGGTTGAGAGGCCGAGGTTGTAAAGGATAAAGATTGTTGCATGATGTACAGTGATTAATGCAGATCATAGAAGGAAGAAGTGGTTCCATATAATTAACCGAAATAGGAATAGCGTGTGATGTAGGGCTGAGCCATTCACCTCTCGGCATTCCGTCGCAACCTTGAAGTTACAAGGCTCGACATGTGAGAGTCTCGCCACGAGTCCAATATGCGCCTTCAAACCCGCCGCCTTCTCACGAAGCGTGGATTGGCTTCACTTGTGACATCTTCCGCCCTGACATTGTAGGCCTCAGGCTGCAACGCACTCGAGCATCCGCGACCCTCGGCATTTGTTCCGTTACTTCCTATTACCACCATGGCGGACGGCGCGCCTCCCGAAGGCCTTGCGACAAGCTCGCAGATACATCCCCTTCTTCGCCAGAGGATGTTGAATCGCGCCCCTACATTCTCAGAAGGCGCACATTCTATTCCACCCCTTCGCCGGCGCAGCTCAGTGCTCTCTGAATACTCGGACACGCGACACTCCTTTCGCTCTTCTACTGACAATCTTCTTCGACCTGGAGGACACAATATGGATACATTGACTTCTTCGGATGAGCCCTCGGTCTGGCATTCAGTTCCGCTCGCTTTCGCGATTCTTCCCGCCGTTGGTGGCTTGCTCTTTCAAAACGGAAGCTCGGTTGTGACGGATATTCTGCTGCTAGCCTTTGGGTCCATGTTCCTTAATTGGTGTGTGAGAGCGCCTTGGTATGTCTAGATGTTGATACTGTAATTTCCTTCCCCCGCTCAACGGTACGCAGGGATTGGTACCACGCTGCCCAACAAGTCCAGTATGCCGAGACTGAGTCGTCACAATCCAACGACACGATATTCGAGGAAGATGAAGACGGCGAGGAAACCCAAGTTGATGATGATCGAACACCACCAGAACCCCCACCATCCGAAGGGGCCACGAAACCGGAACAGTGCAGTGCACAACCCACGATGACAGAACAGAGCGCGGCTCAGCGTGAGCTAGGAAGAGAAGAAATCATGGCGTTGATCGCATGCTTCATAGGCCCGATTTTGGGAGCGTACCTTCTCCACACAATACGGTCGCAGCTCACGCGACCTTCCGAAGGGTTGGTGTCCAACTATAATCTTACCATCTTCGTTATGGCAGCAGAGCTCCGTCCTGTCTCACATATAATCAAGCTCAAACAAGCACGGATGGTCCATCTACAGCGCATAGCCAGGCCAGATGTTGACCCCAAGGACAGACTGACCGTGGGCGATGCTCAGGAGATATCAAAACGTCTAGCAGATGTTGAGGCACAGTTAACAGAGCCGATTAATAACAGCGACACGCAGATAACAAAGATCAGTGCCACTGTGCGGCAAGGTTTGCAGCCGCAGCTAGATGCCCTCAATCGCGCTGTCCGACGATATGAGAAACGCCAAGCGGCTCAGTCTATTCAAATCGAGGCCCGCTTTGCTGACCTGGAGATACGCCTGAAGGATGCCCTTTCCCTAGCTGCAGCGGCTGCGAGAACAGGACAAAAGCCTGGCGTGGTTTCTATGGTCCTGACCTGGATCACCAGCCTGGTGATGTACTGGATTCAAACGACCTGGGCCGTTTTGACATATCCTTTCAAAGTTGTGGCGGCCGTCGCCCTTGAGATTAAGTCTCGATTCTTCAGGGCCGGGCGTCAGCCCAGAAAGCGAGTCAAAGCTCCAAACAATGGCCATTCTTCAATGCCGACACCTCGGATGCAGTCGAGAAGTGGAAAATGACTATTTCTATTCCTATCTGACTACAACCATGTCTTATTCCACCATCTTCGTGAGGTCTCTATGTTCTCCGATGTCGGCGCTGGTGTTTCCGGCGTTGCATCGCCCATCCATCTTCTTCAAAGTTCAACTCTTCGAGATCTGATAGAGTTGCAACGCTTAGATACCCCATGTTCAATTCCATTCGGTTGTTACGTTTTAGGCAAACCGGGATTACTTACCCCGTTTCTGATAGCTGCCCAGGTGACGTTCCCTCGGGCAGAGTCAGTTGCTACCCCGCTACCCCACCCCTGCAAATACCCTTCCAACCCAAATTCCACTCCTATTATACTTCCGTCCCTGCATTTCAAAGTTTCAATTTCATACTTCTAATTTTTGAAATTCTAACAGTCTCAAGAACTCCCTATTCATATTCATAATGCCAATGAAATCAGATATTTTCGTTGATGCATCCAAGTTCGATCGCTCGACGGTCTCGGAGAAGACCAAAAAGTTCAATGAAAGCTTGATCAAAACCTGGAAAGATGGACCCCGATGGTATGAGGTACTCCAACGCTCAAACCCTTCCCACTCGCCTACATTGTTTTCTTAACCCCGTGTCTAGGTAGGGGCAGCAGAATATCGAAAGCTCAGATGGGAGGGGAAGACCCCATTACCAAAACCAGTGATTCTTCCTGGAGGCGTGAATATGACGATTCCTTCAAGAGACCCGGGACGAGAGATTCCTTGCAGGTACTTCAAGCCTGCAAATGGAGTATCCAAGGGCATTCATTTACATATCCATGGTGGCGGTTGGGTTCTACAATCCGAAGCTTAGTACGTCGCATGAATACAGACGGATTGGTCTAATGCTGACTTGAATAGCCAAGATCCGTATCTGAAATACATGGCTGATCATTTCGACTTGACAGTGTTTTCGGTGGGATACAGACTTGCTCCCGAAGACCCATTTCCGGCTGGAGCAAATGATTGCTATGATGCTGCAGAGTGGCTCATCAAGAACGGCGAGGAGAAGTTCGGGGGCGAGCTTATGTTTACTGGAGGAGAGGTATGTCTGATCTGTACATCTCTGCAAGCATTATTTAAATAACACTCTCAGTCCGCCGGGGGTCACCTCGCCGCCCTAGTTGCTCTCTATCTCCTCGAAAAAGCCCCCAGCTTCGCATTCAGAGGGCTTCTCCTTCACTTCGGCTGCTACGATCTCTCCGGCTTCCTACCCATGGTCGACCACCACGAGTTGGAGCTCGTCATCGACCTCGATGTGATGCAGAAATACATCGACGCCTTGCTCCCGAATACCACTCCTATGGAACGCCGGCATGCTTCTATCTCCCCCTTCTTTGCAGACATCCGGGGGAAAAAGCTACCACCAGCATTGTTTACTTGTGGAAGTGAGGACCCGTTGTTAGATGATACGCTGTTCATGGGTGCGAAGTGGCAGGCTTGGGGGAATGAGGCCGTGGTTAGAATTTACAATGGTGCACCCCACGGGTTTATTATGTTTCCACCCGGGACATGTGATGCAGTGCAGGAGGGTCTGGATGCCACTGAGGAGTTTGTGAAGCAGAAGATTGGGACGTAAATGGGATCTTGCGCCGCACTTAGCATTCCACCAGATGTATTTTTTTGTAGATGTCATTCCTCCAAATAGATTTTAGTATACCTCAAGACCGGCCTTTCGTACTCTAGCTGGGGTATATTGACTTGCAGCGTTGAATTATGCCCTTTGAACTTCACGCTTCGTCATATTCGAATTTGCCTAACTAATCTGTGGACCCTATAAAATAAACACAAGGAAGGTCTAGTCATCAACGTCCACCAAAGTCAAAGCATGTGTCGCTTCCGAATAACCACCTCAAGCTCTTAAGAAAACCCAATACGCAGACATGCGCCATGGAAGCCTCCTATAAACCATATCAATTCATCCAGCGCCAGATTGAGAGGCTAAGAACAAAAGATAGAGGCGGGAAGAGGACCGGGAGGAATGAGTTGAATACTGAGAGGATATATGGGCTTTTGGATAAGTATGGGTTCTTCTTCTACTTTTTGGCACGTTTGAGATGTTATTAGCGTAGCTTATTTGAAGCCTAGGTCACGGATTTTCGATAAATTTGCTTTACTAGATCGAGTTGTGTCTCTCAATGATTGGTTCCTAGACCCGGTCCGTCAAGCCTCCTCTTCATTCATAGCCAGCGTCTATTAGATCAGCCAGTTCACTAATGAAACATGAACACCAGGGATTCAACATCAGCGCTTTCTGCACAATTCAAATCAACCTGGGCGAATCTCCGCAAGAACTCCACCACGACGACGCCTACTGCTACATCCCACGTCCGCGTCCTCCTCTCGGCACTGTTATAATTGTCGTTCTAGACCCCTTCACTCTTACTAACGGCGCTACAAACATCATCCCAGGCTCGCACCTCTGGCCCTCGGGCGATGTTCCCACTCACCCCCACCCTTCAACTATCTCAATAGCCTGTCCAGCCGGTTCCGCTATCTACTTCCTCGGCACGACCTGGCATAGTGGCAGCCCCAATACGACTTCTACTCCGAGACAGAGTTTGACAGTCCATTATTGTTAGCCGTATATCCGGCCAATTGAGAATCTGATCTTGGCGGTAGATCCGAGGAAGTTGGATGCGATTCCGGAGAGGATTGTTCGGATGATGGGTTACGAGGTTCAAAGACCATTTATCGGGTATGTGGATGGGATGAGTCAAGGAGAGGGGTGTTAAGGTTGATGGACTGGGCGGGAAGGGATGTGGAGTGGAGTCCGCCAACTTTTGCGGATAGCGAGGAAGGCTTTGGGAAGAGGAGTAAGTTGTAGGGGCGAAATTGTTGGTTGGTTGTCTTATGTGAGTGATCTTCATTGAATATTTCGAGGTTCGCTAACTTCCTGTATCGTTCTGGTGTCACTCCTCTAAATCACCATTTATTGCCTCTCGATTTGGCGTTAATACGTCTTTGAATGAAGTGATGAGCTAATAGCTAAGGTTTTTGACGCTTTCGATTGTGAAGCATTACAATGCGTATTGTAGCAGAGACAATTGCTGCCTGCCTCAATTTGACTTCCTTTCCGTATCGCCACGTTTGATGTCGAAGGAGCCATCTTCAGTCAAGGTGTCTATATAAAGCAGTATTCGTCCTACTACCTACAGACCATTCCCTCGAACAATATATCTTGAAACCATGGCTCTTTCTGAAGCTGATCGCCACCTTCTCGAGAGGCTCTTGAAGGGCAAGCTCACTGGCATCCCGAGTACCATCTTACCTAGTTCTTTAAACTTAGACGAGTACTTGAATCTAGAATGCGCAAATCTACCTGCGCATTTCTAACTTGGTCCAGTGTTCTCTATACGACACTCGCCTACTATCTCACAAAGAAAACCCCATCCTCTACCCCTATCACTCCCAACTCACTAACCACCCCTCAACTCAGCACCCCCTCTGACATCAGCCTATTGTATCTACTCCAAAAGCGCGAAACCGTCCGCCACCGCACCAACTCACTCGCCATCTAATACTACCTCCTCGACTCCCAAGCCCGAGCCATCTGGCACTACAGTATGGACCATCTGCATTCGTGGGACACAACATACCTCACCACGCGCACGCAAGTTCTCCTTATTCTCCCCAAGATAAAATCTGGATACGCAGAGTCATTGGATGGAAGCACAGAGTACAGCAGCGCGAGATAGTAAAAGCTGTGCGGTTCCGGCGGCGCAGAATATGTTCTTGAGGGCGCTAGAAACATCGATGAATCCGGCGTATCAACCTATTCGAGCGACTATTGGGGTGGAGGTGAAGGAGAGGGTTGATGCTGCGTTGACGGCGTTTGAGGGGAGTGGTGTAGAGGATTTGGCAGAGGGGATGGAGGAGTTTCTAAGTGAGAATAATGGGGCAGCTGGATTAGTTCAGCTTAAGAGAAGGCTTGTTAGATTATGTGAGGAATCGAGTTAGGATTTCTGTGCTAACCGCTTTAGATACCTCCTGGAATCTTTACCCAGGGTAACCGTAACGAAGTTGGGTGCATAAAGGTTGTAGATTTCCAGGCCTCGAATGATACACGTCTTATTTAATTATTCGAGCTTCAGTCGTAGGAAGAGTATAACTTCAATCACCGTTAATAAGGAACTCTTCTATATGCCACTATCACACACTGAAGGCAGAGACCATAGCCAGGGTTTCCGCAGATCTACATATTCTATATAATGAACAACTCTGTCGCGCGTGCATTTTATCCGCCTATATATATTCTTCTACTGTGCTAGGTAGAAGGTTGACCTTTTGCCACGTGCAACAAACTCTATGGGTATGGAAAGCACATCTGATTGTGTCCAATCCGTAGGCTACGTGCAGAGAAGTGAGTGGCACAATCTTCTACCCTAGTTCAGTACTAACATACTCTGTAGCTGCTGTTTACGTTGTTAAGAGCCGGCGTGCAGCAGAGATATTCGTCTCGTTGAGTGTCTAATAGTAGTGGTGCTGAGGTTTCTCTGACCACACGAACACATATCGCCCAAATACATTGAATGTCGTGGTAGTGGTATGTGGTGATACTCCAACTTTATGTTCAGACCGAGATGCTCTCTAGACCATGTCGGCATTCAGATAGCGTTTCCAAGAACAGCAGGCTGGGCTGGCTACAGAGATCAGAGACCATGTGATCTATTGCGACAGATCTCACAAGAGGGAGGCATACCAGACCTGGACATGTCTAAGCTTCTCCGACAACACCTAATCGACCTAGGCTTAGCATAGTAGGCACTGCAACGTGCGAGCTTGGCAGGACAACGCTAGGCCAGTGGCATAGAATGTTCGATGAACTAGCTTCGAATTATATGGAAATTGCCCTCATTCACACTTTGTTTTCACTTGGCATGCTCTTAGGCTTGTGCATTAAGAAGGGCCGGAAATCCCGTTAAAATTTTAAGTAGGGTTCCACAAAGCATAGAGGTAAAGCACGTTTTCTTACTTTCCCAAAGAGGAAATACTTGTAGGGTAGTCTTTGTCTTCTCCCACAGCGTTCTCAAAATGAATGATCTTGTATAAGAAGAAATGTCCCATGTAGGAGGTATGCGAAAAAATTTTTTTTTTTTTTGCGAAAAAACAAGAATATTTTGGGGGGGACAACAGCTTAGGAATAGTGTGTAAATACGTCGTTATCCTACTTCACGTGGGAATTCACCGAAAGCGCACATGAATCGAGAGGCGAAAAGGAGCATGGGTGTGCTTTCCTAAAGTAGACTAGCGCGATAGCTCTTCTTCGATAACTCTAATTGAGCAACCGTCGTCATCCCGAACAACTCTTTATTTTCCCTTAGACGAGCCCACCCCTACTGCTAGTGATTAAACCCCTTGGATTCCTCGCGCCCAAATGCAGAGCTAGCTCGCTATCAATACCTTGATTTCGAAAACATGTCTTGACGAACTCAATTCTCTCCCCACCACTAAGAAGCATGGACGAGGATACCCCCTCTGTGAATGGCGAGGCCCATCGCGGCGTGTACATTGGGAATGGCAGCCCCCAAAGACGTCGCTCGAGTGGGATGTATCGGCGGGGGTCCAACATGAGCGAGTGAGCTCTGGATTCTCTATGAACAAGTAGATGAGTCTAACAACTTCCAGCTTGAGCTTCATAACGGACGTTGAGATGGCGCAAGACGAGGTGGGCATCGAACTCGCTCCAATGCATCCAACGCATACCGCAATACCTAGACAACAACTAATGACAAAAACCAAGGTCTTCGCGGGTCCCATGTCCGAGAGCGTCCCCACGAGCATCTCCTCCTTCGCCCACCGTCGACCGCGCGCAGACTCTACCACTAGCTTCACATACTACGATGACGATAGAGACTCGGAGGAGGGTGTGGAAGAGGAGGCTATTGCAGAAGAATATGGTGACATTGCTGATTACGATCAGTATGCGGAGGAATTGGATGATCTTGAGGCGGGCAGAGCCCCATCCTTGCTTCGGCGGAAATCTTCGGGATACTCGAGGAGATCTATTGAAGCGCCTCTATTGAGGAGACACTCGGCTTCAAGCGCAGACTCCGCCGAAAGGTGGAGAGGAGGTCGTATCAGCCAGAAAGTTTACATCTTGACCGAAGATTTAACCATTGTGGTTGCCGGCTTCAAAACGTCGACCATAGGCTTTGCTATATACATGGTCCTCTGTACCATCACTGTCGGCCTTGCTTGGCTCCTCTTTCGATGGCTACCACGATGGAGAGTAGCCATGACGGGACGGCCTGTACCACTGAGAGATTGCGACTGGGTCGTAATAGAGAACCAATGGGGAGAGTTTGCTGTGCAGTATGTAAACCAGCGGACATATGGTCGTTCTATATCCACTGTCTTTGGCGACCTTGAAAAGGTACCCTATGGAGACTACGATGAAGACTCGGATCCCGTCATTAGCCAGCTACACTCTCTAGACTATCGCTACATCCGATTCTGCTACCATCCCCTGAAAGACAAGTTTATTCTCACGAACACCTGGAAGGACCCTGCTTGGACCGATGTATCAGCGCTTCGAGAAGGGCTCGACAGTGAAGAGCGAGATTACCGAGAACTTGTTTTCGGTAGGAACATGATCGACATCGAAGAGAAGTCGGTCGGTCAGCTTCTAGTAGACGAAGCTTTCCACCCATTCTACGTCTTCCAAATTGCCAGCCTGATCCTTTGGTCATTGGATGAGTACTACTACTACGCTGCTTGTATATTTGTAATTTCGATTGTCAGTATCACCACCACCCTGGTCGAGACCAAGGCCACTATGAAGCGTCTACGAGAAGTGTCACGGTTTGAATGCGATGTACGAGTATTGCGGAATGGTTTCTGGAGGCATGTCGAATCTGGAGAACTGGTTCCAGGAGATGTTTACGAAGTTACGGACCCTTCGTTGTCTCAGATACCCTGCGACAGCCTGTTATTGTCCGGGGACTGCATTGTCAACGAGAGCATGCTGACGGGCGAGTCAGTACCTGTATCGAAGATTCCTGTCACGAACGAATCACTGGAGATGCTCAATCTGAGCGCTTCATCAATGCTTCCCGAAGTTGCAAGGCACTTACTATTCTGCGGAACGAAGATAATACGCGCTCGAAGACCGCACGACGACGGTGATGACGAGGCAGCTGCATTGGCAATGGCTGTCCGGACTGGCTTCAACACTACAAAGGGCGCCTTGGTACGGTCGATGCTCTTCCCTAAGCCATCCGGCTTTAAGTTCTACCGAGATTCTTTTAGGTATATTTCAGTCATGGGAGGGATTGCCATGGTTGGATTCGTCGCTTCTTTTATCAACTTCATCCACTTTGGCCTTGCCTGGCACTTGATCGTTGTCCGCGCCCTCGACTTAATCACAATTGTCGTTCCACCTGCGCTTCCGGCTACGCTTACGATTGGAACGAACTTCGCATTGTCCCGTCTGAAGCAGAAACAAATCTTCTGCATCAGTCCACAACGAGTGAATGTTGGAGGGAAGCTCGACGTGATCTGTTTTGATAAAACCGGCACTCTGACGGAAGAGGGTCTGGACGTTCTAGGCGTTCGAGTTGTGCAACGGCCCACCAATGGATTCAGCGATATTCTCACAGATGCTATAGAAGTCCTGCCCGGAGCCTCATACGAGCGAGATCCTACCGTCAACTACTCCGTTCATAAGGCAATTCTCTACACCATGGCCACATGCCATTCCCTCCGTGTAATCGACGACGAACTCTTGGGCGATCCACTGGATGTTAAGATGTTCAACTTCACAGGCTGGAGCTTTGAGGAAGGAGAACACAAATCTGGGACTGGAGATGAAGACCAAGATCACAATCTATCGCCTTCAGTTGCTAGACCTCCACCAGGAAGGGAATACGACATTGATCACCGCGCGGACAATGCGAATAGAAAACCAGTCGAGCTTGGTGTGATTAAGACCTTCGAGTTTGTCTCTCAACTTCGAAGGGCCAGTGTCATTGTACGACAATTCGGTTCACGCAATGTCCAAGTGTATGTCAAAGGAGCACCCGAATGCATGAAAGGCATTTGTCGACCAGAAAGTTTCCCAACAGACTATGAGGACCTACTGGCCTATTACACCCAGAAGGGTTTCCGTGTTATCGCGTGTGCCGCGAAGACTTCTGAGAAGAGCTGGGTCAAGGTCCAAAAGATGAAGCGAGAAGAAGCAGAGAGTAATCTCGATTTCATGGGCTTTATCATCTTCGAGAACAAGCTCAAGGCCAGTACAACACCCGTTATTGAAGAGCTTGAGAGGGCGAATATCCGCAAAGTCATGTGCACAGGAGACAACATTCTGACCGCAATTAGCGTGGCAAGGGAATGCGGCTTGATCAACAAGACCGCCCACTGCTTCGTACCACACTTCGTGGAAGGTGATTCACGAACAGCCCTTGCTAAACTCAGCTGGGAGAGCGTGGACGACCACGTTTTCAAACTCGACGAGAACACACTCAAGCCATTGCCTCCGCCACCTGAATCAGATGCCTCCCTTCCATACGACATATCGAACCTTCGAAACTACTCCATCGCCGTAAGCGGAGATGTATTCCGCTGGATCATTGACTTCGCCTCAGAAAAAGTGCTCCGCGAAATGCTCGTCAGAGGCCAAGTATTCGCACGCATGTCTCCGGATGAAAAGCACGAACTGGTCGAAAAACTCCAATCCATCGACTACTGCTGCGGTTTCTGCGGTGACGGTGCAAACGACTGCGGAGCCCTGAAAGCTGCGGACGTGGGCATCTCGCTCTCCGAAGCTGAGGCATCTGTCGCAGCGCCGTTTACCAGCCGGGTCTTCGACATCTCGTGCGTCCCGCAGGTCATTAAGGAAGGGCGTGCGGCACTCGTTACGAGTTTCAGCTGCTTCAAGTATATGAGTTTGTATTCTGCTATACAGTTCACGTCTGTTAGCTTTCTCTATGCTTCGGCGTCTAATCTTGGAGATTTCCAGTTCCTGTTTATTGATCTACTGCTTATTCTTCCTATTGCTATTTTCATGGGATGGAGCGGCGCGTATCCTCAGCTATCCCGCAAGCGACCTACAGCCTCTTTGGTGTCGAGGAAGGTGCTTACACCTCTGTTGGGACAGATATTTATCTGTGTGGTTATCCAAGCGGTTGGGTTTGAATACGTGCAGAAGCAGCCATGGTATCAACCTCCAATCGTCGATAAAGACCACTCAAACAGTCTGAACAGCCAGAACACAACATTGTTCCTAGTCAGTTGTTTCCAGTACATCCTCAGCGCTGTGGTGTTGAGTGTAGGGAAGCCGTTTCGGCAGCCTATGAGTCAGAATCGTAGGTCCTCCCCGCCTTCCTGTCAAATCACCCTAGCCAATTCATATTTGTGAGGGTGAGGCTAATACATTCCAGTACCCTTCGTAATCACAATGCTCCTCACCCTCGCCATAACCTTTTACCTCCTCTTCGACCCCGCACACTGGCTCTTCAAGCTCATGGAACTCACATATCTCTCCCCGGTCTTCAAAGTCTTCATCCTAGCCCTCGGAATCGGAAACTTTGTGCTTGCATTCTTAAGCGAGAGATTTCTGTTACCGAGGATGGCGATGTGGGTGGGGTGGATCAAGATTAGGGTGAATCCGAAGTGGAAGAAGAAGAGGAAAGCGTATAAGGAAATTGCGGAAGGGATGAGAATATAAGAGGGAAGAGGAGGAGGGAGGAATGATAAGTGTATCATGTGGAAGGGAATTTGAGAGGGGGTATTGATATGATTGATGTGATACTCAAAGCCCACGAGTTCCGTGGCCAGTTAGGCATTTCATTTCAGCCACTCCAGCTCCCTCTCTTCCACACCGTCCTTCCTTTAAGCCTCCGTTAGACTAAACGCCACGTCCCCCACCGTCGCACCCCCTATACATGTACTCTGAAACGTCCCCGACGGACAGGTCAGCTGCGCAGCCTTAACGCACCGTTCCCAACGCCCCTTACTAATATTAATAGTCGCGCCCGCATCCACGGCGTTCAGTGTGAACTTCGAGGTCCCAGATTGGCCAACGGTGGAGGCAGGGGAGCCGCCACATTTCTGGATAGTTCCCGCGATGCCACCGCAGATGGATAGGATGGCGACGTTCGTGGAATGGGTGTCCAGTTGGCTTAGGGGCTGTTAGTGTGTTTAATGCCCACACTCGTTCCTAGTGGCGGATTGGAGAGAGAAAGAAGAAGATGGTAGAAATGAATTGATCGTTTAGGGAAAACTGGAGAAAAGGGAATAGGGACATACACGCTTGCATCCAGACAAGTAGTTCCCGTGACTTCTGCGCCTGAGACTTGCTGGTTTGCTGGCGCTGCTAGTACAACGCTGGAGGCGGCTAGCACTACGTACGTGGAGACGAAGGCGGAGAAATGCATGATCGAAGTTTTTGCGTCGTCGAAGATACTAGAATATTCCTCGGAGAATATGTAAACTAGGCAGGGGAAAGTGCTTATATACAGGAGTAAATACGACAGTATTGAATTGCAAGAAATAATGATTCGATCAACGAAAGACGAAATGTAAACTGAGGGAATGAAAGAACGTAGAAGAACGGACAAGGGCGCTGTGAGAACTGGGAAGATCGCGCTCCCTATGTACTAGGCTGAGGTGAGGCGAGGTCCAGCAATAGTAACATGGTGCCGTGAAAATCAAACGCATAACCATCTCTCTCCGATCCTTCAACTACAAAAGGGCGGGGGAGCAGATTTTCATTGAACGGGTGTTTGGCGTTTCGATTGCATTCGGGAATTTCGCCGAGGGCCCTGAGGCATCATAGGTTTTAGATCTCGGGCGTTGTTGCAGGACCTAACCTCGGGGTAAGGTGTAGCGCGCTGTCATATCACCCCTTCGAATTTTTATGTAGGGAAGAACCTTGGAAGGTGATATGGTTTTTACTTGGTAGCTAAAAAGTGGATACAGTGACATATAACAGAAGTCTGTCTCTGCCTTCCTCCGCGTTACTCTTGCTCTTGGACAGGATGCGCGAAGACGCCGGCACTGTCCAAGAAAACGTCTTCATAAACACATTTCACACGACAAATACTACCAATCTTTTCCACTCCTCTATTTAGTACTCATCAGACGTTTCTATGTTGAGCTAGCATGCCTGACTCACGCCCATCATTCCATCATCCCAATCGTGCAATACTATCATTCATCCACGCTCCGCCGTCCCTCATCTCGAAGCCATTCAACCGTTAACCATCACACATGTCGTCGTCCACCCTTATTTCCCCTAAGAAATAATAAAAACAATAAAATAGCCTCCATCTCGGTACCAAGAAGTGTAATCGTATGTCATATGTCGTATGCAGAGAGGATCCCCACCTAACGCCGAGCGCTATGAGCGCCGTGTTGCCCGACCCATCCACCAAAATACCAAAAGATAAAGAATAAAGACACGTATAGAAAGGTACTTTGTCAGGTGTGTAGGCGGCCGTTTAAATCCATCTCACCGGACGAATTTCCTTGTCGCTGTCGCTATGAGTGTCTGCTTAATCGAAGGCGGTCGTCCGAATCCACATCGTTTACAAAACATCTCTCAACACATCCTTCTGAGTCTGCGTCAACGTCGTAGGAAACTTAATTCTGACACCGACCACGAAATCGCCCCGTTCCGCCGGCTTCTTGCTTTTCGGCATGCCGAGACTCGGGTACCGTTCTTCAAAGGTGGGGCCTGTTGGACCGCCGTTACTGACTTGGAGTTGTTTGCCGTCAATCGTTTGGACTGTTCGGCGCCAGCCGGTCAAAGCTTCTTTCAGGTCGATGTCGATGGTGTGCAAAATGTCGTCGCCTTCACGTTTGAAGAGGGGGTGAGGTTTCTAATAAGATGACATGTTAATATACTAACAGAGCTAGATGGGGGTATTGTAGGTGTACTTACCTCTTTGACAATGAAATGCAGATCCTGCGTTCCACCTTCGACCTGATCCCCCACGTCCGAGAACTTGATCTTACTGCCCGCCTTCAGCCCCTTCTTGATCGGCACCTCCAGAATCCGATCTTGCGTACTCTGTTTCCCAGTTGCCTGATCATACGTCTTCCGCTTAATTTTCATCTTCTTCGTCGTGCCGTTAAAAAGCTCTTCCAGGCTAACCGGGAGGTCCTTCTCAACAACTGTAACCTCAGGTGTCGGCGCCCGACGTCCGCCATCAAATCGACTTCCGCCGGGTCCCCGTTTCGAGCGCCCAGACGCGCCCATGCCAGGCATACCGCCAGGCATACCACCGGGCATACCACCCATTCCAAAGCCTCCAAGGTCGTCATCGTCGGCGAAACTCGCGCCTCCACCGCGCAGGAATTCCGAGAATATGCTCTCCGGGTTCGAGAAATGGAATCCACCTCCTCCACTACCCGTCGAGAAATGAAACGTTCTTGTGCCTCCGGGCATACCGCCCGAGCTCGCAAATGGGAAGCCACCGCCGCCTGCTTCGAAGGGGTTTGCGCCGGGCCCACCCCCGCCCTCTGGGGGAGGAGCGCCGCCGCGCAGCAGGAACTCGAGGCCAAATTGATCATATGTCTTGCGTTTCTCGGGGTCGGAGAGGATTTCGTACGCCTGTGAGACCTCTACAATACAACCACGAGTCAGTATCCAGCCTGGAGGGAAAGGGCCTTTCTTGTTTGTACTTACCCTTGAATTTTTCGGAAGCAGACGGATTGTCTTTGTTCTTATCCGGATGCCATTTCAACGCCGCCTTGCGATAGGCCTTCTTAATTTCATCTTGCGTGGCGGATGAGGAGACGCCTAGTCACTACGTTAGTCACCGTTGATGTGAGCATGGTGATGTTGCGAGAGATGCTGGGTGGGTAAGGCGTGTGAGGCTGCCCCGCAAAGCGCCAGCATGGGGGGACAAAACCCACCTAATTGATCGTAGAGCTTGGTCTCCTTGACCATGGTCAATCAGAAAGGATAGTTATGTGGACGGCGTTTGTGTCTCGTATTTAGGGTCTAGAAGGAAGAAGCAGAGTGGTGCAAGTGGGAGTGAGGTCTTTAATGGTTGAGGTGAAAGAGTCTCCCCACGTTTGGGCGCTCGAGCCAATCCTGACCGCCTCCGCAAGACGTCACACCCGACCGCCGACCAACATCGAAGCTTCGCGAAGCTTCTACGTCCGAGCCCATTGTCGCACAAGACAAAGTTATTAAGGCTTCTGGATGTATTTGACCTCTTCGCCCCCAATAGCTACAGCTCCATATCTAGAATTTGGAAAGGATTCGAGTAGTCGACGCTGCACACCGCTTCCATAACCTTTTCAACCTTCTCGACTCAATAAATTTTGGAGACGCCCAACTCCACCATGCCTTGCCATAACGCCAGCTTTCAAGGCGCTGTTTGCCGCATGCTAAAATACAGACCAATATCCAGGGGGAAACCCGCTAACTAAAGCTTGCATATCCGATTGCGGTGCACAACATGGCCTGTGATCGCAAACAACAGCCATCGGCTAGTGTCACATGCCATACAAACAACTAGGTAGTCGTGCTCGTGTTCTTAAGATTCGGTGTCGCTGTCTTCAGTCTTACGCTTCTTTGACTTTTTTTCGCCCTTGTCTGCCTTCTCGGCCTTCTTCTTTTCTTTCTTCTCTTTCTTCTTTCGCTTCCGCTCCGCCTCATCTTCCGGCGTGGTCTCTTCGTCACGGTGCTTGCGTTTCTTGGGTTTCGCAACAGCTTCCTCCTCTGCGTCCGCTCCTGTGAGTGGGAGTGCAGGAGCAGCAAGCACCTCGGCGGATGCCGTTGTCTCGGCCATTGTGACATCAGCCTGTCCGTTAGGCGCACTGAAGTCCTTGTACTCGGTGGTCCACTTCGCCGGAGTCTTATCATTCGGGCGTCCGAATTTCTTGCTTACGTTCAGCAGAATCCTCAAACAAGAGAGACAGTACTTACATCAAGCTGACCAGATGCTTTCATTTTCTTCTTCTCCGAGGCAACCGGACCCATGCCCCATCGCCTTGGATAAAGGTCTCTATCCATAATACATCGCTTTACTCGAGCAACAGTGCCATGATCGCATGATAACATTTCAACGGCTGCCATCAGGGCATAGCCGAGTGCGATTGCCTCCCCTTTGGTAGTCATGAGCACAATCTCCTCATGGATTTGGATATCCTTGTCTGCCGAATGTGTTAGCCTAACCCTATCAGGCAGCATCGCTGGACGTACCAAAACGCAATAGACCTGGAAGCATGAGCTTTGCGCCATAGCAGACGGCGCTGACAGCGCTATCCTTGACCACCATGCGTTTGTATGTCGTGAGAAGGCTCTCTAGAGGTGAGATGACCCGGCGTAGATAGCTTTCGTCACGGTTGTTGTCTTGTACCCACTGAGCATCCAAAACATCGTGCAACGTGACCATGCCCTTCTCTTCATCCATGGCTCCGCTCCGCACTCTTCGAAGCTCTTGCATGTGGGCACCAACGCCGAGCAAAAGTCCAAGGTGAACGCACAGGGTTCGGATGTACGTTCCGGCCTCGCAGCTCACCCAGAAAACACCTAAGTTTCTTTCGTTGTCAAATTCGTAGACCTTGCTCTCGTGGATCGTTCGAACACGAAGTTGTCGCTTCACGGCCGAGATGAGTGGAGGTCGCTGGAACAGCGCGCCAGTCAGAGTCTCGAGGGCACGCGCAAATTGTGCTTCTCCTCCTGGCAGCTTATCATGAAGGCGAATGACACACACATATTCCTTTCCGGCACCCTGCTGTGACTTGACGAGACGAGTGGCACGGTCGATACAGACGATGAGGCATCCGGTGACTTTCGGGTCCAAAGTTCCGCTGTGGCCAGTTTTGTCAACTCTGAGGTCACGTTAGTACGGTTTTAAGTTACTGTCAGAGAAAAATTATCACCTTAGGATCCGCTTTATCCAAGCTACGACCTCGTGGCTAGACGGATTTGAAGGTTTGTCGAGATTAATCACTCCAGAGCTAATGTACGACTTGAGGTCGCGTTCGAGAGGCGCACTACCATGTGGAATAGGCGTGAAATGAGCAGTTTTGACAAGCACTATTTGCATGTTAGGAAAGGTGTTGCACAGAGCTGTGCGGATAGCTACGTACAGTCGTTGTAGTTCTTCAGTAGCAACGGCCAGGTGCTGGTGTCGATAGCCGGAGCGGAGGCCTGAGGCTTAATGATGTACTTGTCGGCGTCGCTCGAAGGTGCGAGAGCCATGATGGGCGACTCTTGCAGTAGCAATTGGCTGTGTATAGCTAGGTCCTTGGAGCAGAAATGAAATTGGAATTTTTGTTCCATTTTAGCTTTTCCGAGATAGACCCGGCTTGGTGCGCGGTTATGTAATCCGAATCACGTGAATCACACAGGGGAACCTTGCAAAGGTAACAAAAACTCGACCTTCCGATAAGGATAGCTCATATCTCCACAAAGAAGTTGGAACAGGACGGGCCTGAGCTCTCGTGGGAGGTTGCACAACACGTCACAGCGTTCAGAAAGACACATCGGCGGCCAATGGCATTTTTGGCAAGCAAAGTACCTACCGGTACCTCAATATATTAAGGCTTATTACAATACATAGCGAATGTGACTGCAGGCAGAAGTATTGAAGAGGACGGAAAATATAACTAAAACAATAACCCAGGAAATCCCCAATCACCCGGTTCGATTTCTGCCATTAAAGTTGCCGAACCGTCAAGTACCAGTGCTGAGAACGGCTGCTCGTATCTGAAAAAGTGTAGAACATCCAAACAAGACATCTCAATCCTGAACTCCAGACCAGCTGCCTCATGCTCGAAATGGAAATGGGAAAGAAGTGACAACGCCGTGCGGTGGTCTTGAGAAGCGCACGACGAAACAGCCAAAAATGAGAAAGAAGGACGAGACTATGCATGTTGTACGGTTGGAGTGTTGATATAGACAATGCTAGCAAGTCGTGACGGGGGATTGGTTCGTATCGTTATCGTTGTGTGGTCGCCCACTCTCACGCGCATTTTCTTTCGGAGCACTTTGTATGTGAGAGAGTCATGACGTCCATATGGGTGGCGATGCTTGCCTCGAACGGCACTGTCACTGGTACATATGCGCGCTGATAGAAGTATCTCTTCGTGCCGGGTCGTGGATCGTATGCAGTGGCGTCGTCGTCGTCGTCATCGTCGTCGTTGAAGGGAGCTCAGTAGAGCAGCTTGAAATATGAAGAGAATAACTAAAAGTGAAGATGAAAAAGAAAGTGAACAAGAAAAATAATGCCTCCCCTGTGCAAGCAAATCCCAAGGAGAAGACGCGACGAGAACTAATACAATTCCCCATCCAGACTTAGAAACAGCGCAGAAATCCAATATATTCAACAAATGCTTTTTCGGTACCCAAGTCAAAGATGCGAGTGCAGGAGTGCGAACCCCTTGATGTGTAATCTCTACCGTCGTAGCGTCATTCGTCGTATGCGTCGTGAGAAGTGGTCGATTTCGAGGCCATCCCATCACCTCGGCCGTAAAGTTCATCACCAGTCATCAAAATCTTCCTTCCATCACATGTTATTTGGTGATCACAACTCCTTCTCGCTAGGGTCTATCATCCTCTAATACCCTCAGTGCTCAACCACAATTTCGACGCTGTTTGGTAATTCATCGCTGCCTCGCCCATGATGACCATTCTGTCTGGGACGGGAGGAGCCGAAACCAGAGCGCTCTGGAATTGGACCTCGAGGCTGCCTGGATGGCATACCTTGACCTCTGTCGCGGGATTGATCATCATAGTTTGTGCTGAAAGTTCGGTGACCTCCAATAGGACCTGGATTCTCCCAGGAGGTCATATTGCGCAAGGCACGGGGACTGCCTCCTTGCCCGTATGTGGAACCGATTTGCATCCGTCCTAACGCGTTCTCCAGCAAACTGTCATCGCGCTGAGCCATCGAAGCTGCAGTAGGTGTGCTATTCGGATTTGTCGACGTTGAAGTGCTCCCAAATGCAAGATCATTCATATTCGGTCCTCCAGGACGGCCAATAGGATAGCTAGCGGTCGAGGGTACCGGAGACGGCGTGTAGGAACGCAGATCAGCATAGGATTTTGCGGCACGTAGGTTCGGCGCAGCGCTTAATCCGCCCGGAGAATCAGGGAATCCGAGAAGTCCGGTGTGTCTGCCAAAAGTGTTGTAAAATCCATCGGATGCACGAACATCGCTGAAGTCCGTGGTTGCGGCACGGTTGAGTCCGCGGCGTGGTTGCTCAGTCGCATGACTCGTAGGCATTTGCGGCATAGGCGGGCTCACGTTTGCACCGTCGTGGACTTTGAAAATGTGGACAGCTCTTTGCTCACCCGAGCCTTTGGAAACGTGAGCTAGGCCCATTTGATGCGAGAGAGTGTGGACGATCCGCCGTTGGCTTGGTGCCAAGGTAGGAGGGAAGGTCATGCTCTCACGCTCGGCAGTCTCCTTGAAAAGTAGGAGTTGCGAGTAGAACTGCAAGACTTGTGGGTCATTGAGGTCGACGTCTGAAAATTCTCGTCAGCACGTAGATGAGAACTAGGGCATTGGAATACACACCGAGCTTTGACGGTCGGCCGTTTACAGGAGATGGTGAAGATGCAGGTATGTGAGATGCAAGTGAGGCAAATGACGCCTGCGTCTGAAGATTCCCTCCCAATGGCCTGTGCTGCTCCTCCAGCTGGCCTCGGCGCTCCCGCTTCTCTCTCTCAATGCGTTCCCGTTCAGCGAGCGGTAGCATCTTCTTGTACTCAACCCGGAGCTTCCGGCCGTGCAACTCGAAATGATTCATTGTATCAATTACCTGGGCTGTTTCCTCGGCTGTGGTGAAGTTTGCGAAAGCCAGCCCTCTGAAAACGCCATTATCAAAATGATAGTTGAATGCATAGGGTAGAGGCAGCCGGAGATCAGTCATCAATTGGACGAGCTGTTCCTTTTTTACGGCAAATGGGATGTTCTTGATCACGATAGCCGTAGGGATTAGCTCCTCATCAACGTCTTGCGCAAAATTGTCCTGTCGTAGAGATCCATGGCTGAGCATCGAGCTGGGGTGTCCAGAGCCCAACCCAGGGAGGGCGAAACTGGGCAGGCCCTGAGGCTGATCTAGCCATCCCTAAAAGTCAAGATGTGTCAGTCACGGTACCATGCTGTTGAATTCGGGTGCGGCCTACCGATGGGAGTGCACTCCTTCCACGCCCTGACTGCTTAATCCGGCCGGCGCCACCCAAGGAGGACAGGACGGTGTTTTGGGCGAATGAAGTCGCATTCCATGCGGGCGTTCCCATGTCGTATCCATATCCACCGTGAATAGTGGCATTGAGGCGGTCGTAGTTGCGCGGCTGCTCATAGCCACGGGCATGGTCTTCTGCGGTGTACAGGCCACCGGTGGGGAGCTGTCCGTAGGCGTCGAACTGTCGGGACGGCTGGCGGTGCAGCGTCTGTGGCTGATGGCGATGAGAACCGGGCGACCGCGACGAGGGAGGGTCGTATGCCGAGTACATGATGAAGGAGGGTGCGAGCTGCGACGTGGACAGCTGATGATGTTGTTCAGGGAAGGCCGTAAAGGTAGCAGGTGGTTATAGCATTTGCTGCCAAGTCTCAGGCCGGGCGAAGGAAGGAGCAGCTCAGTGGCTGAGAGCGAGTTGAGGCAACCTTAGAACACCGCAGACAATAGACGGCTGCGCGAGTGCAAAGCAAAAAGGGACGGTCAAACTACAGCAGCCAGGGACGAAATGTGCGGTGTCGAGGTTAGCGGGAGGTGATTTGGCTAAGGACAGGGTTGGCGGGCGACCAGCTCCTTTCTCCTTTTGACCCCGTCGTCGAGGGTAATGAGATGAGCTGCAGCTGGGTGGGGCGCGCGGCGACGGACGATGCAGGCGTCAAATTCGCAGCAGAGATCTCCCGCACGCGTCGGCGGGCGCAGAGACGTGGAGGTTGAAAGAGTGGTGGTGGGCGTGCCTGTGTTGGCGGTGGAAAATTCAATAAGAGGCGAGCCCTGGAGCGTTGCTGGGTGCTTGGGTCTAGCTAGCGGGGATGACGGCGTGAAGGGTGCGAGAGAACATCACCGCCGCGCATCAATGCTCTAGCACCTAGATCCAAGACATAGACACAGGCGACAGGTGTCAGCGGCAGCGACGGCAGGCTGACTCACGCAGAAGGTTTCATTCTTCCGCCGGGGACGATGCACTGCGTGTGAAGGCCGCCGAGGGGCTCATTGGCTGTCGTGCTCTGCGACTCTGTTCTGTTGCCCCTAATCAATAAAAGCCTCCTTCGCTGCCCGTGCAAGTCGAAGTACCTTGGTACACGCGTTTTATATGATTTATCCCGCACTGTATCAAACGCTGCGAACAAGCCGTAACCTCGTCGCTATAATATCTGTCCGGCGACGAAATATGTGAGGCTTTAAGACGTGCGATAACCCACATGTCCTTGACTCTTGAGCCGCACCTCTGAGGCCATGCGCCATCCATTCACCCCCAGCCAGGGTATGCTTCTGGATTGGGCGGGCCGCGCCGCTCTTGTACTAGAGAAGCTGTAGCTCGCTCCCCCAACTCAAACAACACCAATTATAGCCCCTCTCCTTTCATATCTCTTTTTTGCTTTTTGCTTGCAACTCTTCGCCTCTCGTGAGCTCCTTTCCACGACATATTTTGCCTATTCTGCTAGCTCGGGGCGCGGGGCTGCGAGGAGGGCTCTAGAGCTGCCAACATTCGTCGTAAGCCCAGATTCTAACGAGATGAGTGTGGTCGGGTGCCACTTCAGCCTCGCATCAGCTGCCCAAACTTTGGTCCCGTTGCCACTGAAGATCGTCAACCTTCCAGTCGGTCCTTCGCCATCTTGCGCCCAAGGAGCTCTCGACAGAAGGGGGAAAGACGTTCGCTGCGACCCGATACTCAGGAGGCAGCTGGAGCAGGCTGATGATGAGCTGCACGTATTTAAAAATGGAGAAGTCCACTACTCCGTAATGGTACAACCAATTTGACATTCACGAGCACTGCTGCAAGCCCACCACGACGTTATTACACTTCTTGTCAAATCTGCACTTGCGCACGAAAGTGGTCACAGCGCGTGAGAAGATGGGTTACACGGCAGTTAGGCTGCCAGCAACTAAGTTCATTCGTGAATACCTCACCACACACCGTCGTTGCAACCGCTGTCCACCATCACAGACCCGCAATGCCGATATTCTGCCTCCCGACTGGCTGGAAGTGTAAGAAAGGTTCCCCAGGATCGCTGGGGCCTGCATCTTACTTCGATCATGTGATCGGTAGCCGAGAGAGTTGCAGGAGTGAACCAACCGCGCATGATGCAATACGTTGGGTATGTTGCAGAGTGTCTGAGAAAACCTTTCCCCGGCGCCGTAAGCTAGAGTCTCGGACACAGATCCTGGTACATTTCGGGAGGTAAATGTAGAACATGTAGGTATAGATATCGTAGCTGTATCTCAGCAATGCAGCCGCAACGGCTGCCTCATTCCGTGAAATTGGGAATCCGAGTCCACTCGGTCTCGCCCACTCGACGAAATTCAGCGCCATTATCGAAATGGCCTTGCTCCTTCCATGCGATCATATAAGAAGTAGGAAAGGGACTGTGGACGACGTCAGGAGACGCGTCATAGCGAAGCTCCCACTGCGTGTCAGGATCCTCTGCTTTCTGCACAGGCTCCTTCCAGTCTTCGCCTGTGTCATTCCTGTACTCACGCACGAGCATCTCCCGCGGGATGTCGTAGACGTCATCCATGCCTTTCTTCTCTAGAGCACTCACGGACTCGGTAATGTCGTTGATAGCTTTGGTAGCCCTTTCGGCTGCAGCTTGCTTGTCTGGGTCCTCATCCACGTCCATGGTCCCTGATTTCTTGTTCTTATCCCATTTATGTCGCTTCTTTGGCTGCTGTGGGCGTACTTTATTATATCGGGACAAAGCCTCCATGGGAGTCTCCGCTCTCTCGAGGAGAGGAATCAGGGTGGTGAGAACGTCGCTGGTTACAATGGCATCAATGGCGCGTCGCTGCTCTTTCTGCTCGGCTTCGCGCTTTTCATGAGCCTCCCTAGCCTTTTTCACGTCTTTCTTGGAGATGCCATCCAACCAATTATCCTGGTCAGCCTCTGGATCGCGAGCCCTCCTCACATAGTTACCGCTCTCGTCGAAACGACCCTCCTCTTGCTCCTTCCTCATGTTGAACGCATCGAGCTTTGGCGCATGCTTCTTCTTTCCACCAGCGCCAATCTCTTCGTCAACATCGCTATCCAGTCTGGCTCTCTCTTCATCATCGCCACTTTCGCTACTTGTCTCGACATCGTTCGTGTGTGAATCGACCCCGGCAGCGAGATCAGCGGCGACATGGCCACCGGATTTGCTAGTTTCCTCCTGACCTTCAATTTCGTGAGTCTCTAGGAATCGCACAGGCTTCTTCTTGTCTTTGCGACTGGGTTTCCTCTCGTCCTTGTCGGAACCCGCAAACATGTCATCATCTTCGTCATCGTCTTGTAAGGTAGCTGCGGCCTTCGCTTCAGCGCGGGTATTGAAGTTCTCGGTTGAGGAATCGGAATCGTAGCCATCGACTTTGACAGCACCACGCTTGACCCCACGGCTCTTTCCAACGTCGCCAGCCTCTAGATTCTCATCGTCGGATTCGACTTCGGCGACCAAAGTGGAGGGGTTTCGGGGGTCAAAGCGCGGCTTCTTCGAGGGAGGCTCGTCCATGATAGGTGATAAATTTGGGACGATATTTGAGTCTGATAGAGTATTCTAAAGGAAAGCAAGTCTGGAATAAGCGAGTAGTTTAGGCTTTCTAGTCTAGCAATGGGCTTCACAACCCGTGAAAGCTTGCATCGAGATATGCACAGCAGGCGCACAGGTTGGGGGAGCTTAGACCAAGCGGCGGCGACGTTCCGTTCCGACACCGACGTTTGGCTTGGCACGCAATTCACGTGCCTTCGTGCACCCTGAAGCTCTACCTAGACATCAGCCTAGAGCGGATTACCGACCGTGTTTGTAACCTTTTTAGCAGGAATAAGAAGACTGAAAGTGGCCACCTGTGCCTTTTATTCGCCAAAAGCCAGCTGAGGTCCCACCGGGTATCCTCCACCCTATTCTCGTTCATTGGCATCATCTGTTGCCTGTGCAGCTCTGTAATAACTGTCACATTGACCACTTCAAAAGACCTGCCACCTCACACCCCATACATTCACCAGCCGTTTCTCCTTCCTAATCTAAAGCTGCGTACCTTCGCCCTCCCGAATTCTTCATAGCCTACCCCGCCAACATGGTAAGTACGACTATCAACTCCCCCACTACCTCCGAGCTCAAATTCACCACCCATCTAGTTCAACCCCAACTACTACGACGAAGACGACCCCATGTCGATGTACCAGCAAAGCATGTTACGCCGCGGAGGCGGGGCCCGCCGCTTCGACGAGTACTTCCGCTGCTACCCTATCGCTATGCTACCGGGACCAGATCGTGTGGAGGCGAACCATGGCGGCAAGGTGTTCCTGCCACCTAGCGCCCTCGACAAACTGACGAGGCTGCACATCACCTATCCCATGCTGTTCGAGCTCATCAACGGAGCTAGGGATGGGAAGAAGACGCATGCGGGTGTGCTAGAATTCATTGCTGAGGAAGGCAAAATCTATCTTCCGTACTGGGTAGGCAATTCTACACGATGATCCGCAAAACCACATGCTAACTTTGTCATCCAGCTCATGCAGACACTACAGGTCGAACCCGGCGATCTCCTGCAAGTCAAATCGACCGACATCCCCCTTGGAACCTTCATCAAGCTGCAGCCGCAAGACCCCTCCTTCCTCGAGATATCAGACCCCAAGGCTGTGCTGGAGAATGCTTTCAGGAACTTCTCGTGTCTTACTACCGGCGACGTTTTTACCTTCGCATACAACGATAATGTATACAGCATCGCTGTTCTAGAGACCAAGCCGCCGCATCCGAGCAGCGCAATATGTACTCTCGAAACCGATCTCTCCGTCGACTTCGCGCCACCAGTCGGATACGAAGAGCCGAAACGGACAAGTGGAACGAGTACACCACGGAGCGGTAAGGGTGTCATGGCAGGCAAGGGAGGGATGTTGCACTCGCACGGATCTATGGCACAAGCCATCAACTATGCCGCCATCGCCCCTTCTGCAACAAGCGCTGCAGACGGCGCGAAGGCAGTATCCTCGCATTTCCTCACATCCGGGCATAAGTTGAATTCAAAGAAGGGGAGCAAGGCGCCCACACCCCAGGCTTCCACGCCCGTCGCTGGCACATCCACAAACGCACTTCCCCCAACAGTGCGGAGGACAAACGGGCCCCAGCCACTGAGGCTAGCACTCGGAAAGCTATTCTTTGGCTACGATATCATCCCTGTGAAGGGCAAGAATGTTGAGGGAGATGATGACAACTCGAAAAACTTCGAAGGACAAGGTCAAACGCTGCGGAAGAAGAAGGGCGACAAATGAGCGACCTAAAGATGGATGGTTTGCGATAATAGCACAGCACCCGCAGCTCATTGAGATCAAGCATGGGTGTAAGCATGCATTTCATGGCGCTAACACAAGACCCGGATGGCCTGGCGCGCGGAGTTAAGGGACGGAATGGCAAGTGGATCAATGACGGATCAGTATAGCTTCCTTCGCATGATCTCATCTGGGAATGGAATCCAGGCTTTGCCCATTTTGCTTTCACCTCAGCGGAGCAAGCTGTCGTATCCTACTAAAATATTCAGATGACGAAGATGAATCCATGGGTGAATATGTGATATTGATGACTGAATGCTATCGCATAGCAAAGCATACTATGGCATAACAAACAAGTCAAGGCTTTTGCAAACTATTTAGTTGCGATCCTGAATGAACCCCAGTCATGTCATGTAATGTAAACCCAATTCATTCCATCCCCCAAGGGCTCAAAACAAGAAAATTGACTCCGGACATACCAATTCTTCCAGGCACGCAGGTGTCAAAGAAAAGGAAAGTCCCAAACCCCTCCCAACTCCATGCCACACCATCCTCCAAAATGCTGGAGAACTCCTGCAGAGTTGATCCAGTCTTTGCATCACGTAACGGACAGATGGGTCCCTTATAAAAGTACAGAACAGAACGAGAGAGAGGGGGAGAATCGAGGTCTGATAGGCCACCGCCATCGCACCCAGCTAGATCGTTACAAATCCGCCTCATCACAAGTGACGAGCCGCAGGGAAAAGGACCCGTTTGATATACGACCGGACATGCGGATGGATCTTTCAGGCCATCAATTAGACCGGAGGTCAAGCAGGGAGACGGGGATGCGGAATGCTAGACTTTAGAGCTCCCACTTAGATGTCGACCTGCTCCTCTTCTTCCTCCTTGATGCCGCCTAAGTCTTTTTTTGGCTTCCCGGTCTTCATCTTCTTGCCGGGAACTCCTTCGTCGCTTTGACCCTCGCCGTTGCTGTCAGTCATATCTTTTGCAGCGCGCTTCCGTCCCTTGCCAGCTGCAGCTGTCTTTTTCTCCGCTGCAGGCTTCTTTTCGCCAACTGTCTTCTTCTCGCTAGCGCTAATTGCGGGAGCAGCAGCCTTTCCCATCCCACTGCAAGCCGGTACCGAGATCCCCGCTTTGGTGTGCATGTTGCGTTGCTCGACGCGGAGTTTATTGTAGCGGATGCGGACGCCGTTAAAAGTTGTGCCTGTGCTACGTCAGCATGTTGTGTGAAATGGCGAAATGCTGGAACGGGGGTGACTGGGGAAGAAAGGAACAGGGATGGGGTGAAGGAATAGCCGTACCTGGCATAGCGGTCACGAATTTGTCGATGTCTTCGGCACTGATGGAGCCTGTGTAACCAAGCGTGAGGATTAGAAGCTGTAGTATTGTCAGATAAACACAGCAATCAGAAACAGAAACAGGACGAAAGCTGGAAGGTAGCGAGAATTTTGGGTGAACATACCTTTCGGTCATTCTCAGCAGTCCATCTGAATCCCTAAACCATCTTCTTAGTCTCACATCATATCCACTGCTTCACCTGCTGATGTGGTAAAACGTACCTTGTCACTGTCGCCAGTCTCCTCTTTCTTCTGGGCTTTGGGTGGCATCGTAATTGATGACGGATGAAATATGGACTCTTGAGCAAGCGTAGTTTACGCTGAAAGTGTATGATAAAGAGTTGAAGTGATCTGAAGGGAGAGCGAGGTGGAAGATGGATGGAGATTGAGAGTAAACCGGGGTGGATGAGTGGGTATTTATACTAGTGACACGGCCGTTAAGATATAGTTTGGCCGGGAGAGGGAGCTGAGGTGAAAGTGTGCGAAAGTGTGCGTGTGAAAAAGGATATGAATAGAAAGAGAGGGTATTGAATGAGAAATGAAATTTAGGTGAGATGGAATGAACAGGGCCAGAGATGAGAATTCTTCGAAGTGTTCGTGCTGTGATTGATGTGTGTTTGATGTTATGGTGGAGTAGTAGTAGAATGAAGATAGCAGTGAACATAATAAGTATGGCTATGAGAACCAGGAGCGAAGAACTGGACATTGTAAGAGAACTAGAACTTAACTTTCCACCTTATTATCCTTAGATTTAGAGTTGTATATAATCTAACTAGACATATATCCTGCAAGGTTTAAAGCTATTGCTAAATAAAGGTATTGCGCGATGAGGAGGGCTCCAAGAGCATATCCAGATACATCCCTGATATCAAACCTCAGGATCGCAAAATATGAGGTTAGGTCTCCTCGCTCATACGAAACTTCCCGAATTCTATCTTGAGAACTTGAGTTGTTATAATCAGCGACTTTCCTTCCTCTCTCCCCGTTTACAGAAGCCAGCGTCAGCGTGCATTTCTCGTCGTAGGTTCGCGAGAGCGGGGTCTCAACAATATCTGCGGTTATATCTCGGTAGAGTCTTTGATCCCCGATTTATCTTTTTTCGATATCGTCTTTAGGTCTCTGATGTTGAGGCAGTTCAGAACAAATCATTAGGTCAGAACTCTACAAAGCTTCAAGGGAATGGCCTCTTGCGTGCGAGGTGTGTTATTAGACTTGCGAGTTTCGGAATATATTGGACGCGGAGGTGTGAATTGCAACCGTGCTTACAACTGTTCGAGACTTGCGAAAGAGTACCGAAGCCGCCCAATTTCGCACTAGGCGCCGCCCTGTTTTCTGATGCCACAAAAAGGCTTTAGGGAGGTTGTGGTGGCTAAAAGTCTCTCAAGAGGATAGTTCCTTAGTGAGACAATCGTCAACAACCTCCAGAGCTGTAGCGGTTCGATCCGAGGGAGTACTCGTGCGGACATGGCAGTAGCCATCTTGCTTAGAAACAGTCAGCAAATTTTCCGCTCTGAGTGCAGCTCCGACATTTGCGGTATTGGTGAAATCCACCTGGGTTATTCACATGGGCTGTCTTCTTTCTAGTCTGCTTGTACTCGCGGGTGTTCACTCTCATTTCCCGTCGTGTTGTTTTCAGGTCGCTCTTTGTACTTGAAATAGACGGTGCGCTGGCAAGTGGAATAGATCGTACGAGGCGACAACTAAGTGTCTTTGAAGACGGTATTCATCTGGCGTGGTCTTGACAAGCAGATCCGACATAGACGATTCTATCGACTACGGGATGTCGACCGAAATAAGGGCAGGCGTCAACAGCGTGGACGTGGTAGACGCACCCACACACTATACGAGGAGTTAGTATGTGAACCATGAATCGATGTTCCCACCACGGCTCCGTTTCTTTGAGAACATACCAGGGTATTTCTCCACTACGCGTATACACATTTCGACTGTATGAGTTGGGAAAGAAGTTTCTGAGAAGAAAATGGAAGAAAAAGCAATACCCGCTCACCGCCCAATTTCTTAAGAGGTTAGGAAAATCATGAGGAAACGGAGGCTCTAAAATACCCAAGAGCAAGTCAAGGAAATAAGGTGGGCATAATATTGGTAAGGCAGTGTGGCATTGCTGGTATGGAGAGTATAAGCGGACCCTGAAGTTGTGAGATATAAGAGGCGAACGGAGTCCGCATCCGCTGTTGTGAGAGAGGCAGTGTAGTGTCATGGCAAAACCCAAGGGAAATTACGAGTGCTACCGTCACCGGTTACATCATAAGTCGACCTGCAGATTGCGGGGAGCCAGAGAGGCCGCCCTTAGTTACCCGTGGCTTTCTCGTACGCCTGAGGGAGCCATTTTCCCTGTTTGCCATATTCTCCATGTGATGTTTGAGAAAGCGGAGGAGGGCAAGGGACGCTAACCCGGGAGCAGCACTGACAAAGGTTCGCTACCAATAAATAAGGAGACCGACCTTGCATGCCGGTGGGGAGAGGCGGGTTCCGGCAGCGCTTGCCGCGGTGTACTAAGGATGTCACTTAGAGCTGTAGACAATTCTGGTTTGCTAGTCAGTAGTAAGGATCAAATGCAAAAGCCTGGGCTAAGAGATATATCCTCCACAGTTTCAGGTCAGCGACTTAGCCTGGGCACAGTACTCGTCAGCAGAGACAGGTCTCCTAGGCCAAGTACAAATGCAGAATGGCGACTAGATTGATGAAGAAAGGATTTGATGACAAAATGTTGGATATCTATCAAATGAGAAGACTGTTGAGTTAGAGTAGCGACCAAAATAGGGGAATTGCGCGAAGAATTCGTATGCGGAGAGAGTGTAAGGCAGTCTGCGAGGCGAGCGGAGGTGGAATTGGGGGGTTAACAGTGACGTTGAGAAGTGAATGGACGAAACAGCAGGGAGCGAATGGTGATCACCACTCAACGTCAGCCCTAAGGATCTGGGCGGCAGTTCAGCCCGCCACTTGCTTCCACATTTGAACCTCACGTTTAACCCTTACCACTGTCTCTTCATGGCAATACTTGCGTTTTTGAGGATTGACAGCGAGGGCAATACGAACGCAAAAAAGCTTTCAGCCGCAGCAAATGGTCACTGAAACATGCGCTCTTCGTTTCAGATACTGTCGCTGTCAGCCATGGAAAATGCAAGATGCAATTCCCCGGAAATTTGTCAACTTTCGCAGTATCATCAAACCCCTCAGCAATATGTCCTCTGGACTTGCATACGTAAAGACATCGGAACCCATATACGGAAGAAAAACCATCATGCGCCCACCCCAGCTCGTATTTCGAGGGCGCTGGCAGGTCTCAACGCAGAATTACCAGCAGCATGTACGATTGATAAGTACATTCTATTTCCTATCCTCACCTACTAATCGAATGACAAACCGGTAGAATTATCGTACGTTGGGCGCTGAACTCAGCACCTCCAACTTGGCACTTGTATCTCCAACATCTATTTTCAGTAGAAAGGGGGAGTTGGTCGTTTCACCTTCGGTCCAAAACTTAACAAACCAAAGTCCTATCGCACGATGAATAAGGGTTTGGCATATAATGAATCGCATGTGATATGCCCATGGATATAAGCTAAAGATAAGGGTAGGTATGTGTAATGTGGATTCAAGAATTCTAGCAGCGCCAGGGTTAGTATCTAACTTCATTCGCTGGATACCTTGCAAATGATCCTAGACGAGACATTGATAATTCTTCGCCCCATTCATCAACCATTCCATTCCATTCGATTTATAGTACAGCTAAGTAGAGGGTAGGTAATTTAGGCCTGGGTAGTAAAAGTTGACAAAAAGCAAGACAGCATGCCTACTTCTGACGACGCCCCAAAACCATGCATTAGGAAGCGTGTCCACATACACGCATTCGCATTCGTCAAAAACAATCCAGTCCGAGGACAGACTGCCAGCAATCAATGCATCCACCGATGCTAAGATATGAATGACAGGAAAGGGGGTCATACAAGAAGAGTAAATACTTTAGGGAGAAAATCAAGAGTTGGTCCTATGCGCGCTGGATGGGGTATGCAGTATCGATGATTACACTTTTCAAGATAGATGGGCAGATGGGGTCAAGCAAAGTGAAGGCTATCTCGCAAAGACCTTTACCTCGCCATCACCACCAGCCGAAACCACCAGTCTGCCATCTTGACTCCAAACCACACTACAGACACCCTCCCCGCGCATGATGCGATGAGATGTGATCTCTTGTGTGCAAATTCGCTTCTCCAACGACCAGAAGCGGATCGAGGCATCATGACCGGCGGAGACAGCCTCGCGGCCGTCTTTGCTGAGGGATAGGGATGAGATGGCGGAGGGATGTGCTCGCATGCTATATGTGCATTGTCCTGTAGGGTTTTGTAAGCCTCTCAGAATTTACGAGCAATATGATGGAATATGAACCCTTACCAGAATTTGCGTCATAGAACCTGATGAACTGGTCTTCGTGGCCGGATATTACTACTCCTTCCACTCCACCAGCGCTACTAGAGCCTGTGGGACCATGAACAACACCTTCTTCATCTGACATACCTCTACCAGAATCAATTGACATTGTTCCCTCGGGGCCGACGGCGGTTGCGACTACAGAAGTTACGCCAGTGGCAGGTGTGCCGTCGTATGTCTCATTACTTGCCATGCCGATGATCTCTTCGCCGCTTCGAGTGTCAAAAATGAGAATAGAAGCATCGGCAAAGGAGGCAACAAAGTTCTCCCCATTCATGGAGAGCGGGCTGATACACGTTGGCGATGGATGTGTGGCTCGCTCGATGGTGTGGACGAGCATATAATGGAATGGAGTTGAGGTAGCAACACTTGGCTGGGGAGACGATGGGTAGTTCGATCCAGATGTTACAGAATGCCGCCGACTCCCTCCCACACCCCGCCGTGAACCTCCCTGAGGTGAAGCTATTTGTGGAGGCGCACTTACAGCCCAAATCTTTATGGTGCCGTCCGCAGAGCCCGACGCAAGAAGTACTCGATCGGGGCCACCGTAGTTGCCGCAGTCTGCGCCGAACACTGAGGCGCAAGTCGCAGGGAGAACACAGACTGTCCACACCGCATCCGTATGTCCGTCAAGAGTAGCTTTGGGATCTACACGGCCTCTCTCCCATACACGTATAGTCGCATCCTGTCCACCCGAGAATATCCAGCCGTCACCAGACACTCGGCCGCCAGTGGAGAAGGTCGTAGATGAAGGACATGCCGCGAGGGAAGTAACGGCACCTTCATGGCCGCGGTGCGACCAATAGGGCGAAATGTCCAAATCATTATTCATGCTGTGCTGGCTCGCATAACTTGCTGGTATAATCCATCTCTTAATCATGCCATCATCACCAGCTGTACAAATTTCCGGTTCTGAAGGACTACCGCCTCCCGTGAAGATAACAGAGCGAACTACGTCCAGATGTCCACGAAGAGCGAATCGAACTTTGAAGTTTGGCGGGTCAGTTGGCCGTATATGTTGGCCAAATACTTCTCGAGCTTCATGGCCATCACTCCTTCGCCTAGAATGAGTCCCCGAGCTTTTTCTTCGATGAGACTGAGGGCCACGGGGAGGCGATTTCGCAGGAATGCTGTTCGCGCTTGGGAATATATCCGTATCTGGTCTCCTCGGGGGCTGGATATCTTGGGATCCCTCCGTGATCGGTTCCTCGAAATTCCAGCTTTCAGGGTCTTCCGGTGCCGTAATCTGACTGGAAGTCATGCCACTCTCCTCTCGATTTGGAATCTGGCGACCATGATTATCGTATATATGTGTGACTTTCTCAACCTGCTCCTCCGGAACAGAGCTGAAATTCTGCTGAGATTGATGCTGGGGTTGCTGATTCAGGAAATCTGTTGGTATCCCAGAATGAGATTGAAAAGATTGTTGGCCTGAAGGTTCTCGAGTCATCGAAGGGGCCTGGTGAGGCGGCTGGGACTGATGCTGAAGGTTATGAATGTCGGAGGTTGTAGGGATATTCGGAGGCTGGTGATTTGGCACGGACGTATTTGGGACTGTAGGTAGATGGGATTGTAGCTTTTGACGATGCTGAAGGTACATTTCCTCGATCGGGGCGTCTCCATGTCCAAGGAATTGAGAGCCATTGAGACCTTGCATTCCGCCTTGCGGAGGCGGAGGCTGTGGCGGGGGAGTGAGGAGGTAAGTAATCTCCTCTACGCATTTTGTGAGATACAGCTTTGCTTTCTCATGTTGGTTGTCTCGGTCTGCCTCAGATCGCTCCAAAAGGTCCGAGTCGACGTCGAGGAAGGAATTGTGGTGCTTATTTTGGGCTAGTATAAGACATAAGTTAGCTTGATGATCACTTCGAGGCAGTAAATTAGAATTGTTCGCGCACGCTTCATAGGCTTCGTACCACTCTTTTGGTCTGACCGCGCGCCCGCCTTGCCCTTCGAGTCCTTCTTTTCTTCCAGGCCTTCTCCTCCGGCCGCAGCAGCCTTGCTTTTGCTACGCTCGTTCATCAGTGCCTGCTCTAGCATGCGAATATGCTTATTAAGCTGGTCGTTCAGTTTCTTTGCGCTCCGAACCTCGCCTTCCTGCTTCGCGATCTTCGCCTTCATCTCTGCGCGCTCGATGTCCCAGGCGTTTCTCGCGCGCTCATGATTATGCCATTCCAGCTGGAGGAAGCGCATTACCCCTACAAGCACTGTTAGCCTAGGCTACACCATCCGGCAGCGTGCTCAAAGACACGCAATTGAGAAGCGATATCTTACCCTGTAGCGTGTACTCAGTCCCTGTCGGAGCGCCCCCATCTCCTCCTCCGCCAGCACCGCCCGCATTCATGGCCGAGGGCGACTGCCACGCCATGGACGAGCTTCTCTGCTTCAGTGGTCCGCGGTAGTATTTGGTCCGCGGCAGTTAACATGCGTTATTTGGGTCGGGGGTTGAACGCTGTTGAAGCGGCGAAGATAGCTGGCCGGAACGAGGAGCTCGGCTGTTTTCTAGGGGCGCTCAGGCCCTGGTGAAGGAGGGCTGACGGGGAGGCGCGGTGGTTCAGTGAAAAGGGCGCGCAAGTGGGGGGGGGGCTGGATAAGTGAGTGAATGCGCAACGTAGCTATAGCGTCAAAAGCATTTCTGGGGTCGGAGTCGGCGTCGAGATGCAGGGAGCTTTGCGTCTGTCAGTCTGTCGAAGATAGTTGGGTCAGGAATCCTTAGTCAAGACGCTAGTCCTGATACAGAAAGGCGCCTCCATGGCCTGTCCAAATTGATGCATCCCAACTGCACCTCAAGAGCCCTGCAGTCCCAGTGTTACCCGCAGAGTCTCTTATACTATCTTTGCAAAGTTAGCACTTGTATTCAGAAGTCGAGAGAGAGCCAGAATGCTATCCCTCTTCGGCATTTTAAATGGCCATGTCTGAGCCGCCCATCTGCCCAGTATCTGCTGCTGGGAACCCTCACCTCCCACACAGCACACAGCCCGACAAAGGCATTAGATATTCCTCCCACTAACGCAAAAATACGGAAAGGTTAAGTCACAGCTGGTTCCAGCGCTATGAGCCCTTCTTCTACTACTGTCTTGCTACTTTCTCTGCTTGCTGAGCCCGTTTGGCTCCCAAGTCCTGCACGAGGATCTGTGGTAGATCCCGATGTCTATTTCATTTCAGACAACATGTCACCAGTCAGGCACCCAATCTCGTCATCTGGCACAAGTGCTCCCTTAGCTGTGGGCACGTCTGGCGTTTCTCCATTCACGCCTCTCTTCCTGTTGATCTCGAATACTGCCTGTTGTGGGCTCGGAAGCACGTGAGTACCCCCAACGGCTGCCTGGTCCCTCTCGAAGCGCCGCCGTCAAAAGTTCCTATAAAAAGCCGGCATATCCCCCGAAAGGGTTCGTTTGGCGCCACTGTTTGTACCTTCCGAAGCACAGACAAAGCGTTCGCCCAGGATTTGCATCACGTGTTACCCTCCCGCCGAAACGAGGCCTAGTCAACGGGCAAACCACAACAACATTCCTTCACATCCATCCCAGCCACCCCACGACACCACCCACCACAACACCACCCGCGACCTTCATCGCTCGCAACCCGGTCGCGCACACTTATTCATATTAGACTAAAAATCTCGACCCAAATTAATTCGCAAATATGCCTGGCGGAAAGGGTACGCGCTGCCTCCTGCGGTAGCTTTACGAATGAACAAGTCAAGCTGATTTGTGACTCTAGGCAAGACAGGTGGCAAGACTGGCGGCAAAGGCGACTCTCATGCAAAGACAACTAAGTCGCACTCCGCAAAGGCTGGTTTACAGGTACGCGATCAACCGGGGAACTTCTTTCTCATAAATAATTCACCCACGCTTTGTACTCAACCCAGGGTCTCGCCACAACGGCCGCGCGCTAACATCCTGTCAATCCAACAGTTCCCCTGCGGTCGCATAAAGCGTCACCTCCGAACCATCACCCGTCAAAAGACGCGCATCGGCGCGAAGGCCTCCATCTACCTCACGGCTGTGCTGGAATACCTCACCGCCGAAGTCCTTGAGCTTGCCGGCAACGCTGCCAAGGATCTCAAAGTTAAGCGCATCACGCCTCGTCATCTCCAACTCGCGATTCGCGGTGACGAAGAACTGGATACCCTGATTCGCGCCACCATCGCTTTCGGAGGTGTCCTTCCCCACATCAACCGCGCCCTGTTGCTGAAAGTGGAGCAAAAGAAGAAGGGAAAGCTTCCTGAGGCCTAAGCGACGTGTAATATGTCTAAGGGTTGGGAATACCACCGGTACGAATGATATACGTGGGGGCAAAAGGGCGGTGGAAGCGATATGCAACGTGACGGGTACGATGTAGAAGCTACGAGAAGCTAATGTGCTCGGCTGATGGAATGGCTCATTCTTTCCTTCGTGTCTTGTTTTTGGCACTCCTCTCTTTCGGCATTATTGCCATGCGCTGTTATCATGACGCGTCAGGCGGAATGCGTACCTCGGTATGGTTCTAAAACAAGCGCCAGATGTTAGGCTGTTGCTAATAACTGGTTTTGGATGGCCAGGTTTCCGTATTCGGGCGCGCGTGGGGTGGTGTTGCATGGGTTACTTCCGAGGTTTCAAGGGGTTCCTTTTATGTAGCAACAGAAACAGAATAACACACTTATGCGAGAAATTAAGTGTGCTTAACCTCATATTCGTGTCTGTCCCAGTCCTTTCAGTTTGGTCTTTAGCCATGTTATGCCCCAACTCATCTCTTAAATTCCACACTTCTCCTACTGAACTAGCTGTATTGCTACACCCTTCAAGTTGACGATGAACAGGAAATTCAAGAAGACACATAAAAGTTAAAATCACTACTAGCCTTCTTTCACATGAGTATTTATAACATCAAGCAGCCCTTTAACCCTTCCCTCCCTTTCATCTTTACCCACTAGATTACAGATCTCTGTGACTTCTAGAGAAGAATCTGGAGCCTCTTAACAACTTATCTAGGGCGAACTTTTCAAAGACTACCACGGATAACTATTCAAAGAAAATCGCACTGACCCCAACCGGACTACGGCCCTTCGGCTATTGGTAGAACGGGCCGTTAAAGTTCCACCGGGAATGATAAGCCACGCACGAAGCTTCAAGAGAGCAATAACCTCCTCCCATGGGTAGCGGAAAACCTCGTGTCCAGGAATAGGGTACCTTGACTTCCAAGCAACTTAAACCCTACCTACACTTTACTATTTCCAATGTGCTAATAGTCCTGCTGTATCTAGCTGGCAACTTTACTACACCGCAACGCTCACTGAAAAAAAAATTTCCACAAATTTTAACTGTCTCATTATTGGATTTGCGTTTAACATACTTCAACTCATTATGTACCTAGTGCAGAACACGAATTTCGATTCAGAGGTTGGTACAATAGGCAACACCACGTAAGTGGATGTGGTGTCGTTATATTATATTGAGACATACCAGTTGCGATTAGTTCACATGTTTCTTCCAGACCTCCCAGATTAACGTGAGGCAGTCTAGCTTATTCAAGGGCAACTAAGAACGCTCTATCCCTATTTGTAGGAGGAAGCATTAACCATTCGAAAACTTATATTGTCACCGCAGCATGAAAAGTCTTCGTGACTAACTAGCAGACTTAGAGAGAACGTGGCCAACATGTGTGCGGTTGCGTCTAGAACCGAATTAGATAGTCTTCACGACAATAGCAAAATGTTCGAAGCACATGGCATAAGCCAAACCGTCAGAGCAGTATCTTAGCACGAGACTCGAATGTCCCTCCAGCCAAAATATCTGTGGTGTTGGTTCCTAAGACTTGAGTTGGCTATTACCTCCCCTGTCAGTGGCGGCGTATTCCATTTCTGCACCAGAAGTTTATGACCTAACCAACGCCCTCTTATCGCCACAACACCCCCTCTCCCGAATTGAGACATCCAGTTCTAACTCCAAACACACAGTTCCCCCAACTACAACAACCACCACAAAGATTCTCCCCCCACATTCTCCACCTCTTCCACTACCTCCTAGCCACTGTCTGCCTTACCACCACCCTCTACAAAAAATGTACCCATGACCGGCGCTGCTCCTCCCACCGCTTCATCCTCGAACTCGACGCCTCGGTATCTGTCTAGACTCATACGCGCCTAATTCTCTACCAGTCCGTTAACGATCCCGTCAATCATCACTCCTCCTGTAAACTCGGGATATGATATCGAAGACGGGGAAGTCGTTGAGGCTGTTAAGAAAGGTTATGTTGATCTTGAGTCTCTGGGTTCAAATACATATGAAGTAGCTGAGCTCAAGGAAACTGTGTCCCAATCTCCGCATCGGCCCAGCACTCTGAAGTTGAAGCTTCAGCTCTAGAGACAACTAGATAACAGCTCACACTACCAACCTCTCTATCTTTTCGCTCCTCCACTCCCTCATCCTCCCAGAAACTAGCCAAGAAAGTCCACTTCACCGTCGAGATTAGGAATTCTGCCATCATGGAGAGATATCGCATGCGTTCGCCACCTACGCCAGTCTCGTGTAGCCCAAGGTTCTCAAATGCTGATATTGAGGATGAGGTGAAGATGATCCCGAGTAAGGAAAGGTAAGTATAGAGAGCCAAGGACGGTGAGAGTCAAAGTTAGTCTTCACAGGACATTAGCATATACCATGGGATATGAATAAAATTGAAGCGGTGTGTTAAAACATAGCTGGAATTCAGTGAGGTAGGAGAAGGATTTGGGTTTCTGCCTTATTCGAGACAACATGCAGTTACGGCACAGTCCAGAGTGAGCAAGCATTTACCCGATTCCATTAAATAATTTACTACATTGATGCGCTGTCATGATTCTTCAAAGAATCATCCATATTGTTCCTCCCCGTCCAAGCTAATCACGGGGAGACCGTCAAAGGACCCGAACCAAGACGCCCGACCGTTTCTAGAAATGTTAAAGAGGATAGGAGAACAACTGGTATATATGAAGTACAAGAAGAGGATCAGCAGAAGTGAAGGACCCTATGAGAACCAAGAGGAAGAACCACTGTTGTTGAATTCAATTCAACATGGGCTGTGAGTTAAAGTAGATATGAGCGCCATAAGCCTGTCCCCTGCCATTCATTGACCAATTGACGCTTCTATGCAAGAAAAGCCATCCCAGCTGCTTTCGAGATTTATGACTTGAAGCTGTCCCTCATGCTCTGGCTGCTCGCGCTCATGGGCACGTTCGTCGTGGGGAGGGTATCCTTTGGCTTGCTGTTCTGCCTGACCTTGGCGAGCGCGTACACGATACCGCTAATGAAGCCAACAAAGATGGCAGAAACGCTTCCGAAAGTGACGGCAGCATCGAAGAAGACGAGACCGCTGATGGCGATTGGGAGCTTGTTCAAGGCGCCGACCATGGAGTAGGTGGTAGACGAGGTGACACGGACACACCAGGCGGAGGTGTAGGAAATGAAAACCGAGGAGAGTCCAGAGAAGATCATGGCCATGATCAAGGTATTGCGTTTCTCAACTGGGAAATTCTTAGAGATGTTAGAAGACGACCAGTCCTCCACAAAGAGAGAAGCAGCCAACAAGATGGGAATGGTGAGGAGGTTATTGTAGTACATGGCTAGCAGCATCCGTTAGCCTTCCGCTTAATAATGCCGTCTATTGTTGCCTTACTGTCAAAATCCTTGAAGTTGGTCAACTTTATTCGCTTCCTCATGCCCAAAATGTAAGAGGCAGTGCAGAAGCAGTTGAACAACATCCACAGGTATCCTGCATTCAAAGTAGAGATGGCATTTGTAGCCTCGGATGTAGCCTCCCCAAAGCTGGACAAAGCATGCTGGATATCCGCCCATGCCGCAATGACAGAGCTGATAACCATCAAACCAAACGAGAAAAGCGTCATTGGTGTGACGGACCCGCCGAACCAAAGAACCTCGCCATACGCAATGAGGATGATAGTGAGGTTCTTGAAGATTGTATATACGGGAATGGAGAGAAACTTCAGGGCCTTTGTGCCGGTGTAGATCATGCCGATGAGAAGGAGGGAAATGGGAAACCCTAGGGAAGAGTTAGTGGGTCTCTTTGCCTGCCGCGCAAGCTCAACGTACATTTCCTGGCCTCGTCGGTGTTGAAATCCCGGTACGTAATCACACCAGCGCTCTTGCAAGTTGAGATGGCAACAACACAAACCACAGACTGCGACTGTGTCAGCAGGACCCCATCTCCTCCGGAATGGGTTGGTGTACCTGGACGCAAAGCAAAAAGAAATTCAGATTGAAATCCACGCCCGACAGACAATATTTGTTGGTAACGGTCATCAGAATTGACGACGCGCAATAGGACATAATAGCTAGCGAGGGGTTCTCCGTAATTGAGAGGTGGTGTTTCTTCGTTTGGGGACGCATGACGGGCGATGGGGCGCGGTTGAAGGACTCTTTGCGGTCGGGAATATCGATCTTGTAGTCGTCCGTCTTCTTGTCGTCGGCCATGACTGCGGTATTGGAGGGGTGGGGTGGAGGGACACGTAAGGAGGCGGTGATTAAAGGTGCACGTTTGGAAGGAAGGGAGTGGACACCCAGCCGCAGGAGAGAGGCTTCTCAACGGCAGGCACAGGGCACCAGGTTACAGCGCGGCGGAAGGAAGAAAGGATGCGGGTGAGAAAAGAAAGATATTCCTATCGCGACAAGGGAATGTGCAAGGAGGTGGTGTTGGTTTGCTAGTGTTGAGGCGCCGGCTTCCTGTGTTAATTTTACGCCGGCGAACGCGCCAAGACGCCCCTTGCCCACTGCAAAGCCTCGTCAGCCTTCAGAGCAGTCAGACAAGGTGGCGATACTGGTTGATCCGCCTCCAAATTCCAAGCACCACCAGTGCCGGCACAATTCCTTTTATTATCCACAAAATTCCGGCCAGTTATCTCTTAGATATCGCGTGCACTACTTCCACTCTCAGTCCTCACGTGACCGTTAATCCACCCCAAGGTTGTTAGTTTGAGCTCTTCTAGCATCAAAGTTTCTATTTTGATCACTCAGCTAGCCCAAGCTACCCACAGCAACATGGCTGAATTGGACCCAAAGGTTGCCGCCCTCGTCGATAACGCCACCAAGGATGAAGACTTAGACGAGGATGCCCTAATTGCTGCTCTTGAAGACGACTCCGAACTAGATGCTTTCCGCGAGCAGCGTCTTCAGCAGCTCCATGCCGAATTTAGTAAAGCCCAGCAACTGCGAGCCAGCGATCATGGGACTTACGCCGAGATCAAAGATGAGAAGGCGTTGATGGACATTACAACAAGTACGAAGTTGTGTGTTGTGCATTTCTTCAAGCCTGACTTCAACCGTTGCCGGATCATGGATACGCACCTTGAAGTAAGCAATACGAATAGCTACCCTTTCAGATTTAATTCGTCCTTTAAGTTGTGTTCTGCTCCCTTTAATATCTTCTTCTACCTCTCACATCGTTCGATTCATCTAATCCCTTGCTCCAGTCTCTTGCCCCAGCACACTATGAAGCCCGCCTGCTCCGGATCAACGTCGAAAACTGCCCTTTTCTGGTCTCCAAGCTGAAAGTTCAGATCTTGCCGTGTGTCATCGCTTTCATTGATGGCATTGGAGTTGATCGAATCATTGGGTTTGAAGGCCTTGGTCGAACGGCCGACAATTTTACGACAGGAGACCTCGAGGCGAGATTAATCAGGGCAAATGTCTTCCAGAGATCAAAATTTGGTGGTAATGGCTTGGGCTTCACTCAAAATAAGAAGGAAACGAAAGAGAACGAAGACGACGATGATGGTGATGATGATTGGGATTGAAAGAAGTAGTACTCCGTGGACTGCAGCATCACAGTAGTCCTTCAGACGCAGGACTTCCCCGGTACAACCATCCTTGCACCCACTGAGTCAGTTATAGATTCTCCCGTCGGAGTTGCCTAAGGGCGCCACAAGAACCTTGAGTTGTTTTGGTTGACAACTTTTGCAGAGGTATCAAGCCGGTGTTTCAATAGGATGATATGGTCACAAAATGAAATTCATTTTGTGGGCCAGGCCTATTTAAACATTGAGTTACAGAGATGAATGGGGATGTGCACCTGAAAGATATTGTAGATGTAAGGAGTCTGATTTTTGAATCCTATAGCGGTTCAGCAGGGTGTGCGTCGAAGACACGCCAGGGTATCAAACCCCAGAACTACACGCAACCATGTCAGCAAATCACCAGTTACAGAATCAGAGTTCTTCCACCTTTCTAACCAGCGCTCGGTGAATGCAACTAAAGCCAAAGTTGGCAACCACGTGGCAATTTGAAAGGTTTGTAAAGTGACAATTTGCCGCTGAATAATCGGTATGACGCCATTCGGTTCGCACTTCGTGCCGAGACCTATTTGCTGACTCTAAACACTGATCATATTTGACCATCAAATGTCCTTCCACTAACAAGCACTTTTTGGACGTCATAAACCTCAGCAAGTGCCAAGACTCAGAATGAAGGCCTACTGGTTTGACAACCTTCCGGTAATTCGGCGTGCTGCATTCGACCTCGCAATCGCCACTGACCCTGGTACAGGGTGATCAACGGGAGGCTCACGACTCTGGCCGGGAAGTGAGCTCCGAATACTTGAACAAGCTCGGTATCATGTATTTCAACTACCCAAATGTTGAAGATGTAAATTCCCTGGCCGCCAAGCGAAAATACAAGAACCGCGACGAAATCACCATATCTCCAACGACTATGGGTGACGTTTATGAGGATAAGGTGAAGATGTTCTTCAACGAACACCTGCATGAGGATGAGGAGATTCGGTACATCTTGGATGGCGGCGGGTTCTTCGATGTCCGAAGTGATGGTGACGAGTGGGTGAGGATCAAGTTGGAGAAGTATGATTTGATGATAATGCCCGCTGGCATTTATCACCGCTTCACTACGGATACGCAGAACGTGAGTATTTCTCACTCTTGGTATTTCAATTCTCTTACAGGGCTTATGCAGTACACAAAGGCCATGCGACTGTTCAAGGAGGACCCCAAGTGGACACCCTTAAACCGGGGCGCTGAGACTGACAACAACGAGTACCGCGAGGCTTACCTTAAGATGAGGGATGGAAGCGCTCCGATTCCTAGCCACTGAACTGTCCTATGATTGCGCGAATGTTCTCCACAAAAGCTGTGACGGTCGCAACAGTTCTTTGATGGCAATAGAGCCTTGGCGTAGGACAGGTATGCAGTATCTTGCACAAATTCTATTCTTATGGTTACCTCAATCCTCTCACCCCTCCCGCCCGACTCAATCAGTATCGTGATTTCGCTTCTTCAGTCGCGCAGTTTGTGGTTTCATTGCTGCACCTCCCAGAACAAGCACCAGGAGCTTTGCCCACTTCTATTGGCCTGCAAAACAGTGGTAGGCAAACACACCACAATCATCCAAATAGCCAGCAAGACGCGAGGACTTGTCAAGGTTTGTGCTAGCCAACAATCATTGGTGATAGTTGCTTGCCTGTCTGCTCCCCTTCAGCTATGTGGCATGTATCGCTCACTCGAGGTTATTAAAGGTGTTCGGAATGGTTCAAAGCAGAGTTCGGTTTACATCCATCCTTCCTCCTACCTTGCTTCACTTCGTGTCTAGACTTAGCTCTATCTAAGAACCTCCTGACTACGCCTTCACTCTGATATCGAACTCGGTTGCAGCTTGTACCAGCTGGATGATGACCTTTCGGATCCTCATGCTTCCTACGGCCGCCGCTCTGATGGTGTTGTTGTTACGTTGCCGATGGACGGTATTAGTTGAGCCTATATCATATTTGAACACACTGGAAGAAGAGCAGATATTCAAATCCTAGCTGACATGAAAGGGAGGGCAAGGCAGAGGGCACATGAGTCATGGGGGTGAAGATGGTCTTTTTTCTTGTGACGCCTATTTGTTTGAGAATGTTTACTGTCTTCTGTAGCTTGGGTCTCTAGCTGTGGAATTTCTAAGACTCTTCGCTTCTGCTTGTTGTTGAATGAGGTTCTATTATAGGCTCGTCCATGATATCGCAGGCTGCGCGAGTCAGGCCATAACGCGGAAGCGGATAAAGAGTTTCCCCGAGAGCGGGCTGTGAGTTCATCGCAGCAGCAAGTGAAGGCTCCAAGACAATAGTTTCACCTACCCAGAAATTCGGTGTCTTCTCGGATTCTGCACTCGAATTCATCTCGGCTGTAAAATAATGGCCCTCTCATCCTAAAAAAGAGCCATCATTGATCGCATCAATTTGAGAATCTCTCTCAAGACATATTCACCACCTCCGCCCTTCTGGCCATTCACTACAGCCTTCCAGAAAGCCCTTTTGGACGGAACACATTGCGCTTAGAGCTCCTTTTGCCTTTCTTTGTACAAGACCGCTCCGTTTGAACACAAATTCTTCCTTGTTTTACTTACCAGACACTTCCGACAGGATAACAATCTCACTCGGGCAATACAAAACACTGCCGCATCCCTCTCACCTTCTTCCTGTATCTACACGCCTGCCTCCTTCCGCAACCCTTGTCGCATCTCTCCCACGAGTCGAACCGCACCTTGTCAGACCACACTTCCATCACGATTACAACCTTGGCTTGCGTGAAGGTGCAAGGCTATCGCTACCAAAGCGCTGTTGTTCTCGGATAGCGTTGGACCAAGATCGATATCGCGAAAAGGTCTGAGCGAGCGTATGGCTAGTGGAAGTCGGAAACGGCGCGCGCCTGGTGCATCGCCCCAGGTTCAGCAGCAGCCCGCCCTCCAGAGTAACGTCTACACCCAAGACACAAGCAACATGTCAGCAGAGCACTACCTGAATAATTGGAACGATCCACCAGCAGCGGCTGATATGAGCACATCATTCGGCGACCCCCCGCTATTTGAAGGGATGAACTTTGTGGGGCATGGGGCAGGGCAGTCGACAAATAGTCGCATTGTCCCACTGGATGGGCTCAACAACGGATCTTCTGGGAGCGCGGTACCCAACCAGGACTCATATTCAAGTCAGTTGGTGAGACGAAACCCAAATCAGCAACTCGCGGCGCGAGGACGGACGCCTTGGGACGCTTTCAATGGCAACTCAAATCCAAACCAACAGGGAGGATGGGAGAACGTGGAAGATGACGATGAAGAGTTGGAACAGAAAGCTTTACTGGCAAGGAAAGATGCACAAGCTAAGAGGAAGCAGATTCCTCCTTTTGTTCAGAAGTTGAGCAGGTATGTTCATTGAATACCTAATTTGATCTCGTGACTCATATTGTTCTAGCTTCCTTGACGAAAAGAACAACACAAACCTTATTCGTTGGTCAGACGACGGCAACTCGTTCATTGTGTTAGATGAAGATGAATTTGCGCGGACGCTCATCCCAGAGCTTTTCAAACACAACAATTACGCCTCCTTCGTCCGGCAGTTGAATATGTATGGCTTCCACAAGAAAGTCGGTCTTTCGGACAATTCAATGAAAGCGAGTGAGACCAAAGCCAAGGCCCCGAGTGAATACTATAACAAGTACTTCAAACGAGGTCGACCGGAGTTGTTGTGGCTGATCCAGAAACCCAAGAATCCCCCTACAGGTCCCAAGAGGAAAAGAGACGATGACGGCAGGCAAGGCGATAGTGATGAGGATCGGAAGTATGCACCTGATGGAGGAGGCGGCGGAGGTTACGGAGAGGACGGAGTTGCGTTAGCTGGAAATCAAGAGATGGCCATGATTCCTAGGACCGAGTACAACAGCTTGAGGAGTGAGGTCCGAGCATTGCAACAACAGCAAAAAGTCATCTCAAATGTTCTGAATCAGATACGGCGGCAGAACGATCAACTCTACCAGCAAGCTACTGCTTTCCAAACCCTACACGAACGACACGAGAATTCTATCAATGCTATACTGACTTTCCTTGCGACCTTCTACAACAGGAGTTTGGAAGCGAACAGCACGGCCAATATTGCGGACATGTTTGGCCCCACCCTTTCTCAACAACAACAGCAACCGCATGGCAATGTCGTTGATGTAGGTGATTATAGAGAGAAGCCCCTAAACAAATCACCTCAACTCCACCGACCCGTCAGGCGTCCTCTGGCTCTACTTCCTGCACCGGCGGCGAAAGACACAGGTTCACCTACAGATCGAGCACAAACTGTCTGCCCTTCTGCTCGATCGACCGCAAGTCCAATTTCGAAACCAACCAGTAGACAACAGCCCGTGTTCAAATCCTCTGTTCAATCAAAACCGGCCTCTCATGCAACGACTGGATTCGCGAACCCCGTAAATAAGGAGAGCAGCTCGACAGCCCCATTGAAAGTCGACAATACCGAACCCACGCAGGTCTTAGGTCAGATCCTGGAGCATGAGATCATGTCTGCGATCCAGAGTGTCAACGCCCACTCGGGACAAACTGCAGCCCAAGCACCGCAATTTGACTTCCCCTCCGCCCTGACACACTACCAGACTTCCGACGGTAACGTACCCTTAACGCAACAACAACGCAACCAAGTCCTCTCCCTCATGGCCAACAACACCAGCGCCTCCACCAACGGCAACCTAGCGCAAAACAACAACAACGCCCTCGTCACCCCCCAGCCGCCTGCCATGCCGTCCCTAGACCAATTCACAGCAACCCAAGCCCAGCTCGACTTGCTCCAGAAAATGTCCGAAGACCAGAACTCACGCGTCCAGAATCTCCAAGAGCGGCTACAGCCTCTCAGTCCCAGCGGTTCAATTCCTGGCCTAACAGACAACTCCTACTTCGGCAGCAGCAACCTTGGTGAGCCCGGCGCGTACGATCTCGACCTCGATTCCTTCGTTCAGGGCGACGACTTCTTTCCCCCCAGCAACAATAGCCAGAATGCTACGAATGCTGCTGCAGGCGATGTTACGCTTCCAGATCTAAATTACGAACTCCCTGATACTAGCGATTTGGTGAATGGTGTAGGTTTTGATACTAGTACAGGTGCGGGGACTTCTGGTCAGGAGTTCGGAAGTAGTGGTCTGGGCTTCGATGGGGCGGGAGATGGCGGTAGCAGGATCGAGAGTGTCAGTTCGGCCGCTACGAGTCCAGCGGCAACGGTAGAAGATGAGGTTGAGAGCGTGGATAACAGGAGTCCGAAGAGGAGGAGGAAATAGGTCGCAAGACAGGCAGATCGAGTTATCGTGAACTGGGTGACGGGAATATTGGAAATTGGACAGAAGCGCTGGCGTTGGTGGTGGCATTGACAGCTAGTGGGGCATATCAGACGTACATACACATTTTCATTTTCTTGGAGCCGGAATGGTGGATGGTTTGGAATCCGCTAGACATGACACGACGTAAATGATCTAACGACGTCAAAAGCACGGGCATTACTACACAATTGGGATCTTTCCCTTCCCTTCCTTCCCCTTTCACATGTGGGTGTCTCGACTGAGAATAGGCCGACTCGCACGTTTGGGCATTTGCTACATGGCTAGCAGCATGGGCATTTTGGTATTGGGCATATCTAACAGATTATGGAATATAAAACTGAAGTGGAAATCCATGTAGGAAGCTTGGTGTGCGATATACCAAGGGGATGTATTCCATAGTTTTGTGACTTTCTTTGGAGAGAGACAAAAGAAAACAAGACTATTGTAGTAAGCTATGTTGACAGAACAGGGTTGTTTGATTTAGGTTAGAAACTAGATTCCCCTGAATACCCTCACTTATTCTAGGCACAGTTCTATCGACTGCACCTTCTGTCAGTGTTTTGCACTATGCGCCAACCCTCGCTCCTAGCTCATTCACGCCAGGTATCAGACACAACAACTGCGAAGAGCCACAAGCCAAGAACCACAAATATCTCACAGCTATTTCCAAATACCCTCCTCTCTCGCCCCTAAATTGCGGCAATCTCCACTTGCCCGGTTCAAAGCACTAAGCTGAGTAAACTAGCTCAACTCACTGTCATCAGCAAACTTTGGAAGCGGCAGCCAGTATAACGTGACTCATCATATAAGCAGCTGAAAGAGCGCAGGTCGCCATAAAAATTACTCTATTGGGCGCATATATCGCCATACTACTCAAATGCAGGAAGACACCATGGTAGTGCGAGTTTCTAAATGTAGATTGGGACAGGGGGCTAGAGAGGAAAGGTAGAGGAAGGTAGAAGGAGTAAGGGGGAAGGGGTTTCCTCGCACGTGGGTATTTAGAGGAGAAAGCTGATAGCTTGTTAGACGAACTGCGGGCGAGGAGGGTGGATAGGGGGGAGCAATGGGCGATGAGGGATGGGATGAATAAGTATGACTGAATGCGACTACGGGATCACCTTTCCGGATGTACGTACAACGGCATCAAAATCCAGGGTGCTATCATGTTTGACATCTCTGGTATATATAAGGTCATAAGTCTTAGAGCTATCTTAGTAGATCCACGGTAACAGGCCCCACGATTCACCTTAATCCTTGTCCATCCATTCCCCCTTCCCTCACGAACATCCCACCTCCCTCGTCTTCTCCGCACCCCCCAGAATGCCATATCACAATCTCTCATCTGGCCTCTCAACTCGGACAACTGGGACTCGCAAATATTCTACCTCGCGAACTAGGGTTGCCGCGTCGAGCCCCAGACCGCCGCGGTCACGGTCGCTCCGACCAACCCTGGGATGGAAACAACATGGACACCTGGTCCGACGACCTATCCGAACTAGTCGAGCACCTTGGTCTCAAGGACATCATGATGGTCGGCCACTCAACTGGCGGCGGGGAGATAACAAGATATCGTGGACGCCATGGAACGAAACGTTTTAAGAAGCTGGTACTTATTAGCGCTACAACTCCGTTGCTGGTAAAGACGCCAGTCAGTCCACACGGCGTGCCGATAGAAGTCTTCGACGAATTTCGCGAGGCCATGATAAAAGACCGCTCAACATTCTTTTACTACGTACCCAAAGGCCCATTCTTTGGGTACAATAGACCTAACGCAACCATTAACCAAAGCCGTATTAACAGCTAGTGGCACCAGGGCATGCAAGCATCGTTCAAAAGCACATACAACACAATCCAGTCCTGAGAAACAGATTTCAGAGAGGAGTTGAAGAATCTAGATATCCCGGTTTTGGTGATTCATGAGGATGATGATCAAGTTGTGCCGATTGATGCTGGGGGAAGGGAGACAATCGAGTTATTGAAAAATGGGACTTTGAAGGTTTATAAGGGCGGTCCGCACGCGCTGCTGAATATAGAGGCGGATGGTATTAATAAGGATTTGTGGGAATTCTTGAATGCTTGATTGGGGGAAGGTGGTGGTTATACGTGGAGGTATATCACTCTATGAAGTGAGGTCAGCCTTATTCACACATGATAACACTAATGCCAACCCTGCTCTAGGTCCACACATATCAATCACCATGATTTTAGCCCCCCCAAAGCCATGAAACAGTCGATAGATTTTGATACCACCACCATCTACCTATGCAATGCAATAGCTTCCTTTGATTCCACCATACCGGAGGCAAGCGCAATACGATTCCGAAGGATAGCCCAAATCCATCCCACTTCAATTAACAGATGAAAAATACCAAAACCCGACACAAAAGAGGAAAAAAAGGGGAATGAATCTAATGGTACAACCGTCTTCGGCAAGAGAGCTAGGGCTAGAGTCAGGAGCTTCCCAGTCAACCGCCTTCTCCGCTCGCTGTCGCTGTCGCTGCTTCCATTTCGGCCTCTCTCACTTGAGAAAATGTGTATGTATTGGAAGAGGTCCTTTCCGCACCAAAATGCCGGCCAAAGAGATCAATGACGCCTATAATACCCCGGTGGAACAAAATGTGATGGGAAATGCATGTAGTGTTACAGTAGCGTAGGGCTTGCTTGCAAAAGCTCAGAGCTGACCGTCAGCTACAGCAAGCCGCTGCTTAGCCGTCTTCGCCTTCTTGCTGGTGCCCTTGCGTTTCTTGGCCGGGCCTTCCATAGTCGAGACCGGAGTCGCTGTGCCAGTTGCAGGTTTGCTGCCGTCGTCGAAGTGTCCCTCGCCTTATACAATATTAGTATAATACTCAACTGGTAGGTAAATATGTTGGATCTCACCTTCATGATACATCTCGTCCAAGCTCGTCTCCGCCCTCTTCCTCTTCTTCTTTCGACCTGGTGGGGCGTTCTTCTCCGCCTCTGCCCGTTCAGCCTCCTTCTTCTCGATCTCGGCAGCCTGGTCGTCGTCTGCGAGCCACATTGCAATATCTTTGGTCTTGTTCTCCCTAGATCTGGTGTTGAAGTCAACGCCGGCACCACCAGAGATGACGACACGTTGCACTTCTTCCTTCTGCAGCGCACGCTTGCGAATACGCTCCTCGATAGTACCACTGGTAATAAGACGATAGACGGTGACTTGCTTCGTCTGACCAAGACGATGAGCTCTGTCCATGGCTTGCGAGTCAATTGTAGGATTCCAATCGGAGTCGTAGAAGATGACCGTATCAGCAGAGGTCAAATTGATACCAAGCCCACCAGCGCGAGTAGACAGGAGGAAGATAAAGATCTCCGGACGAGTCTGGAAATCTGCGACGGTATCGCGGCGATCTTCGAGTTTAGTGGAACCGTCCAGCCGGCAGTATTTGTAGCCCCGGTAGGTGAGATACTCCTCCATCAGATCAATCATCTTGGTCATCTGGAAGTACAACAACACGCGGTGGTCACCACTCTTCAGCTTCTTCAGCAAAGCGTCAAGTTTTGCAAGCTTGCCAGAGTCCGTGACGAAGCGGTGCATCGACGGTACTTCAACATGAGTGTAATTCGCCCTCTTGTTAGTTGGTAGAGGGAGTTTGCTTCGGACGGATAGCGCATTGACATCAACCTTGGAATCCAGGAGCGCTAGCTCAGTCTTCTCTGAGACGCCGTATAGAGCAGTTCGCATAGGAACGTTAAAGAAATCCCTCTGCTTCTCTGCAATGACTCCTTGACTCGAGCAGTACAGCTCAATGGGAGGAGCGGATGCGGCGGGCTTAGCACTCCGCTCAATAATGTTAAGACCAGTCTCTTCAAAAGCTGTTTGCGAGACGTTGAAGAGATTGTGCATATAGCCTTCAGAAGTAATGTCGGCCAAAGGAACACGATCCTGGCGTTCAACGATGTTGAGCATCGAGCGCTTTGGAGTGTATGGACCGTTCTCGTCATCATAGAAGACATTCAGCCGGCCCAAGCGCTGCGGCTTGTCCCCAATGTCAATCGCCCGTTGAAACAGGTCCTTCTTCGCGATCTTTGACGCCTCACTAGCGGAAAGGTCTGCAAGTCGGAGCCAAGAGAATGCGCCAGCTTCCAGTGATGATTTGTGAACGTGATCTTGGTCCCAGATGTTCATAAGATTGTAAAGATAGTGATCATTGAAGCCAGCCTTGGGATTTTCCGGACCAGGGATATCGAGACGGCCTCCGTCGCGGCAGATCAGTCGAGGAAGGCGGTATTCGATGAGGTTGCGTGTCGAGTACCCTACCCTGACGTTCTGGCCCTCGCGCAAGAATGATGCAGTTTCGGCAAAGTAGGCAAAGGAGAAAGGTGACCAGGTATCCGCTCTTTCGAACAAATCCGGATGGTTACAGACCTTACGGAACTGCATGACCAAGTTCATCAATGTAGCACTATCCTGCTCGTCACCGACGGCCTTCTCTATCAAATCCATGATGCTAATCTTATTGCGAAGATTAGTATAGTAAGCCCGCTGTCGGTAGGTGAGATCACAGAACACGTCCTTCTCGACCTTGTCACCTAACTCTTTTTGTACATGCTTCTTGATACGACGCAACATAAATGGCTTGAGAATCATGTGTAACCGCTTGAGTTGATCCTCGTTAAGCTTCGTGTTGCTCTGGGCATGGCTCTCAATATCTTTTGAGAACCATTCGCTGAATTCGTCGTGCGAATCGAATAAGCTTGGCATAATGAAATGCAGCAAAGCCCATAGTTCCTGCATGTTGTTCTGGATTGGTGTACCGGTGAGAAGAAGCCGGTTACGGCAGTGAAAACCCAGCAAACTCTTCCATCGAGAGCTCTGAGAGGACTTGATGGCCTGCGCTTCGTCGAGTATCATGTACTGCCAGCGAATCTTCTGAAAGTATTGTGCATCCTGCACGACGAGCTGGTACGACGTGACGAGGACGTGGAATTGCGATTCTTTGGTGTAGGTGATGTGTTTCCTATCCCAAAACTTCCGCAAAATTTTGCGGTCTTTTGCGTTTCCCCAATACGGTAAGACCTTCAGGTCTGGAACGAACCTCGTTATTTCCTGTTGCCAGTTGTGAAGAGTGGAGGCAGGGGCGATAACCAAGAAAGGACCCCAGATGCCGTGTTTTTCGGCGAGGTATGCCATAACAGAGATTGACTGTACGGTCTTGCCTAGACCCATCTCGTCGGCCAAGATTCCGTTGATACCTTGCTCGTAGAGATTGACGAGCCAGTTGAGACCTTTCATTTGGTACTCCTTGAGCTGACAATGCAGCAGCTTTGGCTGGGGGACATCCATACTTTGTAGACTAGTTGGGTTCTGGAAATTCATCTCCCCTTCATCAAAGTCTGACGGTGCTTGATTATCATTGAATGCACGGGCACGATCCTGTGCCTCTTGTACCGCGTGTTGCGCGTTTGCCATAGCAGCAGCTCGGAGTTCGCTCTCGTCAGCATTGTCAAAATCCAGGGTATCGAAATGGGTAACCTTTGTACCGGGTTGAAGCGGAGCGTCTGATGCATCGACAAGAGGTCCACCAGGTCCCTGAGAATGGCCAGCAGCTGCAGCATCTGCATCATCGGTTGACCGCTCAATCTCATCAGTTCGTGCCTTCTTGCCAATGAAATGGGAGTAGAGTTCGGTTTGCGAGATGAGAAAGTTAAGTTTCCTCTTCTGCCGATTTGCTTCACGTTCAGCCTCAGCCTTCTTTGCATTTTCCATCTCTTGGCGTTCAGCCATCTTTCGCTGATCCCGCTCGTCACGTTCATTGCGCTTCCAGAACGAAAGCATCTCACGCATGCTTCTCTTGGCTCTCGCCTGAACTTCTTTTTGGCTCTTGTTGGTACGCATCTGCCATCGCCGAGCTTCCTTCGACGCCAGTTGGGCAGTCTTGCGAAGATTCGATTGTTTGGTGGCGAGAGAAGTCTCCTTGATTCGGTATACTCTTGGAACATCTTTCTTGGCGATATCTTTGTTGATCTGGCTGAAGAGCGCCAGGTAAACTTGAGAATTAAACGACGACAAGGTGACCGGGGCGAGATCCTCTGTCTGGCTACGGCTCTTTAAAGCCTCAAGACGAGCTTCCTCTCGGGGAGCAATAGGGGGCAGCTCATCCCCTCGATCAATAGCAGCTTGGCCAGCAGCGGCAGCATCTTTCTCGGCTTGCTTCTGCTCCTTGCTCTTCTTGAGCCTTCCACCTTGACGACCTCCTTTCCTCTTACTAGATATGGGGCCGATGTCATCGGACGCTTGGAAAGAGCTCATGGTACCACCCTCAAAGTTGGGAGCGTGCGGCGTGACCTCTCGAATATCCTTGTTGGGTGCATTTCCTTGAAGCAGCTGAGAAGTAGTCTTGGCCTTCTTTTCGGCCTTCTGGGCATCTCGAAGATGCTTCTCCTTCTCTTCTTCGTTCTCGGCTTGTGTCGCTTTTGCGAGTGCCTCAGCACGCTTTGCTTCCTCGTTCTGGATCGTCTTTTCACGTCGTCGTTTACGTTGCATATCCTTCTTGCGCTCTTTCTCCTCGGCAATTTCCTGGTTCTGGACCTGCTGCCAGGCTTCACCTTCGTGCTCTTGGTTGTAAGCGTGCTTCTTCGAGTCGCGGTGAGCGCTGAGGACATCGACCATGCGCGAGATGGCAGCAGTACGTCGTCGCTGACTTAGTTAAGCGCGGCGAACTTGTGACAGTTGGAGAGGACACTTACCTTGCGCTTGTTGGCTTCAGCATGCTCAACCTCCGAGGCACGTTTCCGGCATCGTTGCGCGTACTCCTCCTTCTCGGCCTCAAAGCCAGGCCCGTCGATATCACTCATTTCCATTGTCTCGATGCGGGCGAGTTCAGCTTCGACCTGAGCCTCATCTACGACGGGGCCCTCGCGGGGGACAAGTTGCTGAGGTAGCGGGACAGCGCCGACAGCCATTATGGGATCAAGCCCATCCCTAAGTAGAGGGCCATCTAGCAGAGGGAGTTCTGCCGGTGCGGGTGAGGTCATAGCTTCCTGCTTAACGAACAGTGGGTTGGCAAGGGAGGGTTTAGACAATCTCCGGAGTTCGGGGTTAATGGGTGGGAGGGATTGAGGTTTTGAAGGAGGGTCTGGGTCTGCGCCAGACGACATGATGCTCGAGAGGGACATAGGGTCGGCTCGGGTCGGTAGCGGTGCCTAATTGTTCCAGCTGTGAGCGAGCGGCGAAAGGGACGCGAATTGCAAGGGAGAAGGAGAGATTTGGACACTTACCTCATCTTTTACTGATGGTCTCCGCGGGTAATTCGATGGAGGTTGTACCGCACCGCGATTCAGTGACTGATACACGGTCGGAGAGACGGGGGAATGAGACATGGCCTCCATCCCGCCCGAGGCGTGGCTCTGTGAGGCGGGTCGTTGCAGAGGCGACTGGTGCGCGAATGTGCCTGCTAGAGGCGATTGATACGGCTTGTCGTACGGGGTTTCCGCTGGTCGAGCGTCTGAGTAGGCGTGGGAGTCTCGGGGCTTAAGAGTCTCAGGGTTAGCTGCCATCCCTGCATCCGCATAAAAAATATTGATGCCATCAAAGGAAGGATGAAGGTATGTACCTGCGATGGATAATGGCCGTCATACCGCGCCGTGCCTCGCCCTATGCCGCGGTCGCCATGGTCCGACGTCGGGTCGTAGTATTTCGAAGCCGTGTTTTCGCGTGAGTAAAGGGCCGTGCTGATGGGAGGCAGCTCGGTGGTGCTCGGCGAGGTTGGTGGCAGACGGGGGTGGGTGTTGAAATTGGAGTGATGGAGAGGTAAGGGCGCGGGCGTGTTGGGGTTGGAGGTATGTGGTCGATTGGGAGGCGAGTAGCTAAAAGGTGTTTGCGTGGGCGATTGGGGTCTGTGGTAAGCTGGCGGTTCCCCTGGCTTGGTTGGCATCCTGTCTCGCGAGAAGCGGTCTTCCTCGTCGGCAGGACGCTGCAACACCGGATCACGGAACATCAGGGTCGATGATGGAGCGCAGCACGGCGGCCGTGGTGGTTATTCCATGGGCGACAGGCACGGGAGCAGCAGCAGTAGCAGTAGCAGTAGTAGCAGCAGCAGCAGCAGCAGCAGCCAGAGCGTGCAGCGAGGCCGGGCGCGGCGATAGCGGTGCGACTTGCGCGTGGAGCCCGTCGCAATGCCGTGATGGTCTCCTCCACCGATGATGGATGGTGATGGGGGATGTGGATGCGTGCCGGCGATGGGAGGGCGCGGCCTCGAGCTTGAGGGCTGGCCGGCGAAGGGGTCTCTTGATCAGAGATGGACAAACGGGTCCTCAGCCCTATTAGTGCGGCGACGGCAGTCTCCTCGTTGCAACACACAGCCCAGGCGCGATGATGCAGTCCAGAACCTGAGGTTGGAGGAGTGCCGGCGACGACGAGGGCTGCGGAATCAGCGCGCGAGATGCAATGGCCCTCGGGACGCTGAGGGGAGGCGGGTCACTGATGATGGTGGGGAGCATCTCTTCACACCGTGGTCGGCGCTCAATAACAAAGCCTGAACCGTTCACCTGCTGGCTCTCTCTTTGCAAAGCACCGCGGCCAACCCCAGGAGTGCGGGTACGCCAATAATTGCAGGCTGCGGGCGGACGAGTGCAGGGCTCAGCGCGCTCTCATTTATTTCCGTCTGCAGTCTCTCCAGTACTGCTTCTGGCGCTATTTGGGTCGTATGAGTGCATCCGACGGCGCATTACTTTTCTCCCGTGCCCTCGACGCTCTCGTGGATGCCGGGCTTCCCAAACTGGATCTCTGGATCTCGCGAGACCGCTACCAATCATCGGCTAAAGGAGCCCTCGGTGGATGCGCTGTTTTCTCGCCTTTCAACATATATAATCCTCATCGTGAAGAGCCTGCATCTATTCACCGAGGATAGGCTCGAGACAAAGACAGAAGCTCAACGGGTGGAGCCGCAAAGCGATGCTGGTGATTGGATGCATGCGTTCACTGAAAAAGGCGACGGAGGTGACCCATGCCATGTAGTGGCGTTCCCCAATGTGGCTCGTGCGGCGGTCCGGTAGTTTTTCCCCAAAGCTTGGCATGGTCACGTTTCTCTAGCTTTCTTGAGCCGCATCTGAAAAAAAAGTCTCAACATACGAACAGCAACGGTTCCACTTTCTTGCCATGGCTGCTGTATACAAAACCCTATCTTCGTCGGGCGGCCATGAGAAGGAGCCGGGAGAGCGGAAAAATAAGCAGCGAGTCCTCATTCTGGTACATGAAACTCCTGAGAAAATTTGGGACAATGCTGACGACCCATGTAGAGCTCAAGAGGTGTGACGTATCGACATCGCCATTTACTGCAGGATCTGTACTCCCTGATGTGAGTCGTCTAATGAATATTCAATGATCTAGCACTTACTAGGTCTCAGGCCCCATAGTCGAAAAGAGGCGAAACTAGATACTAAAACGAAGCTCTATCAGCTCAATGAGCTTGCTGGTATGTATGGAATTTTCCTTATATTTAGCCACAATCAACATTGGTCTATTTGTCGTCATTGCTAGCTCAATCTGTTCTATACCTAGTTCTAGTCTAGAACATGGACCCTGGCCAGCAGCTCTTGTCTATTCATGATGAGATCGCATTTGCGCTTTTACTAATACGTCCTTAGAGCTATATAATTGTAACAATGTGCTGTTTTTCGAAGCGAGGAAAGGCAAAGATCTCTACGCATGGTTGAGCAAAGCTCCTAACGGACCTACCGTCAAGATGCATTTGCAGAACTGTAAGTTAGATAGATGAGTCCGACGCTCCTCCTCTGCTAACTTAATGGCAAGTGCATACTATGGAAGAGCTCAACTTCATTGGCAACTGGTACGTCAATTTCGGACAATCCTCGTTGCATCGACTCACATCCAATCAGCTTAAAGGGCTCAAGGCCTATTCTGTCATTTGACGCAGCTTTCGAAAAGCAGGCTCACCTGCGAGTTATTAAGGAACTCTTCACGCAGATATTCGGTGTTCCAAAGACTTCACGGAAAGTCAAGCCCTTTGTAGACCACGTTATAGGATTCACCATCGCTGATGGCAAGATCTGGATACGAGTCTACCAAATCAACGAGTCAGAGCCAGGGAAGAAGAAGTCTGCAACTGACGGAGAAGAGATGGATGTTGATTCTGCACCGCCGAAGAAGGGAAAGACTGAAACGGACATTAGTCTAGTGGAGATCGGACCCCGGTTTGTCTTCACACCCATTGTGATTCAGGAGTCGAGCTTCGGTGGACCGATTATCTATGAGAACAAGGAGTTCGTATCACCCAACCAGATTCGATCCGACTTACGGAGAGCAAAGGCTGGTAGGTACAATAGGCGGACCGAAGCGACGTTGGAAGGCAAGATCAAGCGAGGAGACTTGGGCCTCAAGACGCATGGTGGACGCAAGAAGGAGAAAGATCCGCTGAGCGACAATGTGTTGTTTGCTTAGCTCTACTTGCTGCGGGAAAAGGGAAAGGTGTTCGGAGTTTGGAGACTAATGGTCACCTGAAGCATGCATTTCGAGGCTCTGGCGCATCTCTCTCCAATACCAAAGGTAGATAAAACAAGCGTTCTCTTCTCGAATATTCCTAGTGTCACAGTTCCAGAATGAGATCGTCACCCAAGTCCACAAAATAGTCGTATAGTAAGAGTTGATTATAAGTCAGAAATTGGGTCTCATAAACTGCACTGCTATTCTCAGCAACGGGATAGGCACATATTTTTCTACAGACTATGTTAACTATGCAACCAGACAGCCGTCTATCCTGCAATCCCTCTTGAAGCTGTCACGGATCTCTCAAGTGCCTCAGCATACTCCACACTCACGCCTGTCACTTGCACTTTCCGAACACCATAGATGCGATGGAAAGGATCCAAAACCGTCTGTGACTGAGAGTAGTTCTTCTCATCATGCACTCTGTGTACCCTACCAGAGGGAAAGCGGTTCCCACTAATCGCGCCATCGATCAGGTGGATTTGCAATCGGTGCAAGTATGGGACCATGCACAGCAAGTCAACTAGGCGTTGCACCTGCTGTCTTATCCTAGCCGTGAGTCCCCGGCCACCGCAGTTAAATTTGATCATCCCAGCATAGTCATCCACATGCTCCACGTTTATTATATAGTTCTTTATCCTCATCAAATTCCTCTGCGAGAAGTGATCCAGGAACGAATACGTCCGACTAGGGGTCAAATTCGACGGCAAAAACCAGCGATACCGAAACCTAATGCAGTCAAACGCGACGTCGATGACAAATATATTCTCCCCGTAGATCATGTCTACACACTCGTCGTGAATCTGGTGGCTCGTGGCTAATATCCCGATGGAGCCCCGCCGCCACACAATGTCATTGCCCGTTTCACGGTCGGTCTTGGGAAGCGTCTTCTGCATTTTCCAGACACCGCTACCAAGGTTTTCGCGCACGAACGTCAGGTTGTATTCGCTTCTTTGCGGGCGGTCGTAGTCTTTACGCTGGAGGCGCACGTCGAAGGTAGAGGTCGATGGGAGGACATAGTGATAGATGTGCCGTCGGAGCTCGACTGGGAGATGGAGGAGAGGCGAGGCCTGCTCTGAGCTTGATGGCGAAGAGAACCGCATAATGCCAGCAATGCTTCCATACAAACCGAGGGCAGTGATCGTGACGTACATCGAACAACGGTTCAAGGCATAGTTGTGAATAAGGAGGGGATCATAGGATGGTCCCGGCGCCGAAATCTTGGCACTCTCATAAATTCACCGCCCGCGAGAGTCATCACCTCCTTTCCTTACCACCCGCCCATCATGATACATCCCGACGTCTCCAGCCGCTCCCGGCTGGCCCATGCCTCCAGCGACTTTCCTGAGCATGTCTCTGCTCTTTTCTATAGCCCCAACGGAGGGGTCTCGATCATTTGATCCCCTTCCTTCCCCATCGGCGTCGCAGCCAGCAGCAACACAGTTATTCCCAACGAGGAATCAGCTCAGCTACGCGTCGATCAAGTCACAAAAACACCATACAAACAATACTAGCATAAAAAATCAATCAATTAAAAAGGAGAAGAGGAGGAGTTGTTTCCATTTCCCTTAGCTCTAGAAATTTACCTCTGCCACCGCCAACATGTTCGAAGACGTTGCAACCGAACTTGTTTCCCAAGTGTTTTTCTCATGTTCTTCTGTTACCGACGTCCTAGCACTCTCGTCGACTTGTCGCCGTTTCCGTAACATCTACGCCTCATCCCAGAAACTCGCCATCCTCGAACACGCCGCCGAAGCCCAATTCGGCCCACTCCAAGACCTCACCCAGCTACTCACGCACAATGCCAGCCAGCCAGCACACATCATCCGCTCAGTTCCATTCTCCACCGCGCTGCTCAAGCAGATTGTACACAGCGGCCGCGTGGCCGAGAAATGGTGCGACATCTATCCCTTCAAGAAATGGAAGTCCAACTACGAGAATCGGCGCCTCCTGACAAGCGTCGAGCGATATCGTCTACGGCGAGCACTCTACCGTCTCTGGCTCTACACTCGCGCCTTCCATAACCGAGATCACCCGCGCGAGCTCCGGGCCACCAAGCTCGTCATTCAAAAGCGTGCCGGACTTCTCCACAACTGGAGCACGATGGAGCTCTCCGAGATTGCCGATGTTCACGGCGTGCTGCGCGAAGTGCTCCACAGCAACATCTGCCCCTCTAACGGGACTATCGCGCGCAAATTCAAAAAGCGATATCCCGACCACAGCGAGCACCACCTCCTCTTCAATATCCACCTCAATTACCCGCCGCCATCGCACACTCCTCCCGCTTACAACCCATTCACGTCACAATACCACTCCCACCCCAGCAGCCTCTCCAACCACTTCCACAGCACCTCCACATTCGCCTCGCGATGCGCCTCGTCCAAATTCAGCCTGCGCGCACATCACGAGGTCGGCGCCGAGGGCTGGGGCGACGATATCCCGCACTACTACGTTGTGGAGGATATGCTCAAACTGGACCCAGAGCAGATTATGTGGTTGAAAGAGAATGCGCCGCTGAAGGGCATGGTGGAGGGCTATGTGCGCAGCTTAGGTGACTGGTTTGAGAATAATGGGGAGACGTGGGGTCAGACGCTGGAGTGGGTGTTGGAGGAGAGGGGTCAAGATGCTTGTGAGTTTCTTGGATTGGTGGCAGATGGAGAGTTGGGCGTTGCTGTGGTGGGTGAGGCTTCGGCGGTGTAAGCTTTTGTGTGTACGTGGGTCAGGTTTTCTTCGAGCAGGTCTGCACTGATGCACTCTTAATTTGGCTTTGTTGTTTGTCATGGTGTGAGGTCTTGTATAGGTAGCGAGCAAATAATACTGTAGATTTTGGTTTCGTCTTTCCCTATGTTGACTTTGTTGTGCTTGCAAATAACGTCCTTGTTCGTATGCTCACTTCCCACCTTTACCAAATATCTCTCTCCCACCGCATATGACGCAACACCCCAAGCCTATTCCTAACCACATTCTCACATCCTGCCACTCCATGATTCTAGCAACTGTTTTGACAGATCAATTCTATTATATTCCCTAATCTGCGCTAACGTGCCATGGACAAACACGCATTGTCCTCGTTTGTTCTGACTGGCATTGTTTTAGGAAAATATCCGACAGCACTGGAAGGATCAGGTAGCTTCAATACGACAGCAGGGGTGCGGGTAAGACCAGGGTGACGGCGAGGGTCACGCGGATTTTCTAGTTTGGTTGTTTTAGGGCAGAGGGCAAGGCAGAAGGAGATATAGGGGATCTCTATTATTCACTGTACATCTTGCCAAGCCTTTTCTCTTATTGGTTTAAAAAAGCGCCGGATTAATGTCTTATTGGCCTATAAAACTTTCCACCACTTTTGCAAATATTCTAGATTTTTAAGGCAAATAAATATATTTTACTAGGTCTATTACTATATTTTAGATATTTTAATGCAATATTATAATGCTGTGTTCTGTTGTTAGTGGGCTAAAGTTTGCCCCTTTCTTACTGTTCACAGTTTTAAGGTGTCGCCAAGCTGGAATCGGTGTGTCGGCGTCTGTATTCCGGTACTACAGCATGTCTTCCCAGCCTTACTGTAAGGAATGTCAAACCTATCGCCCATTGTCTAACTTTGCAACTGACCAACGCGGTACTCCGTATGAACATTGTCGGCGGCACAGGAGATTTTTTTTGTCTATATCTCTATTCTTCCTTTGTTATTGCTAAATTTTCCTTATCCAAGCTTCCGAAAAGGAAGGCTCATACCTGCTCGTAGTATTAGGGGACTAAGTGATGGATGGTATTCTGAGACTCATTCTTAAGGAATACTAGAGTTTTATGTACGCTGTGTATACAATAGCCCCGGTAGCGCGAGAAGATTCTAAGTCTATAATATCAAGTCTATGCGCTTACGGCCCTGTGTTATTCAAGGCAGAAATTCAGAGGGCTGAGGATTTAAGGGGAATAATAGCGAGCTTGGGTGTTTGATGATACTATTCGAATACGAAGCCCTTCAGGAATCATAGCACATTACACCCGTTGCGCACACAAAACATTCAGAAGAGTTCTGGCGAGAAAATCTTTAAATGCATTATATTTATGCATATACCTTTGTAGCCTATGGCAGAGGTTAAAGTGGTAGGATATCAGTAGAAAATAGGAGTAAGGATATGGGGAGCTGGAATTGTTCTGCTCAACTGCACTAAAAGGGATCTTAGCACATTGTTGTATATTGCTATTCTCCTCTCTCTGCTCCAGAGCAACCAGCCTCTTACTCCTACTTAAATTCCCTGTCTTCTTCACCTCACTTAACCAAACCATCATCTCCGCAAACTTCCTTTTATCCTCGTGCCATCTCTCACTCACGAGGATCTCCCCCTATTCTTTGGAAAGTTCTGCGCCTGTGGTGCCCCTTTTACTAATGGCTTTCTTGATGCCGGATCTGAGGGTGGGGTTGGGGGGGGTTTGCAGGCAACTCCAGTACGGGCCTGAGCGACGTTGCAGCCGTTTCTTCATCCGTCGATCCATTTAGTAGTGCTACTGGTTTTGGTGCTGGTGTTGGTGCTGATCCCACATCCATACCACTTTCTTCCTCTCGCCACCAATCCTCCTCCAACGACACTGCTGGTGTGAATGAGGATTCTGACCCTACCTCTGCGCAGAACGCAACGATTATCAGGAAGTCAATATCTTTATTGAAGATGTTAGCGGGAAATTCCGCATTCATGTTGCCGAATGCATCCTGCCACTGTCATCCGCCTTGCTCTCTGTACGCGGAGGCTTGTTTAGGAGAGGGAGGCATGTTGTGTGATGAGGGGTTGGGGCAGTGGTGCGCGGTGGTAAAGTAGTGTGTTGGTCTTGGTGGGGGTGTTTTTGGATTGGGTTTATAGTATATCGTAAACTGATATTGAAGAACAACTTCATCTCGTAATTCGTTCTTGTGGTGATCGTTACCTATTCCCTATTGCGATAGAGCTCTGAGGTGCAACAAGGGCAGCCGAAGGCCTGTTCTGACGCACTGTTTTCCTCTCCAGATCGCATATTGACCATGGCGGCATCGGGCGAAGAATACCATCATTTCTCTTCTTTCAAGAACCTAGTATTACAGAATCCAGCCCAACAAAGCGTGCGACCAAAGTCAAAACGATTCGGTCTAGTATCCGCGTCCTATCCTTCCGGGTATTGAAGGGGGAAAGTAGAATACCGCCTTTCCATCTCCAGGTCAGCCTTCCATCTCGGGGTGTTTGGTTTCCGGAATTTTATGAAGCGACGTCAAACCCCTGAGCTATCTCTTCCTGCACTTTTTGGTGATGCAGTGCGGTAGTGAAGTCCTGGGAGGCTTCTTCAAGCTAACGTGGTTGACAATGAATCGTGAGCCACGAGTAGGTTCGAGTGTGGCATCACCCTAAACTTGCTACCCTAGCAGTCCACGCCTATGCCCAGGTACAATCGCGAAAAGGTGTACTCAATAAAAGGTTTCCCGCCGTTAGCAACGTTCGAAACTATAACCAACCCTATTGTTGCGTAATGCTAGTATCGCGACTAAAACAGGGCCAACAGCGCTGGGTTCACAGACCCAAGGACCAAATAAAATCCTGTGAGGGGTGTCACTTACGGTCCCAGGGTGTACTGTCCTTCGCTACACAAACTGCAGTGGCACTTTGGATCTGCATAGCTTCAGCGCCTCAACCGAGACCGACCGACAGCCACCATCGCACTACAGCAGCACCTCTTCGTTTGTTTTGGGAAACTGTATGTCGTGCTTCCACTCCTCGTTACGACTATATTGATATGCATGCTTCTCGGTGGTGTATTGGGCTTTTTTGCAATTGGAGGATTTGGCTAGGGGAACGAGAATAGAGACGAGCGTTCGAGGGTGATGGCGGGTGATTGTGAGCGAACAGATTCGACAGAGCGTGCTTTATCTGTGTGATAGGCGGATAGCTTGAGAAGTCTGTTAGCACCTCAATTCTTGTTCTCATTTGAAACAAAAGCGAAGAAAGGGTAGCGCGAAACAGAAAAGGTTTTACGGGCCTTTTCAGCCCAAGTTGGTAGTACATATGCATCGAGTGGTGCCAACACTCGCGTTGCAACCCTCCTCCAAACTCCGATGTGTTTGGAAACACAGAATGAATCATCAGCAGTCTCCTCGGCAAACTACTTACAAGAATCGAAGAAGGGAATGGAAAATGCATAGGGTATTTGAAACAAGTCGATCAAAAAGCCGAGAACTCTATTGAAGTCCTGGTAAAACGCCATCCATAATTCAGCCGCTGATGATGCATGAAATCAACTCTGGATATAACCTATTTGTGTAGCTCATCTTGTGCTAAGTAGTAACCCTCCATCTGCCACCTCACGCTCTGGAAGATACCTCGGACCCTCTCGCTGTCGCTAAGTGGGTTTTCCCACCACTTTTCGTGCATTGAGGCGACGCCTTTGTCGAGGTCGTTATCGTTTACGGATCGGATGCTTGTCTAATGTTAGCGACGGGATTGGCTTAGATTTTGACGAAGGCGACTTACTTCCAGGTGTAGGCGAGTTCCTTCCATGGCATAGGACCATCCCACCGATGAGCGTAGTTTAGCAAGTTCTGTTCCATATACTTTGGATCGAATCGGTTCTCGATATCCAGAAGCGCCGTATAGTAGTTGAAGATCTTTTTGTTCGGCTTCAACATGAAGAAGCCAGCACAGAAGTAGCCAAACTTCTTAAGGCCGTGGTCCCAATCCGGAGGGAAAGCATGGTCAGCCCCTGCAACCTCTCCAATACTAGCGAGCAGATATTCGTCAGGGATATCAGGCTCGTCTTCGGGGTTGGAGGCATTCCTCAGTCTTGTGGCAATTTTCGAGGCTGGGTCCTCGAAGATACCGTCCAGGGGATGTTGCAGAATCATGTCTCCATCGAGCATGAGGATCTGCGAGTTTGTCAGTTGTTTCGTTCTTGAAACATACAAGCCCTGCCAAGCTTACCCTTGAGTACTCTTCCATTTCCCAGACACGGAGCTTTGACATGATGTCGTTCCAGCGGTCCTCCTTAGGGTGAAGCCATTTGTCGTTCTTTCCATGAACGAAATCGATTGGTCGCACTATAGCCCCATCTTTCCGAAGTCGCTCACGTCGAGACTCGCTCACGTCGGGCGTTACAACTACTACTACGTCAATGCCGTCGGTCTTGGTTTTGCTGTAGTGAAGCAGTTGCCAGACGAGGATCCGTGTTCCAATGAAGTACTTGTCCTCGTCAAGGTTCTCACTGTTCTCGCCGACAACAGTGCTGGAGAGCCAGGTGACGTAGGCAAGCTTTTCTTTACCAGGCTCGGTTTCCTCAGGATGATTTGATTTAGTTGGTATAGGAGCTGTGACTGCTGACGGTGCCGGGTGGTGTGTGAATGTGTTGGAGGCATGTGATGGCAGAGGGTGGTGTAGCGACTGGATTGACGGACGATGAGTGAGAGTGAGGAAACCGATTAGAACTAGTATAGCGGCGACGGCAGTGTACAGCGTCACTCGGATGTCTCGCAACGAGGCCATATTGTCCGAGTGAAAGGGTAGGAGACACCGGACAATCTTGAACTTATGACAGGCGGAAAAGTCGGAAGGGAGAAAAAGAGAAAGGAAATGTACGAGGCAGCCTATAAGCCAGAGGGCATGCTGAAAGAATGACAAAGGTTGGAGGGTGGCGGTTGTGGAACCCGAGTTGCGGTGATTGCAGGTGAGGTGGGCGGAGTGCAGGTCAGCAGTAATTCCTTCGACAAGGCTTGTAGGATTGGGGGACCCAGCGCGCGTCGTTCCTGCACGAGCCCGAATCTGGTGAGCAAGACTGAAATAAAAAACCTGATGTGTGCTGGTGTAAGACGATCGACAAACTGACTCGTATTCGCTGATAGAAAGAACTTTGAAGGAGGGAAGGCGCAAACGGTTTGTTGGTTGATGTTTGGGGAAAGACAGTGGTAGATAAAAGGAACTACACCCACTTGATTCCTTGCGAGACACCGCCCCAAGATATTAGCAGAGCGACGGCTGTGGGCCCACGACCCCCTCGCCTGGTGGAGGATGGCGACTGGTGACTGTACGAGGGACCCATTCACTATGCTCACATTTGGCCAATGATCGCCGACAACATGACCCACCGGCATTGCGATTGGCATCTGCTCGGGACGGTGGATGACATACCCTACCCATCTGTGAGGACTGGTGGAGCAGACCACAGAATCTCGACGAGTCGCTTAGGTGGTGGGAAGATGGAATAGGAGCTCAACAACCATATTAGGACTAGAAGCCACCACAAAAGGAGATTGTTGTGACCTCTGTGCACATCATCACACAGGTCGCTATCGTTATCAGGGAATAGCAGAAATGAGCATGATTAGAGGGCTGGCTGCGACAAGAGGCGCTAGTTTTGAACACGGCGCCACATGGCGTGCTAGAAGCGATTTTTCTGGCTGCGTGGCACGGCGCGTCGCATCCTCGCATTTTGCACGACGCCGCACGATGGGCATCCGGATATCGACGTCCGGCAGGCGGCGAGCGGGAGGAGTGTGTGCGAGGTCGATGGTTGAGTGTTGAAACTTGACGACTGCTTGACGACGTGGTGATGGTAGAAATAAGGTAGACTTAGAGCGGATGCATGGGGCGGCCTGGAAATTGACCCTGATTGATTAACCCAACGCTCCCTTGGGGCGATCTGCGACGGGAGCGGAACATTTTTTTGGAAACACTCTCCGAAGCCCAAAGGAGGGTCCCAGGAGAGAAACAGAAGCATACGGAGTACATAAGCTAGTTAAGGGTTCGAGAGCGCTTCAACTCCTGCTGCTGGTTTTGTAGCCGCGGCCGCTGAGCCTCAAAGCGCGTCTGGCCACGCTGCACGTTCATGCACCGCACTATATTTAATCATTGATACGGACCTTTCCCAGAAGAGCCCGCGACGAGCCACTCAGCGCGCACACTTGCTCGTCGTGGCGGCGGTTTTGCTCAGCCAGGTCCCTCTCGTGCGCCGCGGCCGGGGCGCTAATTGGCTCGCCACCTTCACGTAAGCTGGATCCCAAATCCCCTTTCATCCCACCGCTTGCGGCAACGTCGGCTTGGCTCCCCTTCAGCTGTGCCACCCTTTTCGTCTTCATCTTCTCCTGGGCCTCGATTGTCTCCGAACCCCCATCTGGTTTGTACCTCCTTGCCAGCGCCTCCGTTCCTTTTCATCTCTGTCCTTTATTTCCTAGCATGTCCGCTTAGCTCGACGAGAGGAATCCTACAGTCGCTCGCTTCTCCACACCAACAACACCTCCGCACAATACAATGGGTACGTGACGAGTTGCCCGCCCGCGCTGACGTGCCCACCGCTGACGTCGAGACAGCATCAGAGAAGCGTCCCTCCATCGAGGGGCTCGTCGACAACGTCGACCCCCGCCCGTCGACCGAGCTGGATGAACTCCCCCAGTATGAGAAGACCGAAGAGCCTCCCGCGATCCCCCTCAAGGAGAAGCTTATCACCTGCTTCTGGATCGCGACCAACACTCTCTCCACGCTGGGTCTTATATTCATGAGCAAGCGGTACGGGATTCCATCGTAGAACACGGCTAGCGATATGCTAACTCCCTGACAGCGTCTTCAGCGACAAGCAGCTCAAGGCCTGCCAGCTGATGGTCGTCATGTGGCACTTCACGGCCACTGGTCTTGCTTTGTTCATCTCTACCAAGGCCCCCTTCCGAGCCTTCAAGGCCATCCGTCTAAATCCCTGGGATATGCTTCCCGTGTGCGCCTTCTTCTCTGGCTACGTTGTTCTCGGCAATCTGAGTTTAGCATACAACTCGATTGGCTTCTACCAATTATCCAAGGTTATGACAACACCTTGTGTGGTTCTGTTCAACTTTGTGCTGTTCCAAAAGACAGTTACCCGATACATGCTGCTATCCATCCTTGCTACCTGCATAGGTGTTGCATTCACCATCAATGGTGAGGCCAAGACACAATTATTTGGAGTTATTATTGCATCACTAGCGTTCATCTCAACCGCTCTGTACCAAATCTGGATCGGAAAGAAGATCGAAGACTTCGCCGTTGGTCCCCCTCAACTACTTCTCAACCAAGCTCCGATCTCAGTGCTCCTCCTCATCCCCTTTGTTCCCTTTTTGGACAGGGTGCCAGATCTGACCATCGTTCCGACCAATATCCTCTGGTCAGCCCTCGCATCCGGCATCATGGCGTCCACTTACAATCTCTCTCAATTCCTGATCATCGGTCGTACGTCCGCATTGACATTCAACATCGTTTCCCACCTCAAGACAATCCTAATCCTCTCTTTCGGCTGGTGGAGCGAGGGCAAGATCCTCACTCCACGGGAATGGTGCGGTGTTCTCCTGGCATTGGGTGGCGGCTGGGTCTACTCGCACTTGGCTATGAAGGCAAAGCAACAGGCAGCTCGTAAATAGACAAGACAAGACAAGACAAAGCACCCGGCGTTGGGCTTGTGCGTACTTTTTTCTTTTTCTGTTACTTTGTCAGGATATTGGGCCGAACGAATCTTGTAATGTTAGTAGGGTATGAGGCGCACGAATTTCTTTCATAGACTTCAAAGGTTGTCGCTCGCACGCAGAGACGGATAGGGGTTTAAGGCGGGTAGGGTACTTCGCTGTGTACTTGAGCGACTCGAAATGTCGGTCGCATTCTCAAATCAACGAAAAAAATTCGAGCTGTGTGAGATTCTCTCAATCAGCATGGCATTCATCGCAGAGTCACAAATCCAACACTATTGCACCTCCTACGTCTATCCGGTGCACGGTAGAGTGTGTTTCACGCGCATGCAAACATGACAGTTACCCATCTCCCCAGCACTCCGCTGGACCGTCCCATGCTTGCTTGCTGATCCCCTCATCGATTCAGCTGTGCCTTTCCCCCTTCGTCCTCTGTGCCATCAGCCATGTCACACAGTCCAACATGACACGACCGGTCAAACCGTCTTCTTCCTTCGCGTCTACACAACAACCAAATCAGGAAGGTCCAATTACATCACGTGTTACGCTCCGCTAAGCCCTGCGCGCACGGACTCTTTGCGTCGCTTCAGCCCTGCGGCTGGGGAACTGATACTCGGCTCGGCCTGTGTTCAGTTTTTACTTCACTGGGTTTAGGGACTACTAGTTTAGGTTCTGGGCCGCGAATGGGGAGGATGATCAAGGTAGGTCGATGACGTTTTGGAAGGCCTGATGAACGAATGTGCCTTTTGCAAGGCAGAGTTGCGGTTGGCACGGACACGAGCATGGCAAAGCGTAAGTAGTGGGAGGGAGAGAGTATTTAGGGTGGCTGATTTCCTGGTCTGGGGGGAGTCAACAATAGCAACTACGACCTGTATGCAACTGCCTTTGATCCGAGGTCAAGCACATGTTCTTTTAAAGCTACTTTTGTATCCACACAAGACACCAGACATACTTTTACATACCCTTCTGCCTCGATAAACACCCGATAACCATACACTTGCCTATACCTACACCTACATCTACATCTAATTACGATCAAAACCTAATCCTACTAGTACAGCACCTCTCCATCCTTGCACACAAACTAGTCCCTCAGCCTCACCAATGGGCTGCACATCCAGCAAATACAGCCAAGACTACCCACCACCAATGCGGCAGACTCGCCACGGTCGTCGACGGCGAGGCCATGGCGGATACGGATATGGGTATGCGGGCGGATATTACGGAGGAGACAGTGGAGGTGGAGGAGGATGGGGTGGCGACGGTGGAGGAGGCGGAGGCGGAGGAGGCGGATGGGGTGGTGATGGCGGAGGAGGAGGAGGGGGTGGAGGGGGTTGTTAGAGGTGGGAGAAGAGCGTGGGTAAAGGGCGCGAAAAGCAGGGGGATGGAATAGGGGTGGGTGGGTGTTGTATTATTACTTGTATTTCGTTGGGTTTGGTTGGATTAAATTGGATTGCAACAGGCTCTGGATTAGGATGCTCAGATTGCTGGAAGCAATCCGACGGGTTACGGATAATGATACTACCTGAATGGACGACTTTGAGAATGTCAGCCTCCATCCCCTTGCTCATGTATCATGATCCTGCCATAAAATGGAGTTATTCACGACTTTGACTTGGGATACAAGTCTTATAAGACAAGTCTTTATTCGCGCCATCAATTTGGTTAATATCAGGACTAACAGACACCAGCACTAAACACTAACTACTCAAAGAAAATCCATAGTGCTATTTCTTAAGATTCATCTATTTACCAAACATCCAACAAGGCCCTGCCTAAGCCCTCTCTCAAGCCATTCGTAGCCGAATCCTATCTATCTTCCCCACCTCCCTCTCCCACCTTCATCGCCAACTCCCTCAACTCTACTTTCCCTCCCCTAATCTCCCTCGTCCTTTCCGCTAACTTCACAATCTCTTTCCTCGTCAAAACTCTCTTAACAATACTCTCATCTTCTCTCTGCTCAAACCGTTCATTCGCTTCTTCAAGCGCTTGCGCGCTTACGAGTCTGCGGTCGATCTTGGTCCACCTCGCAGCTGCCGGAATCGCCTTTACTTGTACTTGGTCTTCTGTTTTAAGCTGGCTGGCTCGTCCTCCCTCCATCTCGAGTTCTGTTTGTTGCTTGTGGTAAATGGCTTCCTTACGCTGTTGGGTTGCTCGTATTGCTTTGGTTCGCTCAACTAGATTTTGAATATCTTCAGGACTCAGGACTGTTAATACAACGATATAGTTGCCCCTCTCTTCGAATGGCATACCTGCCTCGTTCAAAGCATAAGGATCAATGAGACGGCGATTAATCTTCGTCCAGCGGGCACCAAGCGGAATGGTCTTCTCACCTTCTTCCGGTGTCGTAGGTCGGGAGTGCGAGATATGCCGTGGATCATCTAGTGGGATATCTGCTCGGTAGTCGGCAGTCGACCCGTCTTCGTTCGGGAGTTGTGTTGAGTAGCTGATATCGGTATCCACGTTTCCAGCACTCTGGTCTGACCCTGTATCGGCAGATAAGGCGTGATGGGGAGGCCTAGAATCCCATCGGTCCTCGATGCTATGCTGCTGTGTGCTCGCGAGGTTGACGTACGAGTAATACTCATCTATATTAACATATGATAACTCTGCACTAGCAAGATTAAACTTGCCCAGGTGGTCCACAGGAACTATCTTATCCTGCTCATGAGGCTCTTTGACACTCGCCGAGAATGAGAGACGAGGCTGGGGATCAGGATGGATATTTTCCTCAACGGTAGGTAACGTTGATGCAAAGTCCGACGGTGGTGCTCCCTGGGTACGCCAGTATTCTTCGACCGGAAGAAGATCCGCTTGTTCTGCTCGCTCTGCATGAAGCTGCTGCGTAAGAGTGGATACCAGTGCTTTGGTGGATGAAGGTTCGTGAGAAGGAGCAGATGGTAGTTCGAGTGGCATCTCCGTCTCCTCCATTGCGGGCGCTTCCTGTACGCTTTGGTGCTCTAAATACGTCGGGTTATTATTCCGCGCGTGCTTAAGCCTCTGGAACAACATCTCGCACTCAGCCGGGCTGCGACTTCTTAGCATTATAAAGTTCTCTGACTTGAGCCGTGATTCCTGGAAGGTGCGAGCCGTAATCGTGATCTCCGTACTCACATGCTGCTCAAGTGGCACAAGTGGCGTCAATTCGAGACTCAGTAATGGGACACCTTGGGTGTGCACTATATGGTCGGTCTCATATACTTCAAATTTGCCGGGGTAGATGTGGATACTGCATTCAAATGGGTGCAGGGCTTCCCAACGTTTGCCTTCGTCAGACCAGGAGAAGACAGATGCTATTGCCTTTTCTGGTTCCTTCTTGATCGGGATTGTAACCTCAGCATTGTAGATTGTCACACCTGGTGGCGGCGATGGATTGCGGTGTCCTCTTTGCTCGGTGCTTGGGTACGGCTGGTTTACGGTGACAAAAGGACTGGATCGGTGTATATCCCGATAACTTTTTTCCACAGTGACGAGCAAGTTCCACGAATGCTTGTACTCTTGTGGGAACTCGACCTTCACACTCCGTTCACTATCCAGCGTTGAGTAAACCGATCGATCTGCTTCCATGTAGAGGTATTGGAGTACACATTGCGCTTTGCCATACCCATCCACGCAAAGGTCCTTGTCCTCGGCGTAGAGTTGCGCTATTTTGCTGCAAGTAGAGCAGCCCTGGGCATGAGATTCATAATTGATGAGCGCAGTTTCTTCTCCGCTTTGTAAGGGACGTAGGGTTTGTGAGACCGGTTGTTTACCAAACCGGACATTACGGATCGCATCCCCGATGGAGCCAAAGAGCGTACGGCGCGGCGGAGGAGCCGGTTCGGTGGCTTTTGTAGTGTCATTCGATTTCAGTTGAAGGGAAGAACTCGGCGGCAGAGCTTTATTGACGTTGGTCTCGACTGGAGGAAAGAAGACCGGTAACAGAGATTTGTAGATTGACTCGTCATTCGACCCGAACACACAGAAAATGATGCGCTCTATCGGGTTGGCCGCCTCCGTCGTCTCCAGGTAACGCTTCACTTCTTCCATGGCGACTGAGGCAGCATCGCGTTTTGGATAATTCAGCATACCAGTTCCAATCGTAGGTATAGCTAACGATGTTGCTTTTAAAGAGCTGGCCACATGCAGAATCTCCCTATATATCTTCCGGAGAACATCCTTGGTATTCTTGCGGTACGTATCTGGAGGTATAGCGTGAATGATATGCCTTGCAGGAAGTTGGTAGCCGCCAGTGAGGCGCACGTCCCCTTCTTTGCAAACCCCGAAGTCCGCACAGTCTTCTTGGAGAGACAGGCCGCCCTTTCGAAAAATTGTTCGATCGAGTGTGCCCATTCCAGAAAAGCCAATGTCCGTCGAGTTCACTATCACGTCAACCTCGAGTCTCGATATGTCTTCTCTTATTAGGGAGACTGTGTTATTGACGATACCGTCCGGGATAGCGTTGGTGGGCTCAGGCTCCAACTCCCCCAATTGATAAAGCCGGCTCAACGAAGGGATTTGATGGACTTTGATAATGTTGGTGTGGTTGTAGGTTATCGTCTCCCTGTGAAAGTCACGCGTGAACATGGCCTCGTCGAAGGCGTCTCGTTGGGCTTTGTTGCCTTCCCCAGTCTGCTTAAGACGATAGGTGCTTAGCCGGATGCGCATTGTCCCCATCTCATGGGGTTCTATACCGTTGCTGGGGGTGGATTAGCGTGGCAATAGGGTCCGTAGAGATCCCTTACATACCGTATGAGAATGTCGTCTATACACTGGGCAAAATCTCGACAGATTTCTAATAGGGTATTCAGATCCATCCCTTGACTATTTTGCATATGAAGATTGTACTCATCCCATATTGTCTTGTACGTTGGCCCGTCAAAATTTCTTGCGTACTTCGTCTGCTCGACTATTTCCATCACTCCTTGAGATACACTTTGCATGACGGAACAGATTAAATCCAGATCTGCTATCACCCAACCGGCCAAGTTCTTTATTTTCCCCTTTGAGGAGACGAAGAGGTTCTTCAGGGAACGGACTGTTGATATTATTGCCGAAAGCTCACGAAGAATATTACGAGGGAACTCGCGGATATTGTCGCTGAAAATGACAAGACTCTGGGTAACCCGTTCGATCTGTATATAGGCGTCCTGCAGTTGTGATGCCAGTGAATTAGGGTCCCTAGAGTTATCCAAGGGCACAGCATTCTCGAGGTCTCCGTGGGTTGGAGGAAAGAAGACGGGGATAAAGTCTCTGTACGCTTTCTCGTCACTTCCCTTGTAGCTTTGAAAAGTCAGCACCATCCCGCCCAAACACCCATACCTGAAAATCGATAGCACTTACACACAGAAGATGATACGTTCGAATTGATAACTCTTGTGAACGTCTAAGAACTCCCTGGTCTCTTGCAGAGCGACTAAGATGTCCCTGCGTCAGTATGTGATCTTCACCGAGAGGAGAACTCTAATTGTGCTTACTTCGAGCAGCTACGCGAGAGGGGAACCCGCATCCACCAGCCGCTATGCAGGGAAATACGATTGTCTTCATGTTGTGATTCACCGCGGCTTTGAGAGAACTGCGGTAGCATTCCGTAAGAACGTTGAATTTCCCCATCCCTTTGGATCCCGAGTATTGGGGTCTAGCAGCATGAATCACATAAGAACCTGAGAAAGGTTAACGGGGAGGTGTCTATGTTCGATTGCAATTAGTTCTATCACCAGAACAGAATACTCACTTGGAAGGTTGCAGCCAGAGGTCACCCTGACTTGGCCTGTTCTGACACTTCCGAGTTGAGCGCATTCTCTTTTGAGGCCAGGACCTGCGGCTTTGTGGATGTAATGGTTCAGCGTATCGTATCTCCTAGTAAACCTCATTGCTTTGTTCGCAGAATTTACGATTGCATCCGCTTTGATACGTGTAATGTCATAGAATGTAAAGCCAAGCATTCGATTGTATGAATCGTTGGGAGCGTAACTTTGATCCCGTTGCTGGAGCTTCCGTGACCTGTAAAGCAAATGAAATGTCGGGATCTCATCCACAGGAAGTATCGGTAGCTTGCCATCAGCTTCTAATTCCCCATTCTCTGAGAGAGAAGCTGACGAAACTGAATCATCTTCAAGAGTAGTGTGGGCTCCCTGATTTGGCTTGGGCTTCTCCAGAGCTGGCAAACTGAACTTCAAGCTGGCTCTATTTTCAACGCCTAGGCGAATCTTGACCTCCGGGTATTGCTCCTTGTCGAAGGTCGCTATAGCACGCACCGCAGCGTCTTCGCTCGAGAAATTTAGATAACCACGCCACCAACCGTAACGGCGTAGGAATCGCGTGGATTGAGCCCCGGCTAGAGAGAGGAGGTACGACCTAAGATTTCCCACCTCTGCTAGATGTTCTTTAACCTCCACAGAATCGTCTCCTTCGTCGAAGAATTCGTCATCAAGGCTCGTAAGGTCACCTAATTGACTCGTGAGAACATCCATTCGCTTTTTACTTGAGTCTGGAACGCGCCCAACAAGTTCCACAGAGAGTTGATTGTCTTCGCCAGGGGGTCCTCCCTTGTTCAAAGTGGGCATGGGTCCTTCTCCTATTGTGGATGCTGCTTCGTCGGTGGGTCTCTGTTCGTCTTTCACGCTGACACTGCCAGTATGGAATGAAACGGAGCTGAGGTCCTGCGAAGACTCTGTAGTGCCACTTCTCCCACGGGACGCCACACTGCTGGCCACATCTGACTCGTCACCTGCAGTATCAATATCCTTTGGTAAAGCAAAAGACGCAAGCCTTTCGAGATGATTGGCAATATGATTTTGAAGACCGCCTTCCATATCTGCTTGCGCGAAACAAATGGGACACTTTTGTCGGAGGTCTATCGTTGAGGTTTCCGAGACTTTGATAATGCTAGTCAGTTGATGCTCCGGGAAGCTATCAGAATGCTTGCGACGTAAATGATCTTCCAGTCCTAACTTCGACTTATAGATGGCAGTCGTATGCTCGGGGCATCTCCACACTTTGCGATGGCTAGCCTCGTGCTCTGCCCATTCTCTGCGGCTCCGTAGCAATTGGTCTGGATTCTCGCAATCTTCGTAAGTACAAACGTATGGTTGTAAGTCCTGCAAAAGGTGTGTTCTACGCAGTGCTACTCAGTGAGTGACCTCCGATTTGAAGCAGAAAGGGGTTTCAGTGAAGGAAATAGTCGACGAAGTAAACCTGGGTGGCTTCAGGAAGTCAGGGTAGAAGTGATGACAACTAACCTCCAGGGTCGCCCTCGGCCATACCTGGCAGGGCAGATAATGAAACAATAAGGGCATTCAAAATCTTGCTCTCCATTCGCAGCTTTAGGTGGCGAAGGAAGCTCAATTCCATGCCCCTTGAGATCGTGCGTCGTAGTCGCATAAGACGTCACAGACTGGCTATCAACGATGTCATCTAGAGACTGATGATGTTGGGTAGCCTCAGTTCCACTGAGCAGCGATTTCGGTTCCCTTTCACTGTCGGATTCCTTTATTGAGGCTACGATGGGATTTCCTAGCTGGACTTCGAGGGTATCATGTCGGTGCACTTCCGGCCTCTCAACCGTTGCTGGCTGGTTTTCTGTCAAATCTTCGAGGAGTGTCGAGACTCCTAGTTTGTCTCTATGCCGCCTCCAATATTTAAATTGGCGTCTCCGTAGTGTAATAGCCTTACTTAAGCGTTTGATAAGAACTTCGTCCTCAACCTTAACATCTCCGTCGTATGGCGCGCGAAGGAACCTAACGAGCTCCTGGGTGTATTGGAGATCAAATGTCGTGTATTGCTCAAGGATGTCCACACCCGTTTCGGCATCTTTCGGTTGGAAAGAAGCTGCCTTTAGGGACCTAGATCGAAGCGTCGGAGAACGAATGCGAACTGAAAGCTTGTACAGGTTTTGGACTATATCAACGACTTCGCGGAACCGCTGTTCCAATTCAGTTTTTGGCGCTCCTACTTCTTGGCTTTCATCATCTTCGTCCTCACTGAAGAAGTCGTCCTCGCCATCACTGTCTTCTGGCTTTGGCTGCAGCTCATATGGAAGGCGGCTCCCGGAAACAACAGCGATAGCTATCGAGATCAGCGCTATGTGCAAATAGGAACAAGTTGGTTTACCTTCAGTTAGATTCTCTTCGAGCTCTTTCAGAAACTTTAGAGCATTGCTTGAAAGTAGGGGAGAGTCACGAAGTCGCTGTCTGATTAGTGGCATGCTTACAGCGCACCTCATCCAAACTTACATAGTCAAGTGAGCTATGGCCCTTTTGCAAGGCACCAAGATTTCCTGTGCTTGGTGTCAGCGCGTGCAGAGACTTTCTGTTAAGAGTAAAGGAGAAGGAAATCATACCAGACCATACTCGAAATCTTCCAAACTCATCGTCAAGGGCTTCAGGGTTGATCAAAGTGGTACATTTCGCGTCGGATGTGGCTAGACTAGCCGACAATGATTGAAAAAGCCGGATGTTGGCAGCTGTCGCCAGTCGGAGAGTCGCCATGGCAGGAAGGGTACATGGTGATAAGAAAAAGGCTCCGAGCAGGGTCTGATATACACAGAACAGTTCTTGATGCCTGCAGCAGCTGGAGAGCTGTGGAGGAACAGTCAACGATTGAGGCTTCCTGTGGGATGAGGCGGCCTAAACCGCTTCAAGACTAGCTTACATCCGTCTTGAATCACGAATCCTTCCATCACTCATTGTCGCCATCATGAACTCTACTTGCTACGGTGAAACGTCTGAAAACGGCTGAAGGAAGCTCAGGAACTATGGAATTTCTATTGTTGAAGCCCTTGTAGTCTTCGTTGAGTACGATGCTCTCTGCATCTAACTTTATGACCCCACTCTGAAATGGCAACGCTAATAGACAACTAGACCATACACGTCTCTCCCCTTTCCCTCGACTGCCTTCCATGACTACGTCGTTGCGATACAATCATGAGCGGTGTAGAGGTTGTGGGTATCACCTTAGCGGTGATGCCCTTAATTATCACTGCCATCGAGTTCGTTCCAACGCCCGCTGACACCCAGAGCACTCTCGCTAAGATCGAGTCAGAGACTATAACGACAGCCTAGATCCTGTGAAGGCTTTCTTAAGATGGGAGCGGGAACTACCTCAGTTCATCCGCAAGCTTAGGAACCAGCATGTCCACTTCGCGCAGACCATGCGACTCCTCCTCGAACCCATTACAACAGAGTTCGAGCTCGCCGAGATGCTATCGGATCCTAGTGGGCAAATGTGGAAGGACGAAAATATGTCAAGAAAACTAAAGGACAAGCTCCAGGAGTCATTCCAGGCGTATCAGAGTACAATCGCAGATATCGAACGCATCATGAAGAAAATTGCCAGCAAATTAGACCTCAATCGTGCAGCCAATGTAAGTACGCTAAATTCTAGCAACCTTTCTGAAAGAGGTGTTGAAATCACTCCTTTCTCTTCGCCACCAAGGCCCCTGAGTTCCTCTTTTTCACTAAAAGCTAGTTTGCGTTTAGATTACCCGTAATGACCTCGAAGCAATGCTTGTTGCCAACCCACAACAAGGTAGCAAATATGAGTTTAAGAAACGCGTACGTTTCGGGATGAGCAAGAAGACCATCAAGGGTCTATTAGAAGAGCTGGATGAGTGTAATAAAGAGTTAGAGCGATACACGGACCGGAGCGAGAAGCTCGAGACCCTTCGTAAGGTAATAAAACCTTCTTTCGCGAACCGGATACAGCGTATTCAAGATTATGCGAAGAATCTTCACTCTGTTCTCCTATCGTCCTGGGCATGCTCTTGCCGATCTTACCACAATACAAGCCTCCAACTAGAGCAACGTGCCAACCTGTACGCGTCAGGGATGAAGAAGGCAAAGCTCTCTCAGAACAGCCGTACGTCCTTTACTGTATCATTTTCAAGCTTTGGAACTACAGAACACACCTGGACCTGGCAAGAAGCAGAGATTCGCATTGAGGATGATGACGGTTATGTTCTGCCAACTGCGCCGATGGCAAAGCCGAAGTGAGCAATCCTAGTTCAATTTATTCGCAGTTCAGACTGACCCTCCTCTAGGATGGCAAAAACTGTCAGTTTTGGCGACAAGGAGCCCCCACCTCCGTATTCGACAGGGGATCCTGCCATTATTGCTCAAACACTCCAGGAAGTGAAAGACTTGTGCGCTGCAATACAGCAGTTACACAAGAGCTGTCCCTGTATCGGCTTCTCTTTCGACAGCGAAAGAAAACTTCGGGGCGTCTATCCAATAGATGCCCCTGTGAAAAAGCGAACCACCTCTGGCGATATGATCACGTTGGACGAACTCCTCAACCATCCTCCTCTGGTAAATGGAAGGCCGGCGAAACTTAGCAGGAAGGAGCGATATAGCCTTGCTGTAACGCTTGCTTCATCCACCCTTCAACTCAACTCCACCCCGTGGTTCCCTGATCAGTGGAGCAAGAAAGATATTGTGTTCCCTCGGACTGTATCTCACATCGTAGATACCGAGCATCCATACGTAGTGCCCCGGCTCCCAGGCCTCTCGAAAGACTCGATGCCAACGCCGAAACGACGTGGCTTCCAGAACAAGAATACCGTTTTGCTTGCTCTCGCCATTGCTTTACTCGAACTGTACTTTGGGATATCTGCTGAAAAGCGCCAAGAAGCAGAACTCGGCGCCATTGAAGGTGCCTCTAATCCCTGGACACTCTGCGCAATGGCTTACGAATGGACTGAGAGCGAACAAGAGAATCTTTCAGCTGCATTCCTGAGCGCGGTAACGCATTGCCTACGTTGCTTCAGCGACCCTGGAGCAAGCCTGCAAGACCCAGACTTCCTCCAGGCGGCCGTAGAAGGTATCGTTCTGCCACTTCAAGACGAATTATGGCAATTCTTAGGAAAGACTGCTCCTTAATGGATGCTGCGGGCTGCCACCGGTTCTTCTACCGAGCAGTGTGTGCAACGATCTTCGGGCTAGAGTTGTATGGAGCGTCAGAAGGGAGTAGAAGTCTGTCCAATAATGTCGTCATGGATGCAATAGTCTCGCCGTTTCCACGGGTCTGTGCCGGTGTCAATATCACACGCCTGTCGCACCTAGGACTCTAACCAAGTCTTCATACGAGCCCCGCAACGGGCGATGGCGTAATGCGAGGAAGGTCAAGAGCGGGTCGGACAGGAGCGATGCTTTGTCATAGCAAAAATCGATGCGCTTATTCTCTCGTATCTCTCTCCAGCTCGAATCCCCACGTGGCTTCGGACCTGGGGAAGCGACAATCTCAAACCACACATGAAGTTTCAGATATCGCGAACCCATCTGCATGGTCTCAAACATCATGAAAACCACGTCCGACGTTGGGATGCGGAGATATTGTACATTTAGTACCTGGGATGCTGAAGTAACCTTGATTATCTTGATGCACTGCCCCATGCTTGACAGTATTTGAGCACTTTGGGTGTGTGGATTAGATACATGTCAGTATCAGAAGCTTCTTCTGACATGCACACCACAGATAGGTTTGCTTGGCGGCCGTGAGAATTGTTTAGCGCGATGATGTGGGTAAAAGAAGCACAGCAGCCAGCGTACAACAGTGTAATCTTCACACTCTCTCTACAATCACCAATAACAAAGTCGCACAGGGTGCCATGTGCACGTCAGACTGCGCAGATGATATGCTAGCTTTATCGTACGGGAGACGATTGCATCATCAAAGCGAGCTGTGCTGCTGGCCGCGTCACCCAGAATGTCTTTGTAAGCCTGTGCCGAAAAGAAAGGAAGCAATGCGATATTCTCTGTAAACACTTACAAGACAGCACAGAATCCGATGGTGAGGAGCCAGAAGGGCACAAACATCTGCCACATTACAGTAAATCAAAGATTGATTAGTGCATGAATTTCCAGAGGTGCTGGAAACTTTGATGTGTTAAGCTTGCCATTATTGGGGTGGCAAGGCTGCCAAGGATGGGGTACCCATCTGCATACATGGGGATTCGATATTGAGATAGGGGAGGCGAAGCGAAGGGAAGGGGGAGGCGAAAGGCGCGGTGGAGGTTCTGGACGAAGAGGCTCAATGGCGGCACAGTGGTGGCTTAAGCCGAGGGGGCAAATGAGCAGTCTTCTGTCGCACAGGAGAAGGCGGCGGCGCGGATGCAACAACGGTTGTAGGCAAAACGCCGTCGGAAACGGCAGACACGATTGGTAGTGGGCGGCGTAGCGCGGCGACTGTTCAGGAACCGATCTGCTTGCGAGCGAATGAAGAGTGCAGGCCGCGGATTGGGCGACTGTTGATGAGAGATTGCCTCCGATCTGCACTGGCAAATGTGTTTCAGATTGAGCAGATGACGATGAGGAGAAGGGACACGGAAACACAGAGTCGACATGATGGCAGCGAACCTGGGTGGTGCCAGGTTCTCTTAAAATAACTGCAATGTCCGCCTGTTGCCCGTCGGTCGCCACGGAATCACATGTGTGCAGCAGCCGACGACCTAAGTTTTGTGCATCCGCTGGTTGAGATAGCGCTGGGCAGAGCACTAAAACAAACACGCCCTCTGGCTGCGCAAGCGACAGCATAACAGAGCAATTATCGCAATTGAAGAAGCCCTGTTGAAGCCTAGTTGAAGCCTTGCCGTGCGCGCGAGCATTACAAGATTAGGGCGGTCCTCGGCACGCGTGAGGCGTAAAGGCTTGGCGGCTTAATTCCAGAAAGGAGACGTGACGTTGGTTTAGGAGACACGGCTCTTTCCCTTCACAGGGATCTCCTCCAACTTCTGTCTGCGACATCTTCCTCCTTACCGCCACTCCTCTTCCTTCACCGCCGATAACACTGTCGTTACAACCTCGTCCGCCGTCTGCAACGCCCTTACTCCACCCTTTTTCTACAATTCGCGACGCTGCACTCGCAGTCCGTCGCTGCACACTCGCCGTCCGTCATGGCACAGTCGTAGGACTCCCTTTGAGAATTCTCTGCCCGCCTCCTTGCACGCGACATTAACAGCACCCAGAATAGCACAGTCATGGCGCTCCTTCTGGCACACAATGACCTCGGACGACCGACACGCCTCTCACGATTCTCCCTATCGCACCGGCCGCCACATTCCCCTGCCACAGAGTCGCCATACCCCACTCACCTCCATCGCCACCAGCGGCGCCGAGTCGCGGGTAGACCTCTCCTCCCCCTATGCACAGGAAGATCCGGCCGCAAGCAATGGCTTCATCGGCTCCCCCAAAGGTCCCATGTCACCTCACTCGCCCTACTCCCCAGGATTGCGGTCGTCGCTGAGCCGCCAAAACACCACCGATTCGGAAACATTCGACAAGGGCCCCAATGGCGAGATCCAAATGCAGAACTTCAGTGATGGTCTCCCTCCACCACCGCCCGTCGCACACTCGTGGAAGCGCATTGATCGGTGGGTCGAGGACCACTACGAGGAGCTCTTCGACAACCTCTGTGAGGGCGCCACACAAAACGACGTCAACGAGCTCGAGCACGAGCTGGATGCCACACTTCCCATGGATGTCCGCGAATCACTCCAGATGCATGACGGTCAAGAGCGCGGAGGTCTGCCAACCGGCATAATCTTCGGTTGCATGCTGCTCGATTGTGAGGAGATCGTCATGGAATGGCAGAACTGGCGGAAGGTTGCCGAGGAGTACCTAACACAGAAACCAACCTTCACCACACCACAGATCCCGTCCAAAGCATTTGCTGGTGCATCATCTTCAGCTGTACCTGTCGCACATCCCCAGCAGTCAGGCAACCCCCTCTGGCGTCAAGAATTACTCGCCCGACAAGACTCTCAACCACCAAATGCAGTCCAAAAAGCCTACGCTCACCCAGCCTGGATCCCTCTTGCCCGCGACTGGGGAGGTAACTACCTCGCCACCGACCTGGCTCCTGGTCCAACCGGCCAGTGGGGTCAGATCATCATCTTTGGCCGCGACTATGACTGCAAATATGTTGTTGCACGCTCCTGGGCTTCTTTGCTTGCTATGGTTGCAGACGACATGGGCTCTGACAAGGTCTCAATTGACGAAGATAGCGGCGAGCTCAAGCTTCTAGAATTCAAAAAGCGACAGAACGTCGAACCTCCATATCTCGAGATTCTTCGCTGGCGATGCGATCAGAAGTACGGACGTAAGCCCCGGAGGCGGCCGCAGAGCGGTCTTAGGGTCAACTCGAATGTCCCCAGAGCCCCATCAAGCAGTGCGGGCAGCAGCCCTTACGGCAGCCCCGTAACTGGACCCGAAGAGCGCGGCCGTAGTCCCCATCGTCTGTCTCAGAAGCCAAAAGGTGTGAGCCCCCGAGGCCACATCTCAAGCCCCCTTGCCAGAGTTGCCGAAGAAGTTCCCCAGCCTATCCGCGTGCATACCGATCTCGACTCCAAAGCCGGCGCACCAATCGAAAAATTAATTTCCGTCGACACTCCACGGCCGAGCGAGGATGGACTGCCTGTGCGGAGTAGCTTTGGCAGCGACAAGGAAAACAAAGAGAAGATGAAGCCACTGTCGCTGAAGAGTCCAATTGCAGCGTCTGAGCTCAAGACCGTCGAAATATAACACAACTCCCACCCCTCTGTGTGGTTCGATTTGTGCGATTACGCCTCTTACGTTAATCAGACCAGATATTCCTTTCTCATTCACAGCCGCTGGATACAGGCAATACCTTCTCCTCACGATGAATATATGCATGTATTGCACCCACTTAATACTTCACAAGTTCGATTCCATCACACGAGTACAGAACCAACCTTTCTTTCTTATTGAGCGGGTAGTTAGGTAAGGTCCGGGCGAATGCGGCGTCGGCGTTATTACAGGTCAATGCAAGGCACGGTACGGCAAGGCTGTTTATGTCATGCATTTCTGTTTCTGTTTCTGTCTTCAGATGCTCACACAAATCGCGATACAATGGATGGATGAATTGGTAGTCGGAGTACGAAACCAGATGTTTTTTTTTTCTTCTCTTGCATTTGAGGTAGCTTGATTATCATACATTGCCTGCGAACTTTTCTCTAGCGAGGCGGGCGGCCGGGTAACACCTTTTTGGTTCTCTTCATTTGTTCTGTGGCTGGCAATACTGGTGTATTGCTCAATTTTTCTCGCTCTTGCTTTCTTCTTTGATGAGGAGAAGGCTTGGTTGGCAGGCGGGCTTGTGAGAGTAACGGGTAATCTGCATCAGCACTCTTTCCTATAACCCACTCCGCCTTTTCGTCTTAGTACCCACGGCGCTACTTAAACACACATCCCTCGTACACGCACGTTTCTCCAGGAGATTCTACGGCAATAACGGAACGAGGCCTTCCTATCCTTCATTTCTACCTTTCTTCCTTGCGTCGAAGCAACCAACCAGCACAAGCGCAAGCATCAGGATGAGCATACACTGGACGGACTTTCTAGCATGGGTGGATTGGCGACTTATATTTTATGGAGGGGATTTGGATGGATTCGCAGCTTTCTTTCGGACCCTTTCTGGTGGTTGGGACACAACGGCTTTGATAGCTTTTAGTTAGTTTGCGAATCTAATTCTGATTCTTGGGGTGTGTGGTAGTGACCTCATTTGGGGATTGACTGGGGATTACTGTATGGATTACATCGAAAGAAAGAAAGTTGCAGGTGTGATGAAGGTTGGAGGGGTATTCGGAGTGCAAATGCAATAGGTGCTGTCAAGATGCATGGATACGAGAAATATGAAAGTTAAATCATATTATGTGTGGTACACTCCGAATAACTGTACTCGTAGATTGTGACTGATGTCTGTTTGTGTTATTGTTCAGTTGAGCTTCGATGCCGACAGCCTCGCTATGATACATTGCAGACATGTACACGCGATAATCTAATATTCTTCACTAGAGAATTTCAAGACCCAGTCCACACGTTGACAATTCCGCACCAATGACGTGGCTTCTGGTCTGATTCGGAATCATGACTAAGATATTGGACATTTCACTTAGCTATTACTGTAAATTAATACTAAGTTGACTTGGAGTTCGTCCAAAACTCTGTCCTCATACGCCCCTTTCATCTGCGCCCTCTTTCATAACACCCCACCCAACCTCCTCCTTCCTCCCATCCGCCCCTTACTCACTCAATCCCCCGCAATCTTCACATCAACCCCCTCTCCCTGCTCATAAAACCCCCACGTTTTCTCAGCAATATTCTTCGGGTTCAAGAATTCCTTTTCCAGCGCAACAATCCCTTCAACGATAACCAAACCAATAAAAACGCCGGAATCCGCGAACGCTTTCTTGAGGGTTATGACTTTGCGAGACTTTCACGAGCGAGAGGGATAGGAATTGGGGATTGGGTCCCAGGGGAAGTGGCTGTTTGTTACCAGGAGCGTGGGTTGGTGGAGGGAGATTTGGAGATGGAGGAGAGCTTGGGGAGGTAGGTACAGAGAGAGATTTGCCACCCGTGGGGTCATAGGCTAGCTTATTGGCTGATGGGGGAATAAATGACTTGTATAAGTAGAGAGGGGAGAGGGAGGAGGGAGGAGGAACTACAGCAAACATACTTTAAAACTCTCCTCAATCTCCTCAACTGGCGTTGTCAAAACTTCACTAAACCAAATCCTAGCCGTATTGAAAATCACAAGCTCCACCTGCTCCGTTATCTCCTCGATTTACCTCAACACCTACAGGATGGAGGCCAGGTTGGAGAGGTCTAGGCGGAGGGTGGAGACTTTCGTGTTGGGGACTTGGGAGGAGATGAATTGCTTGTCGGAGGCAAGACAATCCATGTTGCGAGAGAGCAGGATTACGTGGTTGAGGCCATGGGAGGCGAATTCGGCGGTGATGTGGTTGCCGATTCCGGGACCGGAGCCGAATATTACGGTCGTGTGGGACATAGTGAGAGAGATGGGTGAGAGGGTTGGAAGAAGAACTGTGTAGAGGGAAGAGATTCTTGAATAGGGTATGATATTGGTTAGAGCCGTGGTGTCTGAACTGGTGGATAGTGAAAAAAACTCAAAGAGACTTGATGCCTTGATGACCTAATGACTTAATGCCTTGAGGACTTGAGGACTTGAGGACTTGAGGTTTTGAAGGAGATAATCCTCTCCCAGAGCAGCTCTTAGGACAGCCTTTATACTTCTTCTACCGTAATAGCTGCCTTCCTGATCACATCAGGCCCGGAGGTGATTCTCCCATTGGCAACCTCTCGGGTCATAAAAGAATCAATATGCTGACTCGACAGTTGCCCAGGCTCTGACAGAATTCTTATGCTACAAAAGCTTACGGAATCCTAGTAATGAAATATAAGATTTCCCCCTTCTAGCACAATCGGTTTGCGGTAAAAGGTAACTTCCTATCACTTGAATGGTGATGGCGCCTGAGATGCAGGTTAAAGAGGAGGCCACAACACTACGGAAATTGCTTGGTACATTTTGCGAATATTATGTCATCCCGCCGCCGAACTTCACCTCATCATCTTGCGTTGCACGCATTATCAACCCACCACCTTATTGAGCCATGGACGACATAGATTCCTTTACGGAAGATGAACATGCCATGCGCCAGTTCATGCCATCATCATTTGGGAAACAAGATGCTTCTGTAGATGTCGAGGCGCAAATCCAGCGCTGTCGCAGGGCCACTGTGGACGAGCGGAAGCAGGCTATCACGAGCAAGAAGCAATCGGACGATGAGGAAGACGATGACGATGACGACAGTAGCGAGGGCGAGGATGAGGATGAGTTCCCCGTTTCGCATGAGTTACTCATCAAAACGCACGACAAGGCTATTACCTCAATGACCCTCGACCCATCCGGTACGCGGCTTGTAACTGGTTCCACGGACTCGACTATCAAGCTCCATGACCTGTCTGCTATGACTCCGACCACGATCCGAGCCTTCAAGACTGTCGATCCCCATGCCGCAAAGTCTTCTGCTGTGAACTCAGAGACACACCCGGTACACCAGGTTCTCTTCAGCCCTCATTCCGGCAGCCAATTACTCGTTATCACAGCGTTTCCGCAAGCACGAATACTTAGCAGAGATGGTGAGTTGGTCAAGGAGTTCAAGAAAGGAGATATGTATTTGCGGGACATGCATAATACCAAAGGCCATATATCAGAGATCACGAGCGGTGCATGGCACCCTACTAATTGGGACCTGTTTGTTACGGCCGGCACAGATAGCACGCTGAGGATATGGAACGTCAATAATAGTATGGAGCAGAAGGAGGTCATTGTGCATAAGTCGAGGTCGGCAGGATCAGCTGGCCGGACCAGGATGACAGCTGTTGCGTGGGGCTCTCCTATTCAGGGCGGGAATAACATTCTTGTTGGTGCTGCTCTAGATGGTAGTTTGGTTATGTGGAATGGAGATGGCCCGTATCATCGGCCAGCTGCCGAGATCCGCGATGCGCATGTGAAGGATGCCTGGACCAGCGGTCTAGATATCAGCGCAGATGGTCGACTTGTTATCACCCGCGGAGGGGACGACACCATCAAGCTATGGGACACGCGGAAATTCAAGACTCCTATAACAACTGTCACCCACGCATCAACCTCATCTCAATACCCAACATCTAACATCCGCTTCTCCCCCAACTCCTCGAACGTCATCACCGGCTCCGAAACTGGACACCTTCACATCCTCAACCCAGCAACTCTCCGCCCCGAACTCGTTACCCCCGTGACCCCCGGCTCACCTTTGATAACCGTAAACTGGCACCCCAAACTCAACCAAATCTTCACGGGCTCCGCTAACGGCCAAACGACCATCCTCTTCAACCCCAAAATTTCGCACAACGGCGCTCTCACCATCCTCAGCAAAGCCCCCAAAAAGCGGCATCTGGACGACGACCCCAACTTCACCACCTCGCTCGACCCTCTCGGCATGGCCGGTGACGCAACTGCTCCCGGCGGCATGCCTGGCGCTCAAGCCAACACATTCTCATCACGACATCCAACCATTGGACTCACGGCGTCGGGGAAGTCTAGGGACCCCAGAAGACCACACCTACCAGCCACAACGCCTTTTGCGAAGAACACGCCAGATCAGAATTATGTGAAGGAAAGTATTCCGCATAGTAGTATGCGTGATGAGGATCCGGTAGAGGCATTGAAGAAGTATGCGACGAAGGACAAGTTGTTTACGAAGGCGTGGGAAGAGAATCAACCAAAGCCTATTTACAAAGATTATGATAGTGAGGATGAGGAGGCGAGGCATGCTGATAAGAAGGTCAAGAGGTGAGATGGTAATGCAATCCATTTCGTCCATCTCCCCTGTGAGGAAACTATGGGGGTGGAGTTGCAGGGATTCAAAATGCATTTTTGGCGTTGGTTAGGAGACTGCAGGCATATACCCATTTTATATAATGAAAGCAAGCTATCTAATTAAATTCGCCTCTCCCAATTGAGGCGGAAAATTCCTTTCCAGCATCGTAGGGCTGACGCCCTTGGCGAGGAGCATGTGAGAGGCGTTAGTCTTGGCACTATGTGTGCCGCTCGCGAACTCGCGATAAGGAGGCCCAAGCACCAGCTCTCAAAACTCACAGCAAGCATACTTCCCCATCCACATCCACAACCACCTCCTCCACCTTCCTTCCACCTTCCTTCCACCTTCCTTCCACCTTCCTTCCACTCAATCCCTCTCCCACAACCACACGATCCAAAATGTTCTCTACTACCTTCCGCACCACGCGCTACGCCCTCCCCTTCGCAACGCGCGCCTTCAGCGTCACATCCCGCGCGTCGCTCGCCCGCATGTCCATCGTTGGCCGTCTCGGCGTCACCCCCGAAGAAGTCACAACCGCGAACGACAAGAGCCTTGTCCGGTTCGTCGTCGGCAGCAGCTATGGAAAGGGCGACGATCGGAAGACGAGTTGGTTTCGGGTTGCGAGTTTTGTGCAGGGTATGCAGAAGGAGTTTTTGATGAGCATACCGAAGGGGTGAGTTTAGTGGGGTTTTTTTGGGGGTTTTGTTTGTGCGGGCTGGATGGTTGTAGAAGGGCGCGAACAATTGGGATGGGATTGGATTGCATAATCCCTTAGAGCGCCGCCATGCATCGAAGGCTAATGCTTGAACTTTGAATTCCAGATCACTCATCTATATTGACGCCGACGCGCGTATGGAATCCTACACCGACAATGAGGGTAACAAGCGCTCGAATCTGAGCTTGATCGCACGTAAGATCCGCCCAACAATATTTTCAACAATATTTTCAACAATATTTTCAACAATATTTTCAACAATGATTCCGACAAGACGCTGATTTAGGATCGCCAGGCAACTTCGACGTCATCTCCCGTCCCCGCGTACAAGAAGAAGGTGTCGAAACCAACGAAGAAGGTCTCGTCCAGGAAGCGCATGCTTAGTCGGATCCCCATACCCTTTTACCACTACACGCCCGTCTTCGAATTTCTACATTCCGCGGTCGGTCGATCGATAGTCTATGTGTAGTTGGGTGCTTTCATACCGGATACACTTCGGTTGGGATGTTGATGGATGTGTGGGTGATGGAGGTGTTGCAACGAACTGACTGGCCTCCTTGCACTCAGCGCAAGAGGCTACTTTGTGCACTGTAAACTATCTTTTGCACTGGACTATTTCTCCTTTGTGTGTACTCTCTCCCCTCCGGTTGGCTTGTCGGGGGCTTTTGTGGGTGTGGGAACGGTCGGCGTAATGTGAATAGATACCTTGCCTTCATAATGCAGTTCTATTGGCAAGGCCCAATGCGTGAGCCACTGGACGATAGGCTCTTAGGAACAGGAAATTGGAAACCACGCATTTCTCGGGGCGAAGAAAATCAATGAATGCATTCTTCGTTGCTCGGTGGTCGACCTCTCTAATCTCCGTATCCCTTTCGCTTTATCTCTCTACACTAATCGTACACGTCTTCATCTACATACATGTTTCTTTTCTTTTTCCTTTCCGTAGGATGCAATAACTGGGTATCACGCTTGTCATGCTTTTCATTCCCTCTTCCTAACATTTGCAATTCCCATCTCATCCCTCATCCCGCGCTATCCTATACCGTCGCTCCTCATACATGTCATATAACATCTCATCCTACCTCCTTCGCTCCACTTTCCCCACCCCCCCTACTCCTGCTGCTGCATATGACTCGGCAAATTATACCCCGTATAATCTAGATGCACAAACGCGCGATCTACATACGGCACACTCTCAAGCACATACTGCAAACTTTCCCCCAGATCATGGCTATCCCTAAGGCTCGTCCCTTCATCCAGTACAACATCGACCTCAACGTTGAGTTTGTCGCCGGCGTGGTACGCTTGTATTCCTTGGATTTGCTTGATGGTTTTCGCGAACCGCATCGTGAGATAGAGAAGGATGTTGCGTTCATCTGCGGAACAGGCGGCACCGGTGAGGTTCCGGATGTGCGTGGCGGATGTGGACGACCAGTTTGTTATTACGAAGATTGAGAGGAGGAGGCCGCCGAGGGGGTCTAGCCACCATATACGGGCATAGTACCCGACTAGAGAATATTAGATAAGGGTATGGGGATTGTATATAGAACCAAGGGCTGAGCTGACCTAGCGGGAAGATTATACTGAAGATGTTGAATACGACATCTGTCATAGCATCTTGAGCGAGTGCCTGTACACTTGAGTTTCGGATAAGTCGGCACCAGAGCCAGCAAACAAATTTTATTACGACGGTTCCAGCCATGATGGCGATGGCGGGGATGGTTAGTTGGACGATGGTATGGTTGTCGCCTGTGAGGCGGGAGAAGCCTTCTATCGCGACCTGGAAGAACGATGTAACCATGATGATTGAGAAAACCTGGGAGGATTTAGCGTGTCACTCGAGATGCAGTTGACAGAGCATGGCATCATGACCCACCAACACCCCGATAGGTTCAAGCCTCCTCCTTCCCACTGGATACGCGTATTGGTCAGTTCTCGAGATGAAGTATGCGGTTGTCCATACAATCCCAGTGCTGAGAAAGTCCAACGCTGCGTCTACCAAACTAGCGATTACTGATAGCGAGGAAGTAAGTACCGCCACGATGATTTTCATGATCAGAAGGGCCGTGTTAGCAGCCATGTTGACATAGATGGCCAGCTGGACAATAGGGCTGTTGCTATCTTGCTCTTCATCTGGCTCCCATTCCGGCATGACTCTCTTGGGGGACTCGGGGTCATCGCTTTCGATCGTGAGCAAAGGCGTTTCCTCATCCGGGACTTTGTACAGATTCTTTGGGGTTCGTTTGAGCTTGACTTGGGAGCCGTTGCTACTCTGAGTTGTGCCGGTAGAAGGCGGATCGCTATTTGTGCTGTTTATGCCTGGAGAAGGGACACCAGGAGATGTCCCGCTCAAGCCCGATTCCTCAGTGATGGTTGAGGGTATGTTTAGTTGCCCAGAGTTGCTGTATTCCTGGATGAGGTTGTGGGGTAGGGACGAGTCCAGAAGGCGATCGATGTACATATAGTGCTGTACGAGGTAGTTGTTGCGCTCGTAGTACTTCCGTCTGGATAACGGAGTTAGTCCAATCTCAATCTCAATCTCACTCTCACTTAGCAACCATATTAGCTTACATTGACCTCTTCATCTGTTTCAAATCCTCTTCTGACTTGAAATACCGCTCCCTATATCCTAATCAGCTCCTGCGCCATGCCAACAATATCGCAACACTCACCACTGGTACCTTGGATTCGAGTTCCCAATCAACCTCTGACTCCTCATTTGCGGTGTATTGAGAATCTGCGCACCCACACTCATCCTCCTATCATCCCTATCCTTTCCTCCCCAGGGCATCATCAGCCCATGTGGTCGGCCCGCCTCCAGATCTTCGTCATCCGTCATGCTATTCCGGCGCTCGCTCCGAATGGTGGATGGCCGACGCGTGAGTGCCGAACTCGAAGATTGGTTATGAAGAAGCGCCGGCAGATTTTGTCCCCTCGTAGAAATCGCCGTCGTCTCAGCGTTGAGCGGAAGAAACGCTTTGAGCGAGGGTATACGATGCAGATTCGATTTCGCAGGTGATGAGGAGAGGTCTTCCATTGTGGCTAGGCGCGATGCGAGGCAATTCGACACTACAAAGACTCCTACAAAAGGGAATTTGAGCAGAGGAAAATTAAGAGATACCGCGAGTCGTGCGGTATTTAGTTCACATGATGGATTCGAGAATTTCGCGTGATAGACATGGTTGAGGTGTTGCTTTTTTGTCGGACCAACATCATGGTGGCTGGAGCATCCCTGCTGGTAGCATCCAAGCTCCCTCGCTAATCTAACCTTGGGACACACGCCCGGGGTAGCTTATTATTTAAGATGTGAATGGGCAATCTAGCTTTCCCATCTCGTTATCCTCTTTCCTGTTGTATTAGCCTTAGGGCCCATTCCTATGATTTCTTACGCATCTTCATCTTCATATCTCAGTTGGTAGGCAGCCCGCAAACAGATGTCTCAACAGAACGCATACCCAGTCTTTTCATGTTCGGTGGAGCAGCCAGGGATCCCTCCTATGCAGACAAGCACCGAGCACTGCAGGTGACGAGTCAACTGGACGAATCGTGACAATTTAATGGATACTACTACATGAATCTCACGACGGATTTGCTTCCAAATATGGTGGTATTGTTAATATGAGAACCCCTGCCTGTTCCATCGGATGTGGGGAAGACGCGGTGTGAAAATAAGGGTTGGCCTCTCATGCAGGTTGTCAAAAACTGCAATTCGATTCAACCACAGGAGAATAATCCCGAAACAATAGACATGCACCGGATTTTCTCCGGATGCAATCAGATATCAGAAGAGACACAGCCACCAACGCCAAACGCTCCACCTCACGAACCCCTATGTAGCGTTCGACATCAGTGGGCCACCTGCAGGTGCTTAGGTGCCTGCGGGTGCAGAAAGCTAACACGAGTAAGACAACTAGGGGGAGTTCTATATACAGTTTCTCGTCAAACATCCCCTTGAGAACTTAAAGCAACTTACTACTCTACTTCCTCGCACCCAAGCATATGCAGTATACCTGTTAGCATAAAGTGGATTAGGCTAGCCACGAACCTTTAGTACCACTAAGGCATCGGGCTCCGGAGCCTTGGGCACAGCCCGCAGGTAGTTCCACCTGTTAATGTCGAGCACTGCCCCGGGAAAATTAGCACTACTCCTTCGAGACACTGGGAAAAAGAGGCTGTTTCTCTGGGTTTAGTCTTGAGCCAGCAGTTTTTGAGGAATTTGCGATCCGTAGCCTTCCGAGCCCACACTGTAACCGCACAGTGCGATGGTGAAGTTGGATCCATGTTGTGTTTTACACATTCCGCGAAACAATCTTTAAATAGGTGTTACTTGCTTGAAGCTGTTGTTATAGTCGTGGTAGTCGTGGAAGGCAGCACTATAGATGAAGCAGAAACCGACTGGGCTCCAGTGGCACTGTATGCAAGTGTTGGCATGTATGGGAATCAGGCTAGGCTGAATCAGCCACCTAGGTGGTTTGACTTCTTGATCTTGGAGAGAATTCCGCCGACAAGCCAACTATCATGCAGCCCAGACGAAGCACGAAGATGATATCTGCGTGTGAGAGAGAACACCGTCTTACGCATACCTAGCATGTGATTTGTGCCCGCATGTAGAGGTTGCAACCCGCTCTCCTTCGTAGCTGGTGACGCACTGGTGGGGGCTCATAATGAGGGACTTTATCCGATATTTGAGACATGCTCTATTTCGCTTGTATGCTGGGTAACCATATTTATAATGACGCAAGAAAGGTTATGATTGAAAGGCTTGATAAGATATATGTTGTGTCATTCTCAGCTTCATGAGATAATACTGTGGCGCCGTGGGGAGTAACGAAACGGGAGACAAATGGCAAAGTCATCCACAGAATGGCGCTGAACTTGTCAAGCTCACTTCAGGACGGACGTGACTCTACATTTCCATTGATGTTCCATTTCTCTACTAGTATGTATCTAGGAGGGGCGCTAGTGTTGCAAGCATTGATTAAGCATATGAAAATGTGAACGTTCCTAGAAAGACGCTTCCGGCAGTCCTTCCCAACCACTACCAGGTGCTCATGGAAATCGCACCAGTTTGTTAAAGCCTTCAGCCAAGCTGGGTTTCCTTCTTCTTCCTGTTGTCCCTCATTGGGCGTTTTTACAACAGCTACAATCATGTCGACCAGATAACTCAGATCGAGTTACTTCGGCTCTCCTATCTCAGCTGGCGACCTACGAGCCCAGTCGTAGAAGTAGGCTATTGGTAAGACTAGATATCGAACATGACGGACGCTGGTAACTTCCCATATGCGGTTTTGACGATCTCTACAGTACTTGGCCACCAGCCCTAAGCTATGGCGCGGCCAAACATAGAGGACAATATATCATCCCGAAGCTGGTGAACTAAGTACTCGTCTACGAAGATTTTTAAGGTTGAGGATATTGAAGGAACTACTAGCGTTGAGAGATCTACTCTGGATCCTTTTCATATCCTCTGAATCAAGACGCATCTCATCAAAGAGAGGTGATACAGCCTTCTAGGCATAATGCTTATCGTCGTCAGTAGGGAGTGTCCTGCACGGAGGATCTATTTCACCAGTCCTGAATGTTCTAGTGCCAATCTTATTGGCCTGCATCTGGGCTTCTGCTCATTGGGGAAACGTCCGGAACGCTAGCTCACTTACACACCAGTAGTAGTTATGCTACACTCTTCCACTCAGAAGACGCCTAGAAAGCGCCCCGAAAATACGGTGACACGGCACACAAAACATATTTCTGCAGAGAAAATTCGACAGGGAGATTTCCAACACGAACCGTTACCATTTCGAAGCCCATCGTTCTACCAATATCAGCCAGCTCCATCCCTTTTCAACCCAGGGTGCTGAACTTACAGATAGTTGGACATCTTCCTATGTAAGCCTCCTGCTATCTTAGGTTTACCATATAAGATATTTTCTGCCAGCGGGTTATTTACCATGTGCTTGGGCTTCTTCCATGGGGTTTCTTACGAGGAATCCATGGGCGATGGACTCGATTCTCTGCGAATATCAATGCAGAGAGGTGGCAGGTTGTTGCGAGAGACTGAGTAAGCGAAAGTCATTTTCATCGACGAAGGCTAGCATTCCATCAATTGAATAGAGAGGCGGAAGTTCTGAAAACGGCGCGGACACTGCAGATGCAGTGAGAAGGTAACTGTGGAAGGGAATACACGTGACTCAAGCACTAGCCGATTTCTGTACGCTAAACTCTTGGCGCACACATTGACGAAACCTTGGAAATTGACGAGCCTCGTCGACACCTACTTCAACGACAACTCTCGCATCTTGACAACCTGCAAGAATTCACGATGCCGGTACGCTTTCTCACTCCTTTAAAACAACCCCTTCTACTTAACCCAATCTGACGATTCCACAGAGCCACAAGTCCTTCCGAACCAAGCAAAAGCTTGCGAAAGCGCAGAAGCAGAACCGCCCGATTCCCCAGTGGATCCGCCTGCGAACTGGTAACACCATCCGGTGCGTCTTCCTCCCTCCTCCCTCCTATAGCCAGATTTTTTGCCACAAGTTCTGGGGCGGTTGAGTCGGGCTAACATGACACGCACGATCAGATACAACGCAAAGCGACGACACTGGCGCAAGACCCGTATCGGCATCTAAACGGCTCGCCCCCTCCTCTCTCGATTCTCGTTTTCAGTCTCGGTCTCCTCATACATCAAATGGCACGGGGATGGATTCCACGGCGGGGGAGCGGATATAGATGTTGAGTTTGGGGTGGCGGATGGAGTGGTGCGGACTTTTGATGGTATGAAGGATGTTTTAACTGGTAACTCTGGCGCTTTGGGACTGAAAATACACGTGATGGGGGTTTTGCAGTGGCAATGAAATGCACCAGCTAATCCGATGGATTAAGGATATTTGATTGTGAATGGTGCTGTGCCTTTTCAGTCTTCTAGCCGAACCATAACCCTTCTATTCGCCTCTGAACCCAAGATTTGAAGTGCTCATGAATCAGGGCATTGCGCGAACCGAGCTGCCAACCGAGTTTTGGACAAAGCAACATCCAAACGCATCATCAGCTCGGGTGGTGCTCCCCGTACCCACGCGCGGAGGTATTTCTCATCGGTGTAGCGAATGTACCAGGCCAGCCGTGCTAAGTGGTTGTCTCGCACAGCACGCCGTGTAGACTTCCCACAGCATGTTTAGCAGGAAATCTCCACACATGGCTTGGATATCTCTAACGCCCACTTCTCACCTGGAATTTCGGCCTCTGAAACAATGCATTAGTGCCTACTAACCCAGATATAGATTGTCATCACTTACTTCATTCAAATCCACAACCAGACACTTCTCTTCCAACTTGCCCAGTGTCTCATAAAGACTGACTCCCCCAGCATCGATCTTAAGAATAGTAGTACTCCCAGCATAGCACACCTCCTTCTCCATTCCACATCGATTTGCTAACACGACTACGACAGGCTGCCCATCTCTCGACTTCTCGACAAAAGGCTGAAATCTCTCAACCCAGTACGCCACAGTTGCGAAATCCGCTTGAGTAGGATTCTGCATCAATTCTTCGGGAGTCAAGTGGCACAACCACGCCATACTCACACACACAAGTGGAGACCCAGCCTGCAACGCGGTATTCGCAAACTCGTAATCTGTCCATGGGGCCGTAAACTTATATGGATTGATATCCATACAAATCCCAAGGGTAACATTTCCCAACCCGCCCAACTGGCCGGAGAAAAAGTTGCGAGAGGGTCCTTCGATGGCCCATGTTTCGTCAGTGTAGTAGAGAAACGCTTTACGGTAGTTGGTTAGAATGACGCCAGTTGGGGAGACGGTGACGGTCGAGTTGTATTGCGTTTTGGGGTCCGTGGTCGTGATTTCAGGGTAACCGACAGTCACGTGGCATTTGTAGAGTGCGGCGGTTTGGATCGCCCATTGTGTGGTGATGCCTGAGGTTGTGGGTTCCAGGAAGGGGGCTATTTCTTCAAGGGAGTGGAAGTCGTAGCCTGGTTGATATATCAGTTGCCTGCTGTTTGGGGAATCATGCACCACGACAAGGTTCTTCCAACCCAGGGTCTTGTGGCGCAGCGCAATGAACAAACCCCAGCTTGAAAGACACTATTTTCCTCAATATTCTTCAAGGGAAATCGGATGTACAGACCTGAGAATGCTAGTTCTGGTAAGACAAGCCAATCCAAATTCGCCGGAATGTGTGTCCGCAGGAGTATATCCTCGGCTCTTTTGATATTCTCTTGGACCTTGCCCAACTCTGGGGCGAACTGGAGACAAGCGATCTTCATATCGGTGGAATAATACTTGAATCAAAGAATACCATATCAGAGGGACGGAAAGTGAATGGTGGATGAGCAGGCCTCGAGAAAGAAGGTTGCAGGTCAGATTGTTTCAGAGGAGGTAGTGAGAGCAAGCATAAAGGTAGAAAGAGCGACCAATGAGACTGAAGGAGCGAATCCTTTGCCAGGAGACCTTGCACTGAGATTTTCTAGGGATGGAGAGAGCGTCCACTCTTATCGTAGCGGAGGAGCAAACGACATCGGAGTGGTGCACTTCCGTATCGGGAATGGAAAAAAGGAAGAATGCTGGCCAATCATGTGGAGGGAGCGTTACGCTTAACCGGACGAAGCTATGACGCGATGGTAGTTTCGCTGCCAGTCTTCACGGGCTTACGCCACGCTCACGATTCCTATTGTCCCTTCACGATGAACCTCCGGATCTGGTAGCCAATTAGCCCGTCTCAATGGCAGGTAAGCGGCTCGTTGACGTCGCGAGACTATTCAATGCCTCCAAATCCATCACCAGACAGCATGTCAATCTGCGCTCACAGCAGCTTGATGTCTACAGCAGAACCTCGACGCTCGCAAGGGCCGTCAAGAGCCAGACGGATCGCATAATTCTCACCGCTCAAGCAGCAATTGCCCTATCCCAACGTTTTAACGAAAACCCTCCGCCATGGGCTTCGCCGCCACAAGCATCGAACCACCGCAAAGAGGATATGCCAAGGAGGGAGATGGTGCAAGGGGAGAAGCAACGCGAATATATGAAGGATGGACTAGAGCAGGGTCATAATTATGATCGGTCGTCCAGGAATACGCAGGCAGGGCCACCGCCGGAGGATGAGCTGTATGTGCAACAAGAGAATGCAAAACGCTGCTTGCTGCCAGATGGGACGATATCATCTGCGGGTATAACTTTAGAGGACGATGCAAAGAGACAAGACACATTTTTAGAACCGGCAGTGCCAGAGCCTTTGAAGGAACATTTGGCAAAGGTGGCTCATGAAGGTCCAAAGGAAGAGGAAGGCATCAAACCAGCAGCGTCGACGGCGTCTTCAATTCCAATACCACCCAAGAGCTCGCATCTCTCGCCAAAAGAAGCGCGCAGACTTCAGCGTGAGTCTGAGTCTCAGATCCCTTCCCAAGCGAACGAATCACAGCCGCCGACATCACCAATGGTGCGGAAGCTTAACGCAGGCCAAGATACAGATGTCTTCTATACCAGATTTGTAGAGTCGAAGCCGGAATACTCATCGTTGCCTCGAGCGAAAATACCAAAGCATACAGAAGACAAACAAGGGAGTGATGATCATGTCCAAGCCGGTCATTTGAACCAGGACGCTTACTACTCCACCCCGGAGCCGGGGCAGGAGGAGGTGCAGAAAGAAGAGATACCACATACAGCGGCTGTTCCGGAACAAGATCAGGTATCTGGGGGCATAAATACGGATGTGTTCCGAACCAAGCGGGTCGCGAAGATGCTAGGAGGTAGTCCGTATGCGCCGAAGCCTCACCTAGACCTGAGAGGTGCTGACAAGACTCCATATGATCATACAAAGACTGCGGCTGGTTATGGTCAGGCTATGTCCAATGTCCGCAGTGCTGAGCAGACAGAGCCCTCCAAGCCAGAACAACCTCTGCAGACCAGTCGAACAACAGCAGAAAGAGAAATGCATAATTTTCCCCCCGAGCTAGCTAAAGGCGCCGAATCAACTCCTCCCTCCGTGCCTGACGTAGGTTGTCTCCCACCTTACCCATTTGCGAAGCATGCTGATATACTGACAGCATGGTCGCAGATCTCTGGAGAAATATATATTGAACCTCGAAAAGCTCCGTACGAACTACGAGAGTCACGCGTTCCATCATCAAGGTTCAGCCGTCTTTGGCAGTATGCTGGCCTAGGGGCTAGAATGGCGTTTGGTGCAGCTGGAGAAAGTCTTCGACGAGTAACTGGGAGCGCTGCAGCGACCGGAGGGTCGCTGGTGTTGAGTCCAGGAAATATGGAGATCCTCGTTGCAAAACTGTCCCGTATGCGTGGCGCTGCGCTCAAGCTCGGGCAAATAATCAGCTTTCAAGACATCAAGATGCTACCACCTGCAATACACGAAGTGCTTCAGCGCGTGCAGGACAGTGCAGATTACATGCCCGCCTCTCAGCGCAACAAAGTCCTTGTAAGCAACCTTGGTGCCAACTGGAGAAATCTCTTCGATTCTTTTGAAGACGTTCCGATAGCAGCAGCATCAATTGGCCAGGTTCACAAAGCCATCCTTCGATCTACCAAGGAACAAGTGGCTGTCAAAGTCCAGTATCCCGGCGTTGCTAACTCGATCGATTCGGATCTCAGCAACCTTTCTATTCTTCTAACAGCGTCACGTCTCCTACCGAAAGGTCTCTTCCTCGACAAAACGATCGCAAATGCCCGAACAGAGTTAGGCTGGGAATGCGATTACACCCGAGAAGCAGAATGCCAAACCCGCTTCCGCGACTTCCTAGCCGACGATACCGACGTCTTCACAGTGCCGAAGATCATTCCAGAAGCTAGCGGCAAAGAAGTCCTAACCGCAGAACTCATGGAAGGCATTGGCGTCGCCAAACTCCCTCTCCTCGACCAAGAACAACGCGACTGGATCGGGACGCAAATTCTCCGCCTCTGTCTTCGAGAAATCGTCGAGTTCAAATTCATGCAGACGGATCCGAATTGGACTAATTTTCTCTACAACGAAAAGCTCCACAAAATCGAGTTATTAGATTTTGGCGCAAGCCGTGACTACCCGGACGAATTCGTAGATCCGTATATCAATGTCCTGATTGCGGCATCCCAGAATAACAAACCTCTCATCCGAGAACTCTCTGTTCAACTGGGGTATCTGACCGGCTCTGAGTCCGCGGATATGACAGAAGCACATGTCCAATCTGTTCTGACTCTTGCGGAACCTTTTCAGCAGAATGGACCGGAGGTGTATAATTTCAGAGACCAGACTATTACGGATAGAGTGAGGGGTCTAATTCCTGTGATGGTGAGAGAGCGGCTAGCCCCACCACCAGAAGAGACGTATAGTCTGCACAGGAAGTTGAGTGGAGCTTTCTTGTTATGTGCAAGGCTAGGCAGTAGAGTGCCTTGTCGGGCATTGTTTGAGAGGGCTGTGGAAACATATAGGCTAGGTGGTAAGATGACATAGGGTTAAAAAAATTTGTACTGGGACTGTTGGGCGTCTGTGGTTTTGTATTATATTGTACATGTACTTTCTACAATATGACAGAAAACTTTGAACTCATTCCCGCGATTGCAAACCAGCCAATTCATCTATCCTATTCTATCCTTTTCAAATCACTTCTCAACTCAATACTCACCCAAAATATCGCTTCGCCTCAAATTGCACAACTCTATTCGTCCTAACCTTATACATAGCTGGACACCCACATTCCACACATTTTAGACTCTCTCCCAGTCCCTTCTCCTGTCTCATCCTACAACAAGCCACTTACCCCTCTTCATCAAGCCATATCGTCGATTTAACTCAGCCATAGCAATCATATTATGGCTTTCCGTTACTGTAGAGGTCGGTGCAGAGAGGCCGTGCTGAGCCGCATATGTATGTTCCGCTCTTGGTGGGAGAGGATGAAACGAAGGGAAGGGGGCTGAGGGAGATAATTGGAGGGGGATTTTGAGGGGGGCGGGGAGTTATTGAGGCTGGTGCTGGGTCTGGAGGAGGTGATGAGGCAGATGAAGACTATTGCTTGGGGGTGCAGAATGGGAGGAGCCAGCCGGTTCTTGTGTCGAGTGGGATTGGGCGCGATTGAGGGGGGTTGGTTGGGGGATTGGCTGTGGGAATGGGAGTGGTCGGAATTTCAGGAACTGGGGGTGGAGAAGGAGACACTTTCGGGGTTTTGGGCTCGTGGTCAGATTGTCCGTCCTTGTTCTTCTCCCGCCCCTGTGCCTGAGGACGAGTCTCGCGATACGAGCTCTTGCGACTGTGATGACATCATGTTTAATAGAACGTAAGTGTTACTGTCAGTGGTGATTGAGTTTTGTTCTTTTAGACAGAATGAATCTAAATGGCCTTACAGGCAGTGACAGTTACTGCTAAGTTAATTAAGAGCAGAGCTACTGTTTAGTATAGTTACTGCAGTAACCGGTGTTTCTAGAAGCTCTAGAGAAATCTCTTGCTAATATAGTCGCAGATATTATTTAACTCTAAGTGAATAAGATAAATATATAGTCCTCTAGCAATCTAGTTGTGTTGTGGCTGCAGAGCCTTAATGATGGAGAGCAATAGCTGGTTATAATTCATTATGATTGTCCTTCTAGCTACAGCCCCTCTTGGGCTTATAGCTTGTGTTAGGGATATATAGGAAGTTAAGAGCTAGTTTGTACAGCGTTAGATAGTGATTACGCCTAAGTTGGTGCCACTAATTGAGTGGACTTCTATAGGCCATATATTAGCTTTAGCTACAACAAGCGTCACAGTACTACCCATTATCATAACATAGTAGTGAATTGGCTTCTTATTTTACCTGCCCCTAGTCTTATTAAGCCCTAATGTCACGATCAGGCTTGGCCTTGGCCGCTTGCGGCCATATCGGACCAGAATGGACAAAGAACGATCAGCCGGATGCAGCAAGGCATAGAACAAAGAAGCAGCGTGTATATAAGCAGTAGCGAATCTCTGCCTTAGAGGGCAGCGATTCGTCTAATTAGGTCTTTTACCTAGATCCTGACTATTCAAGGTCGGAATAAACTACGTTGGATAAGAGCAGTTCAGCCTGTCTTTAGTGTATTGCACACCCATCATTTTGACACCTAAGAAGGGACACCTAACAAACAAGCTGCAGCAGTGCCTTGGTTTGTGCATGTTTTAGCACCTCTACTCTTGGAGCAGCCCTTGTACTAGTATGCGCAAAAACTCCCTCCGCGAGCGCAGTATTTAAACACCAAGAAATTAATTAGTATGAGCAGTTACTGCCGTAGCTAGAGCCCTATTAACTGTACAGTAACAAAAGACAATTCATTTTCGGTTTAACTGCCAAGAGGCTGCTACTATCAGTAACAGTAGCAACAGTACTACGTTCTATTAAACACCATGAGTGATAGAAGCTTGCGATTTGCTTTGCCCTTTGCTGTAGATGCCAGTTCATGTTTAGCTTTTTCTTCTTCCAATCTATCAGACTTCTTCTCGCTTGACTCAGACCAGCAGTCCTAGTCGTCTTCGCTTTCCGGCCGTTCGAGCGCTTCTTTTATAATCTGGTGATGAGCTCGCGCCTTGATCTTCTTCTCCTTCTCCATCTCTATGCTCGTCCCCTTCAAAGGAATGTATATGCCTAGGGGTATTTTGGTAATACAACTACCCATTGGTCTTAATCTAGTCGCTAGCATCCTGGTGTCTTGCAAAACCCCATCTCCACCCCCATCTTAATCCATCCCCACACAATCTCCTGCCCCACACTCCGCGCTTGGACTCTACTCGCACTACGCGCTATAGGAGACATAATCACTTCCCTGGACGCAGTTTTCGACGTCTCCGGCTGTAATGGAGGGAAGAGTTCAAGAAAGTGCTGGCTTCGAGGTCTTGGTAGTGTGTCGTCGCTGTCATAGTAAGGGTTGAGAAGAAGGTGGGAGGTTGTTGAAGTGAGGTTCGAGAGTCTATAGTTCGAGCTGGTTGTAGATAGATGAGGGGGGGAAAATGAAGTTTGGCGCTGGGCACTGGGTCTCGATTTTCGTGGATGGGGTTGGGATAGTGAAATTGGACGGTGTGGAGTGGTGATAGGTGAATATATCCTAGCGACGTTTTGGAGTCTGGAATAAGATGTCAAAACCTAGTGTCTCAAGTTCGTCGATTTCCAACCTAAATTTTTCTTAATGGTGTTCGGTTCCTTAATATCGTGAAGAGATGCCCCCCTGCATCTCGACATTCCTCCGAGGCAAGCATGTCGCCACGACCTGATGCCAAGTCCATCATCCATTTTGTTGTACCAATAAGCTTCTCATCCATGCATAATATCAGCATGTATCGAGGATGCGATGAATGGCAGGAGCCTTGAAGTCCGCAGTCGTGCAAAGGAATAGAGGATTGTCAACGTCTGCTCATCTAACACCCAAAGGAGGATTTCGTCATGTCGTATCGAACGCATGTCAGCACTGCAATGAGCTCTGTGCTGGGCTCTGAGCAAAGGGGTGCACGAATACACGTCACACAGAAACAGTTTCTGGGACTCGACCCGTCAGACGGGAGTTGTTTTCAACGTTTCGGAAATTACACATACCAATTTATGTCGGAAGGATGACATGGAGATATCTAGGATGGTGGTCAGAGTTGCAGAATGAGTGCTACTTTTGCGCTTCAATATTGGCAGCAATTAAAGATAAGACAAGTGGATGAAAATATGTCTGCAAAGCATTTCTCTATAATACAAAGCCGTGTCGCAAGATCACGACCAGAAATACTCTGGATATCCATGATACCCAAATCAACACCCAAGCTCCTCGCATTCCAAACTCGCGAGCATGTCAACGACGCAGAGCCAGTCTCGTGAGTGCATACAGGATGTGGGTGACCCAGTCTACCGCTCACATATACCCCTCTGGCTCTCTGAATCCCCAGCACTTTTGCACACGTGCTCCAAGACGGCTCCACAACACCAAAACAATAAAAGGCAATATGTGATAGGCGGTGTGCGACATTGGAAAAAGTAACGAAGAAAATGAAAATGAAAGAAATAGGGGTTTCTCATGCCGTCATAAGCGCGGTTCCCATCTCCGTTTGCTAAATGAACCTCCCGTGAATGAAAGAAAATGGCATGCATGCGATGCGACTCTCGAGCGAGATGCAGAAGAAAACAAAAATTCTAGGGAGTTAAACATGATAACAAAGGAAAAAAGTGGTCGCTCTAAGTAGTATTGGCACCTGCATGCATCCTAGTGTTTGCTCATTTAAAACCACGCCGGGAAATGATTGCAAAATTTAGTAGTTGTGGGCAGCGATGAGGTGCTGAGGGGGTCCCATGGTGGTCCCCATGGAGAGAGGACCGGGTATATCTGCAATTGATGCTGGAATGTTGAGGTTTGCACTGAGGTAGTCATTTCCGGATTCGGGTGATTCCTCCTCTAGCGAGCCTAGGTGCTCGTCCTCATTGTCAAGCTCATCTTCGTCGAAACTGCTGAGCGGCTCGCCGTCTTGACGAGGTTCATGCGTGCGACGATGCCTGAGGGAAATGGTCAGTATGGCCCGAAAATAGACTGGGGGTTGCGGAGGAAGCTTACTGGGCAAGATTGTCCGATCGCGAGAATGCCTTATTGCATAGTGGGCAGACGTAGGGTCGTTCTTGTGTATGGGTACGCACGTGCCTAGGCGCCGAGTCAGCGGCTATAAAAAAAGTTTCACAGCACGCGGGCGCTTACCTCTTGAGGTGTTCTAACCTCTTAAATAGCCTACCGCATGTCGGGATTGGACATGAATGTGACTTCTGAGGGTACGGGCCAATCTCCATCATCGTGGCGCTCCTTGCCCGTCGGTACACCCCTGGAGCGGCTGCAGTGCGTGCCACGGCAGAATGCTGTAGGGGATTCTCAAATACGTCTCCATTGACGAGGCTGTTTAGATCGTCCTGGGGCAAAATGCTTGTCTGGTGTTGTGGCGGGCTGTCCTCGACCGTGTGCAAGGGGGTACCGTGCCGCGAAATGTCAACTACAGGCTTGTGGTCTGCGATAGGTTGGCTATAGTTGGCGCCACCATTAACGCTATTAGGAGAGTTGTGATTCGACTCATCTCCTTCAGGAACAGGCATGACGGAGCTTGACATCGACCGCCGCAAATCACTTGGTCGGTGAACCTGGTGCGTGGCCCCACCTGTGGCAGTCACTGCGGCGCTGACACCAGTTGACATCGACGATCGACGCCTCCTTTGTTTATAGGTGGGCGATCCTTCGATGACAGAGTAGACGTTTCCTGGAGGGAACGGCCGTGTCACGCTTGAGAAGCCGGGACCCATCAAATTTGACGGAGGGATGTTCATCAAGGGATTGAACGAAGTCGACACGCCGAGTTCAGGAATAGCGCTGTAGAGACCAGTGTCCTCGTTCGCAATGTAGGCTGGTTCTGCACCGAGACTAATCTGGTGCTGGGGTGGAGTCAACGGCTCGAATGACATGCCCCGAGTGCTGTAGTCCTCGTAATGCGACGAAACGAATGAAGGAGCAGGCGAGTACTCCATGTATGCAGGCATCGAGCTATGACGCTGGTGCACTTGCGAGAGAGGAATGCCATTGCGGTCGTATTGCATCTGACCTCCAAAGTCTCGTTCCCGGCTCTTGGCAATTGCGTTGTTCATGCTGGGAGGCATCGTCATTTGGCTGTACTGTGCCATTGGATTCATTGCTTCCTCTTGCACAGTTGGCGGTATTGGCTGTGTCATCATGGTTGGAGGGGGCATGGAGTCGATCGCTCGCATTACAGGGGAGGTTGACTGTGAGTATGTTTGCACATTGTTGTTGAATGACGATGAGTTTGTCTGTTGTGCCTTGGTGAGCTGCTCGAAGAGTGACTGCGACGAGTCGAATTCGAATGAAAGCGCTGGCTCGTTCACAGCGACTGTAGTCGCTTCCTGGCCCATCTTCTCCCTTTTCAGATCGCGCTCCAAGGCATCGAGGAAAAGTCGGTCGTGCGGCACGCTGTACCAGTAGAAGACCTTCTGCTTCTTTTGCGTTCGGATGCAGTTGTTCTTATAGAGGAAATCAAGAAATGCACTCTTGGGCTCCTCCAACGAAGCATCGGTACCCGATTTCAAGTTGCGAAGATCTGAGAAGATACCTTCCTCGAATTTCTTCGAGTTCTTGACGGGTCGGCCGAAGGCCTGGAATCGGAAGGAAAGACATCGAACAATGTCTGTTCCAGAGATATGGAAAAGATTGTTCCTGCACGTTGGTTAATCGCTGAAAGAGGAATTGTGCAGCAATGCATCATCGAATGGACTCACCATAACACGCAGGAAACGTATTCACCAGTGGGTAATAGGAACCGTCGAATATATTGATCAGGTTGCCAATCAACGGGAGCCGATATGAGAAAGTACTTTACTACCAAAGGGGTCAGCAGGAACGGTCAGAGGCGGATAGAGAGATTGTCGAGACAGATGCGCGACAGCATTGGAGATATTTGTAAAGGAAGGAGGTGTATAAACATACGGTTGTCGACCTGCTGCAGCGCGACGATACTATCCGGAGGCAGGCTTTGCTGAGCATCCTGATCTAATAAGAAGGTTTCGGGCGCAACAGAACGTGACTGAGGCGGAGGCATCGCAGCATGAGGGTTGGAGTACATGCTGCCCTGCAACACGGCTCTCTATTTCACTCGTGTTTTGCAGTGCCAGACGTCAGACGAGACTCTGCAATGAGGGTGGGTTGAGACGGATAAGGCTCTCGTAACAGGTCCTGCCAGTGGAAATAATGTAACGTGAAGCGCAAAGCGAAAGAAAAGGCCAGCGATGGTTTGAGATATCTTAATGAGAAGTAAAACGTATCGAGGGCCTGCCTCGGGAGCCTGAGCAGTCTCGACTTCAAGAAGACTGGGCAGCTTGAATGTTAGGGCTTTGGGACACACGAAACACAAATCTGAGGGGGGAGGGCAGAGCTTTAGGTGTCGGAGGGTTGGTGAAACAGGAGTTAGTCGTTTTGGAATAATCTATTCTGGGCCGGCGCCCAAGTCCAGGCAAGTCAGCAGCGCGCCAGCACCACAGAGACCAAGCACCTCGCATGCTAGGGGGTGCAGGCCAGTGAAGGGTCCGCGAGGCAGCGCCGGCGGGCGTGCGAGGGGAGGTCAGCGAATGGGATGTGGGCAGACACGAAGCGCTCCCTGGTGCCAAGCGCCAGGGGGTTAGGTCGAGTCGCAGCAGCGCGCAGAAGCCGAAGCGACAAAAGCAGGCAAGCCAGCGCGAGAGAGCGTTGGAGCAAAAGGAATGGCTGGCCGCAATATTGTACCACGAGGGAAGGGTGGGCGCGAGAGTGGGTGTGGGTGGTTTTTTTTTTTTTGGAGGCCGCGGGGACTGTGGCAAGGGCCAGGATGGGTTGTGCTGACGAAGGTGTGCCTACCCGACGACTGTTGCTGGCAGCGGTGGGCGAGGGAGGAAGGAGGCCGAAGGAGCCACCCACCCTCTCCAGATCCCAAGCCCCGCCCCCCATCCCGAGTCGCGATGCACACACAGCTGGCCGGTGCGAAAAACTTGCGGCTAGCGAGCCGATGCGTGCAAAGACTCACCATGATCGCGGACTCCACCAGTTGTGCTTGACTCCTGTCAATCCGCCGGTAGTGGAGACTGCCGCTAGCACAACTTACCTCCACTCGCTCGCGGCACAGTTGTCATTTGCAGGCTAGCCACAAACTCGCAACAAGCAGCAGCGGTGCTCAGCATTACAGCCTCGCATCCTCACGGGGCCTGAAGCAGGCGGCCGACGGCACATGGTCCTAGGAAGTCAGCGCTGTGTTTGCTGCCTGTGATGAAAGCCAAAGCCGGCATCACTTTCCACTGCGAACACCCCGGTTTACAGTCACCCATTTCACAATCTCGCACCTTGAACGGTACGGGGCGCCTTTGCTTCGTTATCGAGATGCACTCCTCTCATGCCGCTTGCGCGCATCAATTGTAATTTTCCCCGCGAATGAGGATTCCATTTCAGTCCCTCCGCTATTCTGGAGGAGAGATTCAAGCTCGTTATTAATACAAACTTTCCAAGTCTCTATGCTGCGCCCTCTTTGGACGATGGCGGAGGATCTGCCCAGGATCATGGCTGGAGACTGAGTCCGCAGCACGCAGGAGCATTTCACACTCATGTTGACGGATGCAACTTCTTGCAAATCCATCCCACCATCACACACTCATTGTGACCTAGCTTTCTCTACGAGCATCGTGCTGTGGCTGATCAGCGAACTGACGTGTGAGCACGGTGCATCCAGACGCAGGAACCAGCAGAAGCAGCACTGGGCGCCGGGTTTGATCTTCATCCTGAAACGCCCTTCAACCCTCTGCCGCCAGTCAGGAACACTGAGCGACTGCGTCGGCTGCTTCCCCCAATAACGCAACTCGCGGGCCTTCCCATCACTCACTTTTGAATCTTTTCCCGCATGAAGGCCATTACCGCCTTTGCTCACTGAGGATGAAGTGGCCTTGAGGCCGCATTCTAGGATTAGCATAGCACTTCGTTCTCTGGTTGCCCGTGCTCGGCGTCACGCTCCATGCCTGCAGACGGCCAGTGAGAGCGTCCAAAAGGCCGTTTCAGAGTTTCTTTTTGACCAAGGCAGGGCCCTAGCCGTTTTTGCCCGCCTTCGTTGGATTCGCTCAGCGAGTCAGCGAATGAGAGTGGAATATGCCGGCACTCCGTAAGCGCTTAACAAGGACGATAAAAGATGGGGTTCCTCGCTGTCAACTCATGCACTCGAGAGGACTGGTTATCACAGCCGTAATTTTACCACGTCGAGATATTAGGTCTGGCAAAATGCGCGCATGCTCCCGATGTATCACTGTAAGATGGGGTTGATAGGGCTGCACGCCAAAAGAGCCTCTGTTAGAGCTTTGTCTGAGCAGCCGCCAATCCAGCCTGAAAATCCAGGACACCGGTCCGTTGATGGCGTTTGGTACCAGAGTCAGGATTGTGCGGCTCAGTGGTCGAGCCAACAAGCTTACCTCAGTGGTTACACTTCTTGAAAACGACCATATTGGATAAAAGGGGCATTAAAGTGGCGGACTCCGGAAAAGGTCTGGAAGGGAATAGAGGGCCAAGGTTTGTGAAACTCATGCAGCCTCGCCTTGAGCGCTCGGATACTGCTGTTTCCACAAACAAATTCACGCATCTGGATTCAGCGGGAACTGTGTTTGTGACCGATAGAGCCGTATCCCACAGATGTCGGAGGAAACAACATTTTGGGAAGAGTGCGGAGGCCCGTACCTGCGTTAGCGGAGCCGGAGTGGCCTTTCTGAAACCCATCCGGGCTTTCTCGGCTACCTAAAACGGACCACGGAGTGGAAGCAAGTGCTCTCGCTTGGAGCGTGATGCTGTGCATGAGGCTTATGCCGGCGATAAATGGCTACAAGACTCCAGATATCTCTACTTGGTTCTTGTGATCAAGAAAATCAAGTCATGTCACTGTGGTGGTCACGCTTACTGATTCGGGAGGTGGAGAGGCCATTTGGGCATTTGCAAAGTCACTTCTGTGCAGCTGTGGCTAAAAGCCTCGTCAAAACGGTTGATTTCGAGGCTGTATTCCACCGACGAGCAAAAAGAGGAATCCGAGAGCGAGAAAACGCGATGGAATTTCTGGTCGAAGAATAGCCTGGAAATTTTAGCCTACAACGTCAGGTCTCGTAGTATACTGCCGTCGGAAGGCCTATACAAACACTATCCTATCGGCGCTTATTGCCAGGGTCGAGAGGTTTCAAAGCGCTAAAAGAAGTTGGATGCGATAGAACCCACAGATAGAACTCTCAACTCCTTCCGGCGTCGTGCAGCACATCCCATGGTCGAGCTCCACGTTGGACGGACATCGAAAGGATCCCCATACTCGATTCTTTCCATTAGCCAGCCTTGAACGGACGTGGCTTCCAATCGTGAGGTCTGATTATCCTAGCCGGATAAGATACGATATGAAGCACGGCCACGGGTGTGTTTGATGTCCAAGATCTGCTCCCGCTGTATCAGATTTCAAGGCCGTGTCTCAGACCGGTGGGAGTTTCAGATTGATTCCTCGCTTGAAAGGGGCCCCATGACCTCAACCGCCGTATCCTCAAAACGTAGAGATATGATTTGGGCATTTAAGATTGACGTAAGGGATTACCTTGCGTGTTGTCGCATTGCTAATATATAATCAGTAGCTCTGGACTTGAACTAATGATCGCAGAGAATACTACGACTAGGCTTGATGAGGAAGGACTGCAGAAACGTCTGTGCGAGAGAAAAATCGGACAGAACTTTGTGGAAATGTATCAAGAACTTCTAGGTGTGTTCATTGTGCCTGGCTCGCCGTTAGCTAAGTCGTGGCGCGCTCTAAGCTTTCAATAGTCATGGGCAAGGTTCCTTAGTAGAAACTCATTGCGCCATCAAAGTGAACATGCGAATATCCGATGGTAGCGTTCCTGGTGCAGGACATTCAACGCCAAAGTCTATCGTTGTTGTGGAGAGGAGGGTAGACCGTGGGTGATGGACGCGAGGTTTGTACTCGTCCTGTGTGGTTGAAGAGGGTTCATGACACTTCATGATGGTACCCGACTAAAAACAACGGGAGCCAGTGCTATGAGAATTTCGTTGGTGAATTCCTTGGTATTTCTTCATATCGCAGATCACCCATCTCGACTCTGATAGCTCTTTGAACTTTCCCTCCAGAAACCTCTAGTGTATTTCTTCGGCTGATATCATCAAGGCTTGCCTCGACTATCGTCATAGTTGAGCAGAACTGGGTCAAGAAACTTCAATGTACAGTAGACATCGAGGATCACGCGAAATGGAGGAAACATTTTCGTAGTCAGGTAGAAGGAGGAGAGGGGGTGATCCATGAAGGTCTCGGAGGCTGCTCAATCCTTGAAGCCTCGCTACTTGTCTGAGGGGTAAATTTCAACACCCGAGTCCTCTCCCGGTTTCCCGCGAAGCACAAGTCAAAATAGACTGGTGTTGACGCTCTGGAGAAAGCGAACGCGAGATAGCCTGCCCAGAAAGAATCCGAAGCGTCGGGACGGAGGGGTGCCTCCAGGGACGTTCTGGCGATCTCATGATAGTAAGTGGTGTGAGAGACATCTAGGCCCTGAGAATGTGAAAAGTTACCATCCTCGCGGCACCATTCAAGAACCTGTGTCTTTTCTGGGCTCTTCAGTGAGACGTCATTGCATGTTGACGCTTTGGTGAGACGACCTGGTAGCTCCTGAAAACCACCAGAACACTCCAATGTCATACTGTCTATGTGTTTAACGACAGAGGACGGGCGACAAAACCGACTTTCGATCCGGCAGTTGCATGGTCTACTGCAAGTAAGGCAATGCAAGCACTTGAACTAATATCTTTAAGTTCGATCAATATGCAACTACATTGAAGAATATCGCCAGCTTAGTTTACCATAGTAATGACGTCGGACATTCACATGGACTCTCTCACAAGGCACTTCTCCTTACGAGATCAACAGTCTCCCCGGAACCGTCAGAGCAAAAAACAGACAAGTATCCTATGAATTAAAAAAATAATAAATTTCATGCGAGTGAACGCCGTGAGAAGCGAGCGAAATCTACTATGTGAAGCCAGCGCAATGTTTCCTAGGAGCCAATTAGTGTGTCTTGGCATTTCAAACAAGGCAAACAAGGCAAACAAGCCTGATGGCCACCTCCAAACTCGAAGCCACCACCAGAAACCCCATGGAACAATCGTTCTGATAGCAGCTCTCTATGGCTGGGGCCACTGCTTTTAGTGCTTCTCTTTTCCTTGTTGCCACCCCACGGCACCAGGTCCGAGCAGCCTCAGGGCTTCCAAAGATCTGCCAAAGTTTTCTTTCGGGAGCCTCACGTGCTTCCTGTTTTTGGTCTCCCATCAATCGCCCACAGCTTTTTAAGCCTCATTTCTTCTTAAGAAAGAGATGGAGGTCTCCCATAGAGAGGAGCTCCGCATTCACCACGACGACTTTATGGAAAGCGAAAGCAGCAGATGGCCAGAAATCAAAAGCACAGGCTGAGAAGGAAAAGGTTAGTGCTAACACATTCTATAACGTGAAGCTCGTTTTTTCAATGTTCGCTTCGTTCATCATTTCCTTCAATTTTCCCTAGTATAATTCACAAGAAAAATGGAACACATGGCTGGCTTGTAATTTTGTGGAATTACTGTGCCTCGGCATAGGGAAACCTTTCAGTTCGAGGAACCATGCAACAACTCCTTAGCATCCTCTGCGAAGTTTTATCTATTTCAGTCTGAGATGGCGACATTTCGAACAACCTTTTATCATCGCTTTTTTGCCTGAAAATTCCTTCCTCTACTAGAGTTGCCTTTATTTCTTCTCCCTTCCGTCTCCTTACAGGCCTCTCATGTACAACTATTATCCTCATGATCTCATTACTTCCAGGATATTGAAAATAATTTCAAGTGTTTCCAATTCTGGCTCTTTCCTATCATTCTATCTAAAACTTCCTCTCTTCTGTCCCTCACAGCATCCAACAAATCCCAAAAACCCTCCCACTAAAAATCCACAGACAGAACCAAACCCCATCATTGCGGGAACCGAAATTCTCCCCAAAATCTCCGCCAAAATTCCCCTCCCCGCTCTCCGCCACGAAAACATCTACAACCTACCCAACTTCCTAACCTTCTCACGCCTCCTCGCCACCCCTTTAATCGGCTATTTCATCGTACAAGAGCACCACCTCTATGCCTTCTCCCTCTTCGCCTATGCGTCCATCACCGACATCCTAGACGGCTACTTTGCCCGAAAATACAACCTCCAAACTGTCGTTGGCTCCGTTGTAGATCCCATGGCCGACAAAGCCCTCATGACGACCCTCGTGACCTGCATGGCCATAAATGGCAGTCTATCTCTACCCCTTGTCGTGCTGATTCTAGGTCGCGATGCCGCACTAGCGATAGCAGCAATCTACTACCGCTACTTAAGTCTCCCGGCTCCCAAAACCCTGAAACGATACTGGGACTTCAGCCTCCCCTCCGCAGAAGTGCACCCCACCGAAATTTCCAAATTCAACACATTCCTCCAGCTCGTGTTACTCGGGGCAGTCATGTGCGTAGGGCTTTTACGCGACCCTTCCGCTACGAATTCCGCGGCCGGAGGGGCACTCCTCTCGGTTCAAGAGTGGCTGGGTGGAGAAAAGCGCGTGCAGATGTGGACGGTGGGGATGCAATATTGTGTGGCAGCAACGACAGTGTTTTCAGGATTGAGTTATACGTGGAAGAAGGATGCAGTGAAGATTCTGGGTCATGATGAGGCCTTGAAGAGGAAGCAGGGGTTTCGGGGGAGGATGGTGGTGGGGGCTGGGTTTGGGGTTGTTATTGCGGTTGCAGCATGGCTGTACTTTCGAGACTGGAAGAGGGAAGAGGACAAGGTGAGTCGGAGTGTTGGCGGAGAGGGCAACGCGAGTAAATGAGGGATGGCTAGGGCGTAATCTGTATAATATGAGACCTATAAATATCAATTGAATAGTTGTATTCTATGACGCTTCTTTCGTCCATTAACCTATCCCTGCAAACCGTCCCCAGGCCATTCAGCAATAATCTGGCAAAAATAAATCTCAGACACCTCCAAATGCGGAGGAACCATAACGGAAAGCAGAGGTAAAATTATTCGTACATTTGTGTTGTACAGAACATGTTCCTATCCTTCTATGCGTTTCATGCCATTCCAACATCGATCATATAGATCCTATACCTGCCTTTCTAGTACGTAAAACGCCTCCCAATACATTATCCTCCTCCTAATAAACCCTCTAAACTACCTCACCAGCATACCTCATGAACGCTCTCTTCCTCACCTCAATTTCCCCCCTGAACCTCATCTCCCCTTCCTCCCGCCTCACTCCCTTCACAAACTGTAACAACCTCAACGCACCGGTGGGTGTCACTCCCTCCACTCTCCTCGCCTGTCCCACACTCTCTGGCCTCGTAGCTTTCAGCACACTCTTCTCCTCAAACGACAGCCCAAAGATAGCATCATAGTGCAAATCCAGTGGTAATTTCAGGTTCTCGTCCTTCTTCCAACGCTGCTGCGAAGCGATTTGGTAGGCTACGTAGGGTGCGTAGGCAGCGTTAATTTCAACTCTACTTCTTATTCTTTCGGTGAAGCGCGAGATTTCGGGGACGGTGGGGAGGAGCGAGGAGCATGTTATATTCGACATGCGGAGGAGGTCGTAGGCAGAGCGTTTGGAGGAGTCGTTGCGGACTTGGAACCCGACTGCGTTCCAGGACTTCCAGCCCATGGTCTTGTCTTGGAGTATGGAGGTTAATGCATCGACCTGAGCTTCCTCGTCTTGGAATGTGGTCCAGCGTTTATCGCTGACAATTCCAGCGGCTCGACCCATCGCCGTGAGCCGTGTGTCTGCGTTGTCGGTGCGCGCAGACATGCGGTATTCTGATCTGGATGTGAACATGCGATAGGGCTCTGAGACGCCTTTAGTAATCAGGTCATCAATCATAATCCCAATATATCCATCCGCTCTTGTCAAGACCATGGGGTCTTTACTCTGGGCCGCAAGACCCGCGTTGATACCAGCAATGATGCCCTGACTTGCTGCTTCTTCGTAACCCGTAGTCCCATTTATTTGACCCGCGAGAAACAAACCCGCAATATTCTTGGTCTCGAGAGTAGACCTTAAGTTCCGTGGATCCACATAATCGTACTCAACTCCATAGCCCGGTTGCAAAATCTTTACGTTTTCTAGCCCTTTGATTGTTTTCAGGATTGCGTGTTGTATGTCGGCAGGCACAGTCATAGATATCCCATTCGGATAAATGACATCATTGTCAAAACCTTCAGGTTCTAGCCATATAATATGACTTTTCTTGTCCGTAAATCTTATAACCTTCGATTCGAGCGAAGGACAGTATCGAGGGCCCTTCACGGTTTCGCGGATATGTATTGATTTATCGAGGTTTGTGCGGATGATATCATGCGTGGATTCGTTGGTACGCGTTTCGTGATTGAGGAGTTGGGTGTCTACTTGGACGCGAGAGTTCAGGTAGCTGAAAGGCATGGGAGGGTTGTCGCCTTCCTGTGCTTCGAGCACGGAGAAGTTGATCGACTTCTTGTCTAGTCGAGGTGGTGTTCCGGTTTTGAGACGACCGAGAGTGAAACCCGCCTCTCGGAGGGATTTCGAGAGGCCGAAAGTTGCGGCTTCACCCATGCGTCCGGAGGGATATGCTTCGAGCCCTGCAGAATGTTAATTTTATCCTCTCTGCGCTGCCAGTTGATGCACACCAATATGGATTTCGCCGCCTAGAAACGTTCCGGTCGTAATAACTACACAACCCGCCGGAATAACCTCCCCACTCTCTAACCTAACTCCCTTTATCCTCCCATAAAGTCTCTCCTTCAAACTTCCCCCATCCTTTTCCACAACAATATCCGCCACCATACCCTCCACGACACTCAATCTCCCCTCCCCATCCGCATAACCCAACATCTCCTCTCTCATGTACCTCTTATACAAACTCCTATCAATTTGTGCCCTTGGTCCCCAAACCGCCGGCCCTTTCTTCCTGTTCAGCACTCTAAACTGCGTTCCCGCTTTGTCCACAACCCTCCCTACAACGCCATCCAAAGCATCGATTTCCCGTAGCATAGTTCCCTTGCCAATGCCGCCAAAGGAAGGATTGCAGGAGCATACACCGAGATTGGAGAGGGAGGGGGTGATGAGTGCAGTGCGGGCGCCGGAGCGGGCAGCCGCTGCGGAGGCTTCGCAGCCGGCGTGGCCACCGCCGATGACTACGACATCATAGAGTCTGCGGATGGCGTCAGGAGGAGTAGTTAAGAGCATCGGAATGTGGAGGAATGAGGACGTACCTGTTTGAGCCGGAGACCGTGGCGAAGGTTCTGTGGGAGTGATTAAGAGACCGGACGCGCGGTGCGTGGCTCCAGAGCATGCACGCTCTCTGGGGAATAATAATACTCATTGCGGTTGGGGATGGTGTAATTGTGGGGAAAAGAGGGTTGCGCAAAAAGTTAAGACGTGAACTTTCGTCGAACGTGGTCACGTGGCCATCCGTCATCTACATAAAATTTTTGAAACCAAAGCGACAAAGCAGCAGTGTCAACATTAGAATACTAACTCTATTTGGATAACATATTTAAGGTTAATTTGGTGTTTGTTTTAGCGTTCATTAGCTCTCATAGGGTGCAGAAAGAGCTATCCAGTGTACTAAATTTAGCGAATTTCCATATCAATATTAATAACAACGGCGATGTTGTTGTGTTAATGCAAGATATTTTTGTTAGTAACTGTGGAAGACGGCTCTACTATCCTATGGGGGTTCATTTTCAAGGTGTTTATAATAGAAATCCGCCTTTCCTATTACTGATTCTCCCTTTCACTTAACTCGCATGTCAGACTGCACATGTCGAAACCTCATCACCAATTTATCTCCAACTGGCCTCGCCGTCAATCCCTCTGCTTGTTCGATTTCCTCCGCATCCACGATCTCGGAGGTGAAGTTTTATCGAGAGAGTTGCAATCTCATATTTTATTTCTATGCCACGTTTTCACTACCACCAATGACAATGTCAGGGCTTCCAACGGGCCGTTCTAAGGTCTAAATCGTAACGGTCACGTGTTCAGTACAAACGTACCAAGTTTGTGAGCCGCACTGTACGTTTAATAATGCCCTGGGGACAGTACGTAGTATAGATTATAACTGTAACGGCACATGCAAGACAATGGGTCTGAAGGCGGTAGGAATCCACTCAGAGGCATATGGGAGTGCGTGGGGACTTAATGACCTAGGAACTCCATTAACACCTATAGGCCTTATATAAAGAATATTAGAAAACTACTAAGCTAGCTAAGGAAAAAGGTGCAACTAAATACTTAAAGAAATAAAAGTAACTATAGAGAACAAGGTTAAGTTATAGTTAAAGCTAATATAAAAACTCTTTAGATCTGTTCTAAGCAACCTAAGATAAAATAATTTATAAGAATTATTACACTACTTTTTTTTATAAGCTAATTATCCGAATAGCAGTATTTAGATACGCGGTTGGGCGTCACGTGACATGGTCTTGTGTAACAGTTGTACGCACAGACAGATAAATACCCCTTTTCTTCGCACAGACTTAGAATAAGAAGAATTAACACTAGTTACCCGCAACCTCCCCCCCGCGCGATGTGTACACTGTGCAAGCCTCTTTGCTTTACATAGCTAGCATGGAGCCTATTTAACACTAATTAGTAGTTTAAATGCTATAAGATAGAAAGCTCTTCTTATACTTTTTTATTTAAAAGATTATGTATAAAAGAAATCTTTTTTCTTAACGTACTTCATAGGCGAGTTGCTCACACACCTGAGTTGCTTACTTTTGCTAAGACCCCACTAAACCACCCTTCCTACACTAATGCATTCCCCACAACACTACTTAGACGCGCTAAAAGAATGTTAGATACAGCTTACACTCTAAGCTTTTAAATAAAACATAAAACTCTTAAAGAAATGTGCTATAGCTATGTGTAAAGTTTTATAAAAAATAATAAATAACTATAGCACTAGACAACCTTTATAAGCTAATTCTATAGCTAAATTATAGAGGCTAGGTAATAAAAAAGAGCAAGTAATTGTTAAGACTATACTTAAGCTATATGCACAAGAAATTTCCCCTTAGATAGCATTTGTAGCTAATATAGCTAATTCTTTGCGCGCTAAGCATAATCTAGGCTATGTTTGCATAAACTAGCCTAGTACATTTATAAAGTGTTATTTAGAGCTTAAAGTAACATTTAAGTATAAGTATAACTATAAGAGAGCTTTTTATAAGAGTCTTAGAGTAATTTAGGGCAGGTTTAGCCTTATAGAGAATATTAAAGCTAAGTATAGCATCTAGGATAATAACACATACAACTTTAGCAAAATAAGGTTTATAATTAGCTAGATATCTTTTAACTATACTTGCGCTTAAAACTTTACTTTAAGCTTTAAATAACGCTTTATAAATGTACTAGGCTAGTTTATGTAAACATAGCCTAAATTACGCTTAGCGTGTAAAGAATTAGCTATATTAGCTATAAATGCTATCTAAGGGGAAATTCCTTGCGCATATAGCTTAAGTATAGTCTTAATAATTACCTACTTCTTTTTATTACCTAGCCTTTATAATTTAGCTGTAGAATTAGCTTATAAAGGTTATCTAGCGCTATAGTTATTTATTGTCTTTTATAGGACTTTATATATAGCTATAGTATATTTTTTTAAGAGTTTTATGTCTTATTTAAAAGCTTAGAGCATAAGCTGTATCTAACATTCTTTTAGCGCGTCTAAGTAGTGTTGTGGGGAATGCATTAGTGTAGGAAGGGTAGTTTAGTAGGGTCTTGGCAAAAGTAAGCGACTCAGGTGTGTGAGCAACTCGCCTATAAAGTACGTTACTAATTTAACTATAAATTAGTAAGAGTAAAGATAGAGTCTAATTTATATATAAGTAGCTATAAATCTCTGTTTAGTTACTTAATAAAAAGTAAAAAACTTGTTTATATAATACTATTTAAAAGTATTCTATAAATAGTAGTGCTAATTTAACACTAGAAGGTCTGTTTTATCTTTTTACATAAGGCTGTTTAGAGGCAGTGTATAATAAGAAGTAAACAGCGCGCAATAATGTATAACTAACTACTATAAAGTAATAAGTAACACTAGCTCTATCTTTAACTAGCTAACATAATGTATTAATATATAACTAATATATACTTTTAGTAGGCATTTGTCACGATTGTGCACGAGTAAGGTTATAGAGCTTCACAGAGGTCTAGTTTAATTACTACGTGAGGTATTATAGTAGGTACAAGACGTTGTGTAAGAAACAGAAAGGTTTAGAAAGAAATTAGTAATTAAATACTTAGCTTAAAAGTCTAAGCACTTTAAGTATAAATTAAGCCTGTTTTAAGTTTAGTTAGTGTTAAAGTAGTTTATGCTTAAGTTTATGTCTATATTATGTTATGTTTATGTTAGACGTGCACTAATAATACTTTAGTACACGTCTAATACAGTTATGTCTAGGATCTAGAGAGGATACTGTAACAGTACCCCCCCCCTTATTAAGAAGGGAATTCTTTATATTAGTAGTTTTAGCATTAGGTTGTCTTTATTAGGGTATAGGTTTAGTTTAGATAGGTATTAGGTGTAAAATTAGGTTACTATAAAGTTCTTTTACAGAGCTTCTGCAGGTTTCTATAACAGTTTGTTATATCTAGTCTATTTTATAAGGTATTTATAGATATGTTTCTTTTTATTAAACTAAATTTATTTAACATCTTTTATAATGTATTCTAGTTTATTATTTATAATAATAGGTTTAAGTAGCAGGTTTAGCTGTCTAGGTAGATAGTTAGATTTAGAAGCTACTTAGCGCAGTAATAATATATAGAACACAGGGTGTATCTTTATGCTGTTAGGTAGGATTAATTAGTAAGTGTGTAATAAGACTATATAAGCTACTATAAAGGGGCTAAGGTTTTTTTAATTAAGTTTTTTTAATTATTAGTTTATTTAGATATTTCTAGTGTCTAGCTAAACCTTCTTGCTAGCTGCATACATAAAGGCAAGAGTTTAAGATTAGTTTATATACTTTTATTAAAAAGCTTAAGCTTATGTAAGCTTTTTATAAACATATTTAAATATATTTTAGATTTTGTTAATAAGTCTATTTACATTTATTACTTATATAAATTAATAAGTTAGTTAAAGAGTATTTAAAAGTAGTTTAAATCTTATTTAAAAGTAGTATTTATAGTTTACTAAAAATAAGAATACTTACATTAATTTAGATGTTATGTTATTAGCTTTAAACTATGCTATAGCTAACTATTTTACCTAGTTATTCTACTAGTAGTTTATGTACACTTATAGGACTTATTTTATTATAGTGTTTATGTTCTTAGTCTAGCTGTTAGTCTCTAGGTAAAAAGCTATAAATAAATAGAGGACAATTTAAAGCTATTTATAGAGTTTATTCTAGAAGGCTAAGACAAACTGCGTACCTCTGTCTAATATAATTATGTTAGGCAGGCTATAGTAAACTTATACGTATTAGTAGAATAACTAGGCCATATTAGAGGCAGTTATAAAGAAACATAGTATTAAGTGTTAATACTTAGTTAAGTAATTAACAACTACTATAATATTTATATACCTTTTAAATAAAGGTAGGTCTATAATAAAATTAATTAATATATTTTTCTAAGCTTGTTTAAGAATTAAGAGCAGTTTAAGTAGGCTATTATACTTTTTTTAAAAGGCCTTTACTTTACAGTAAGTATAGCAACATAATACGTATTAGCGTACAGTATAGAACATGCAGGGCTAGTAGTACTCTCTCTGTAGTAGGTTAAGAGTCTTTTCTCTGCCTAGGTGTTCTCTAACAAGCAAGTTATATATAATTTAGAGTAGTTTAATTCTTAGTTTATTAAAATTAAGAATTATAAGTTAGTTATAGTAATATAGCTTGCTATTTTAGTTTTTATAGTTAGCTAGTGTTACCTTCTTTAACTAACTAGCGCTGTTTTAGAGCAGGTCTAAAGTTTTTTAG